GATCCCCCGCTTGTGCGCTGCGGTCGGCATGTCGCTGGCATAGACGTGCTGGTCGGAATGATGTTGGCGGCAAGCCACGTCGAGGAGTAGCGTGGAGAGGGTCGAGGTGCGTGTTATCGGGCGGCGGTGTGGCCGCGTCGACTGGCAATGCCATTCTGTACGTGCCGGCGTTGCCGACAACCGACCGACAAAGTACTGCGGCTCCATCGGGCTGGAGCACAGCGACGGCGTGCGAGAGCCTTCGGTGGATGAGGACAGACTGGTGGGGACGGTTGGGGAGGACGACGGGCGTGATCTCGCGCTATTGCAGCGCTGCCGTGGTAGTATCGTGGCGTCATTGCTCGTATCTACGGCCAGCGTGTCGGCTCTGGTCGGTCGTTGTGGACAACGAAGCGAACAAGAAGCGCTTGTGCGCTGCGGTCGGCATGTCGCCGGCATAGACGTGCTGGTCGGAATGATGTTGGCGGCAAGCCACGTCGAGGAGTAGCGTGGAGAGGGTCGAGGTGCGTGTTATCGGGCGGCGGTGTGGCCGCGTCGACTGGCAATGTGATTCTGTACGTGCCGGCGTTGCCGACAACCGACCGACAAAGTACTGCGGCTCCATCGGGCTGGAGCACAGCGACGGCGTGCGAGAGCCTTCGGTGGATGAGGACAGACTGGTGGGGACGGTTGGGGAGGACGACGGGCGTGATCTCGCGCTATTGCAGCGCTGCCGTGGTAGTATCGTGGCGTCATTGCTCGTATCTACGGCCAGCGTGTCGGCTCTGGTCGGTCGTTGTGGATAACGAAGCGAACAAGAAGCGCTTGTGCGCTGCGGTCGGCATGTCGCTGGCATAGACGTGCTGGTCGGAATGATGTTGGCGGCAAGCCACGTCGAGGAGTAGCGTGGAGAGGGTCGAGGTGCGTGTTATCGGGCGGCGGTGTGGCCGCGTCGACTGGCAATGCCATTCTGTACGTGCCGGCGTTGCCGACAACCGACCGACAAAGTACTGCGGCTCCATCGGGCTGGAGCACAGCGACGGCGTGCGAGAGCCTTCGGTGGATGAGGACAGACTGGTGGGGACGGTTGGGGAGGACGACGGGCGTGATCTCGCGCTATTGCAGCGCTGCCGTGGTAGTATCGTGGCGTCATTGCTCGTATCTACGGCCAGCGTGTCGGCTCTGGTCGGTCGTTGTGGACAACGAAGCGAACAAGAAGCGCTTGTGCGCTGCGGTCGGCATGTCGCCGGCATAGACGTGCTGGTCGGAATGATGTTGGCGGCAAGCCACGTCGAGGAGTAGCGTGGAGAGGGTCGAGGTGCGTGTTATCGGGCGGCGGTGTGGCCGCGTCGACTGGCAATGTGATTCTGTACGTGCCGGCGTTGCCGACAACCGACCGACAAAGTACTGCGGCTCCATCGGGCTGGAGCACAGCGACGGCGTGCGAGAGCCTTCGGTGGATGAGGACAGACTGGTGGGGACGGTTGGGGAGGACGACGGGCGTGATCTCGCGCTATTGCAGCGCTGCCGTGGTAGTATCGTGGCGTCATTGCTCGTATCTACGGTCAGCGTGTCGGCTCTGGTCGGTCGTTGTGGACAACGAAGCGAACAAGAAGCGCTTGTGCGCTGCGGTCGGCATGTCGCCGGCATAGACGTGCTGGTCGGAATGATGTTGGCGGCAAGCCACGTCGAGGAGTAGCGTGGAGAGGGTCGAGGTGCGTGTTATCGGGCGGCGGTGTGGCCGCGTCGAGTGGAAATGCCATTCTGTACGTGCCGGCGTTGCCGACAACCGACCGACAAAGTACTGCGGCTCCATCGGGCTGGAGCACAGCGACGGCGTGCGAGAGCCTTCGGTGGATGAGGACAGACTGGTGGGGACGGTTGGGGAGGACGACGGGCGTGATCTCGCGCTATTGCAGCGCTGCCGTGGTAGTATCGTGGCGTCATTGCTCGTATCTACAGCCAGCGTGTCGGCTCTGGTCGGTCGTTGTGGACAACGAAGCGAACAAGAAGCGCTTGTGCGCTGCGGTCGGCATGTCGCTGGCATAGACGTGCTGGTCGGAATGATGTTGGCGGCAAGCCACGTCGAGGAGTAGCGTGGAGAGGGTCGAGGTGCGTGTTATCGGGCGGCGGTGTGGCCGCGTCGAGTGGAAATGCCATTCTGTACGTGCGGGCGTTGCCGACAACCGACCGACAAAGTACTGCGGCTCCATCGGGCTGGAGCACAGCGACGGCGTGCGAGAGCCTTCGGTGGATGAGGACAGACTGGTGGGGACGGTTGGGGAGGACGACGGGCGTGATCTCGCGCTATTGCAGCGCTGCCGTGGTAGTATCGTGGCGTCATTGCTCGTATCTACGGCCAGCGTGTCGGCTCTGGTCGGTCGTTGTGGACAACGAAGCGAACAAGAAGCGCTTGTGCGCTGCGGTCGGCTTGTCGCCGGCATAGACGTGCTGGTCGGAATGATGTTGGCGGCAAGCCACGTCGAGGAGTAGCGTGGAGAGGGTCGAGGTGCGTGTTATCGGGCGGCGGTGTGGCCGCGTCGACTGGCAATGTGATTCTGTACGTGCCGGCGTTGCCGACAACCGACCGACAAAGTACTGCGGCTCCATCGGGCTGGAGCACAGCGACGGCGTGCGAGAGCCTTCGGTGGATGAGGACAGACTGGTGGGGACGGTTGGGGAGGACGACGGGCGTGATCTCGCGCTATTGCAGCGCTGCCGTGGTAGTATCGTGGCGTCATTGCTCGTATCTACGGCCAGCGTGTCGGCTCTGGTCGGTCGTTGTGGACAACGAAGCGAACAAGAAGCGCTTGTGCGCTGCGGTCGGCTTGTCGCTGGCATAGACGTGCTGGTCGGAATGATGTTGGCGGCAAGCCACGTCGAGGAGTAGCGTGGAGAGGGTCGAGGTGCGTGTTATCGGGCGGCGGTGTGGCCGCGTCGACTGGCAATGTGATTCTGTACGTGCCGGCGTTGCCGACAACCGACCGACAAAGTACTGCGGCTCCATCGGGCTGGAGCACAGCGACGGCGTGCGAGAGCCTTCGGTGGATGAGGACAGACTGGTGGGGACGGTTGGGGAGGACGACGGGCGTGATCTCGCGCTATTGCAGCGCTGCCGTGGTAGTATCGTGGCGTCATTGCTCGTATCTACGGCCAGCGTGTCGGCTCTGGTCGGTCGTTGTGGACAACGAAGCGAACAAGAAGCGCTTGTGCGCTGCGGTCGGCATGTCGCTGGCATAGACGTGCTGGTCGGAATGATGTTGGCGGCAAGCCACGTCGAGGAGTAGCGTGGAGAGGGTCGAGGTGCGTGTTATCGGGCGGCGGTGTGGCCGCGTCGACTGGCAATGTGATTCTGTACGTGCCGGCGTTGCCGACAACCGACCGACAAAGTACTGCGGCTCCATCGGGCTGGAGCACAGCGACGGCGTGCGAGAGCCATCGGTGGATGAGGACAGACTGGTGGGGACGGTTGGGGTGGACGACGGGCGTGATCTCGCGCTATTGCAGCGCTGCCGTGGTAGTATCGTGGCGTCATTGCTCGTATCTACGGCCAGCGTGTCGGCTCTGGTCGGTCGTTGTGGACAACGAAGCGAACAAGAAGCGCTTGTGCGCTGCAGTCGGCATGTCGCCGGCATAGACGTGCTGGTCGGAATGATGTTGGCGGCAAGCCACGTCGAGGAGTAGCGTGGAGAGGGTCGAGGTGCGTGTTATCGGGCGGCGGTGTGGCCGCGTCGACTGGCAATGTGATTCTGTACGTGCCGGCGTTGCCGACAACCGACCGACAAAGTACTGCGGCTCCATCGGGCTGGAGCACAGCGACGGCGTGCGAGAGCCATCGGTGGATGAGGACAGACTGGTGGGGACGGTTGGGGTGGACGACGGGCGTGATCTCGCGCTATTGCAGCGCTGCCGTGGTAGTATCGTGGCGTCATTGCTCGTATCTACGGCCAGCGTGTCGGCTCTGGTCGGTCGTTGTGGACAACGAAGCGAACAAGAAGCGCTTGTGCGCTGCAGTCGGCATGTCGCCGGCATAGACGTGCTGGTCGGAATGATGTTGGCGGCAAGCCACGTCGAGGAGTAGCGTGGAGAGGGTCGAGGTGCGTGTTATCGGGCGGCGGTGTGGCCGCGTCGACTGGCAATGTGATTCTGTACGTGCCGGCGTTGCCGACAACCGACCGACAAAGTACTGCGGCTCCATCGGGCTGGAGCACAGCGACGGCGTGCGAGAGCCATCGGTGGATGAGGACAGACTGGTGGGGACGGTTGGGGAGGACGACGGGCGTGATCTCGCGCTATTGCAGCGCTGCCGTGGTAGTATCGTGGCGTCATTGCTCGTATCTACGGCCAGCGTGTCGGCTCTGGTCGGTCGTTGTGGACAACGAAGCGAACAAGAAGCGCTTGTGCGCTGCGGTCGGCATGTCGCCGGCATAGACGTGCTGGTCGGAATGATGTTGGCGGCAAGCCACGTCGAGGAGTAGCGTGGAGAGGGTCGAGGTGCGTGTTATCGGGCGGCGGTGTGGCCGAGTCGACTGGCAATGTGATTCTGTACGTGCCGGCGTTGCCGACAACCGACCGACAAAGTACTGCGGCTCCATCGGGCTGGAGCACAGCGACGGCGTGCGAGAGCCTTCGGTGGATGAGGACAGACTGGTGGGGACGGTTGGGGTGGACGACGGGCGTGATCTCGCGCTATTGCAGCGCTGCCGTGGTAGTATCGTGGCGTCATTGCTCGTGTCTACGGCCAGCGTGTCGGCTCTGGTCGGTCGTTGTGGAAAACGAAGCGAACAAGAAGCGCTTGTGCGCTGCGGTCGGCATGTCGCCGGCATAGACGTGCTGGTCGGAATGATGTTGGCGGCAAGCCACGTCGAGGAGTAGCGTGGAGAGGGTCGAGGTGCGTGTTATCGGGCGGCGGTGTGGCCGAGTCGACTGGCAATGTGATTCTGTACGTGCCGGCGTTGCCGACAACCGACCGACAAAGTACTGCGGCTCCATCGGGCTGGAGCACAGCGACGGCGTGCGAGAGCCTTCGGTGGATGAGGACAGACTGGTGGGGACGGTTGGGGAGGACGACGGGCGTGATCTCGCGCTATTGCAGCGCTGCCGTGGTAGTATCGTGGCGTCATTGCTCGTATCTACGGCCAGCGTGTCGGCTCTGGTCGGTCGTTGTGGACAACGAAGCGAACAAGAAGCGCTTGTGCGCTGCGGTCGGCATGTCGCCGGCATAGACGTGCTGGTCGGAATGATGTTGGCGGCAAGCCACGTCGAGGAGTAGCGTGGAGAGGGTCGAGGTGCGTGTTATCGGGCGGCGGTGTGGCCGCGTCGACTGGCAATGTGATTCTGTACGTGCCGGCGTTGCCGACAACCGACCGACAAAGTACTGCGGCTCCATCGGGCTGGAGCACAGCGACGGCGTGCGAGAGCCTTCGGTGGATGAGGACAGACTGGTGGGGACGGTTGGGGAGGACGACGGGCGTGATCTCGCGCCATTGCAGCGCTGCCGTGGTAGTATCGTGGCGTCATTGCTCGTATCTACGGCCAGCGTGTCGGCTCTGGTCGGTCGTTGTGGACAACGAAGCGAACAAGAAGCGCTTGTGCGCTGCGGTCGGCATGTCGCCGGCATAGACGTGCTGGTCGGAATGATGTTGGCGGCAAGCCACGTCGAGGAGTAGCGTGGAGAGGGTCGAGGTGCGTGTTATCGGGCGGCGGTGTGGCCGCGTCGAGTGGAAATGCCATTCTGTACGTGCCGGCGTTGCCGACAACCGACCGACAAAGTACTGCGGCTCCATCGGGCTGGAGCACAGCGACGGCGTGCGAGAGCCTTCGGTGGATGAGGACAGACTGGTGGGGACGGTTGGGGAGGACGACGGGCGTGATCTCGCGCTATTGCAGCGCTGCCGTGGTAGTATCGTGGCGTCATTGCTCGTATCTACGGCCAGCGTGTCGGCTCTGGTCGGTCGTTGTGGACAACGAAGCGAACAAGAAGCGCTTGTGCGCTGCGGTCGGCATGTCGCTGGCATAGACGTGCTGGTCGGAATGATGTTGGCGGCAAGCCACGTCGAGGAGTAGCGTGGAGAGGGTCGAGGTGCGTGTTATCGGGCGGCGGTGTGGCCGCGTCGAGTGGAAATGCCATTCTGTACGTGCCGGCGTTGCCGACAACCGACCGACAAAGTACTGCGGCTCCATCGGGCTGGAGCACAGCGACGGCGTGCGAGAGCCTTCGGTGGATGAGGACAGACTGGTGGGGACGGTTGGGGAGGACGACGGGCGTGATCTCGCGCTATTGCAGCGCTGCCGTGGTAGTATCGTGGCGTCATTGCTCGTATCTACGGCCAGCGTGTCGGCTCTGGTCGGTCGTTGTGGACAACGAAGCGAACAAGAAGCGCTTGTGCGCTGCGGTCGGCTTGTCGCTGGCATAGACGTGCTGGTCGGAATGATGTTGGCGGCAAGCCACGTCGAGGAGTAGCGTGGAGAGGGTCGAGGTGCGTGTTATCGGGCGGCGGTGTGGCCGCGTCGAGTGGAAATGCCATTCTGTACGTGCCGGCGTTGCCGACAACCGACCGACAAAGTACTGCGGCTCCATCGGGCTGGAGCACAGCGACGGCGTGCGAGAGCCTTCGGTGGATGAGGACAGACTGGTGGGGACGGTTGGGGAGGACGACGGGCGTGATCTCGCGCTATTGCAGCGCTGCCGTGGTAGTATCGTGGCGTCATTGCTCGTATCTACGGCCAGCGTGTCGGCTCTGGTCGGTCGTTGTGGACAACGAAGCGAACAAGAAGCGCTTGTGCGCTGCGGTCGGCTTGTCGCTGGCATAGACGTGCTGGTCGGAATGATGTTGGCGGCAAGCCACGTCGAGGAGTAGCGTGGAGAGGGTCGAGGTGCGTGTTATCGGGCGGCGGTGTGGCCGCGTCGAGTGGAAATGCCATTCTGTACGTGCGGGCGTTGCCGACAACCGACCGACAAAGTACTGCGGCTCCATCGGGCTGGAGCACAGCGACGGCGTGCGAGAGCCTTCGGTGGATGAGGACAGACTGGTGGGGACGGTTGGGGAGGACGACGGGCGTGATCTCGCGCTATTGCAGCGCTGCCGTGGTAGTATCGTGGCGTCATTGCTCGTATCTACGGCCAGCGTGTCGGCTCTGGTCGGTCGTTGTGGACAACGAAGCGAACAAGAAGCGCTTGTGCGCTGCGGTCGGCTTGTCGCTGGCATAGACGTGCTGGTCGGAATGATGTTGGCGGCAAGCCACGTCGAGGAGTAGCGTGGAGAGGGTCGAGGTGCGTGTTATCGGGCGGCGGTGTGGCCGCGTCGAGTGGAAATGCCATTCTGTACGTGCCGGCGTTGCCGACAACCGACCGACAAAGTACTGCGGCTCCATCGGGCTGGAGCACAGCGACGGCGTGCGAGAGCCTTCGGTGGATGAGGACAGACTGGTGGGGACGGTTGGGGAGGACGACGGGCGTGATCTCGCGCTATTGCAGCGCTGCCGTGGTAGTATCGTGGCGTCATTGCTCGTATCTACGGCCAGCGTGTCGGCTCTGGTCGGTCGTTGTGGACAACGAAGCGAACAAGAAGCGCTTGTGCGCTGCGGTCGGCTTGTCGCCGGCATAGACGTGCTGGTCGGAATGATGTTGGCGGCAAGCCACGTCGAGGAGTAGCGTGGAGAGGGTCGAGGTGCGTGTTATCGGGCGGCGGTGTGGCCGCGTCGACTGGCAATGTGATTCTGTACGTGCCGGCGTTGCCGACAACCGACCGACAAAGTACTGCGGCTCCATCGGGCTGGAGCACAGCGACGGCGTGCGAGAGCCTTCGGTGGATGAGGACAGACTGGTGGGGACGGTTGGGGAGGACGACGGGCGTGATCTCGCGCCATTGCAGCGCTGCCGTGGTAGTATCGTGGCGTCATTGCTCGTATCTACGGCCAGCGTGTCGGCTCTGGTCGGTCGTTGTGGACAACGAAGCGAACAAGAAGCGCTTGTGCGCTGCGGTCGGCATGTCGCCGGCATAGACGTGCTGGTCGGAATGATGTTGGCGGCAAGCCACGTCGAGGAGTAGCGTGGAGAGGGTCGAGGTGCGTGTTATCGGGCGGCGGTGTGGCCGCGTCGAGTGGAAATGCCATTCTGTACGTGCCGGCGTTGCCGACAACCGACCGACAAAGTACTGCGGCTCCATCGGGCTGGAGCACAGCGACGGCGTGCGAGAGCCTTCGGTGGATGAGGACAGACTGGTGGGGACGGTTGGGGAGGACGACGGGCGTGATCTCGCGCTATTGCAGCGCTGCCGTGGTAGTATCGTGGCGTCATTGCTCGTATCTACGGCCAGCGTGTCGGCTCTGGTCGGTCGTTGTGGACAACGAAGCGAACAAGAAGCGCTTGTGCGCTGCGGTCGGCTTGTCGCTGGCATAGACGTGCTGGTCGGAATGATGTTGGCGGCAAGCCACGTCGAGGAGTAGCGTGGAGAGGGTCGAGGTGCGTGTTATCGGGCGGCGGTGTGGCCGCGTCGAGTGGAAATGCCATTCTGTACGTGCCGGCGTTGCCGACAACCGACCGACAAAGTACTGCGGCTCCATCGGGCTGGAGCACAGCGACGGCGTGCGAGAGCCTTCGGTGGATGAGGACAGACTGGTGGGGACGGTTGGGGAGGACGACGGGCGTGATCTCGCGCTATTGCAGCGCTGCCGTGGTAGTATCGTGGCGTCATTGCTCGTATCTACGGCCAGCGTGTCGGCTCTGGTCGGTCGTTGTGGACAACGATGTGAACAAGAAGCGCTTGTGCTGTGCGCGTTTTTGCGTTTTTAGCCTGGTCACCGTTGGCCATAGGTGGTAAGCTACGTCGAGGGCGGACCCGAGCTGTGTGTTTCGCCGGCACCATGGCAACAAGGCGATAGATAAGATGCGTTTGTGAACGTGGTCGTGCACTACATCTACAGGTCGTGTTGTCAACGCCCGGCTGGGAACTATCGTGGCTCGATTGGCTCTATGACGACATGCCGTGTGAGAGCCCTAGAGAGGGACGGGCTAACCAGGTAGCCGAGCTGTCGCGCCATGGGTACTGCGAGATATCACCGGCCTTGGCGATGGACTCCACCACGTTCGACCAAAAGCACATGCGTCTACTACATGTATAGTCAAGCCGGGTTTAGAAGAAGAAAAAAATAACTCTAAAGGCGCAACGCACTGTCGACCTGGTCATTTGGTATTTTCCTACCCACGACCTTGGTGGTCATGGCGAGGAGATCGGCTCACCGCAGGCATCAGCGCAGTACCAAGCAGCAGCGTCAGCAACAGCAGGGCTTTCACCCCCAGCATGGACAATGCTTGCCGCGTCCCCGCTGCAGACTCCGCATCCATCTCTGTCCGCCCCGACGCCCCCGCCAAGAGTTCCGTTGCGATCGCCACAATCACCAGCTTCTGTCTCGACAAGTCCTCCTAGATCACCAAACCCCCCGACAGCGTTTGACCTAACGAGAGTTTCTGGTGTGCTGACAGCGTCTGGTCCAGCGAGGGATACCAGTTCCCTGGGAGCTCCATGCTCGGCGAAGTCCGGCAATCAAGAGATCGGCGCGGTCAGCGCTGCGACGACCAGCCCGATCAGTGACGACGGTTTCGCTAGCGACGAAGACTACACGTATGACGAAGGCGAAGAGAAAGAGGAAGAAGGAGGTGTGCATGGCGTTAGTGTTCCTAATCCGGCGAGAGCTCCTAGTCCGGAGAGAGCTCGTCGGACGACGAGTGCTCCTGGCTTGGCGATAGCTCCCGGTCCACCGAAAGCGGGTAGTCCTCCTGGAGCTCCTAGTCCGCCGAGAGCAGCTAGTGCCCCGACAGCCTCTAGTCCTCCGCCCGGCTCACCAGGAGAGACGGCTGACGCTGAGTCCGAGACTGACGAGGACCCGCCGCAAGTTGATGAAGTACCGCCTGAGGAGAGGGCGTATCCCTACGTGCGCGTAGTTGGTACTGAGCGAATGGCGGATGGAGAGATCCGAGCGTGGGTGGAATGGGAGGACACGCTCGAACTTTTTTCCGCCTTGTACCCTGCGGATGCACGCGCCCTTGCAAGGTACCTGCGCTGACCACAGCAAATGCCTGTCGGGCCTCCTACAAACCACTACGAGGTTATACGGGGTATACACTATCCAGCAGACGGCGGCCTCAGGGTCTTGATGAACTGGCCCAATACACTGGAGCCACTTTCGAACTTGGTACCTGCGGACCGAGAGCAGATTGAGCGTGCTAACGGTATTGCAGGCAACTAACACGCTTCAAATACATATCCTTTGCTTTTTCCTCTAGCTACGTGTTTGTTTTATTTTTCAAAGATATTCAACACCGTCCTAGTCAACGTGTTGGATGTGTGCTTGCCAGCATAAGCTGCTCAGTGTAGTACGCAGCTTCAAATATTACTCAACGGAATTGAGCTTCACAGCTCCCATCACTAATGGAAACGCTGTTGACCGAACTGCGTGCCAGCGTCAACGGATTGCCGTCCGCAACGCCTAAAACAGCTTTTGCTGATCAAATCAGTATCGACTGCGGCCAACGCCCCTACGCTGGCCGTGGACACGACCAGTGCCTCCACGATTCTACCACGGCAGCGCTGCAATAGCGCGAGATCACGTCCCTCGTCCTCGCCAACCGTCCCCACTAGTCTGTCCTCATTCACCGAAGTCTCTCGCACGCCGTCGCTGTGCTCCAGCCCGATGGAGCCGCAGTATTATGTCGGTCGGTTGTCAGCATCGCCGGCTCGTACAGAATGGCATCGCCACTCGATTTGGCAACAGTGCCTCTAGATAACGCGACGCTCGGCTATTCCTCCCCTGCACAATGACATGATCTCCTTTCAGCAGCTCCGTCCGCATCCGCATACGCCCAGTACCGGATCTCCCGCGACACGCGCTCGTAGTCATCACGCTTCGTGGTCGCTCGCTTCACCTCGTCAACCCTTCGGACATGGAAAATAATTCCAAACCTCTCGCACCAGCGACGCACGTATTCACACTCGGCTCCGCTCTCGGCGCGGTTGCCGTAGTCAAGATGCACTGCCACGATCTTGAACCCTCCGTGCTTGTCACTCAGCTTGTGCTTTAGGTTAGGTACGCCACCACCATCGAGTCCACTCCCCCAGACAGCGACACTGCCGGGTGCGAGTGCTCACGCGCCTTCATCTCCGTCAGATACTCATCCATCGCCCGGTACAGCCGATTCCTGGGCATGTCACTCTCGTCCGTCTCCGTGAACGCGCGCTCTAGGATGTCGCCGTCCGAAATGCCACCCGTCGTCGTGTCCGTGACCGGTCCTCCTCACAGGTGCTGCAGTCTGCCGGTCGTCGTGTGCCGGAACTTTGCTCCTGCAATTAGCATTAGAGAAGCTTCATGAGATTGCAGCAGTTTAGCAAGACGAACGATCGTCGTTGGCAAAAATGTTCATCCGTGGCACTTAGTGCTGGTTCTCATATTTTGTTCTGTGCAATACTCTGCCAGAACCCTGGACAGAACACAAATCATAATGTAGCCACAGCCGTCGCTCGTGACCGGCGGTGCCGTAATCTGTGTAATAATGCGTAGCGACAGTACTAATGCGTAGTGACTGGGCGGATGGCCTGGCTTTTGCTCGCTCCTGTCTTTAGATGTGAAATAGCGACATATTCCCGCATATATGGTTTTGTATAACATGTGAAAAATATACCAGTATGTGTGTATGTAAGCTCCGTATGTCAGCAGATCCGACGAGTAAATATTTCACTTAACGGATCATCCGACATTGGTGAATGAGGGGTTAAGAGACAGGCGTGGTCTATTTTAGAGGGCAGAGTATTTGCAAGCGGCAAGAATAGTTGCTAAATAAACCGTTTTGCTGACAGTCGACTAAGTCGAGTTCTTGAACTACGTCAAGAAGATACTGAGGACGACCAGTGTCTCATTTTGGCCTGGAAACTTAACAAAGTGGCCATTAAATGCTCTGGGCCGGAGCAAAAACTTGGAATCCACTCACAAACTATTGAGCTAGGCTACCTAGATATACAGAGAGAGAGAGAGAGAGAGAGAGAGAGAGAGAGAGAGTTAAAGCTACTGCGGAACCCTGCTGATATGAATTTTGATGCCACTATCGTATTGAGTGGGGAAAGTATTCAGAGAGTGCCTGGTGCGCAGCATGTGCGGCGCACCGAAGCCGCTTGCAATGCGGATTAGACAAGTCTGGACGAGCTATTCCAGCACCCGCGAAGCCTTAGTAGTCAATCGTCAGAGTTTCGCGAAATGAGCGGTATTTGCTCACCCAACAGGTAGATAGATCGCTCTCTCTTTTTATTTAAAATTACGCAACTCATCGCTTCGTCTACATTCGAACCAGAGCACGTTATGGGCCAGAATGCCACCTATAATGACATACAGGTATCCAAATCTGCAGTGACAATATTAACACCCTCCGTTCCATGTTTGGCGAGCTGAGACGATGTACTAAGCTTTCAACATTTGAGGCGTACAGCTTACGTAGCTCGAGCTAGCAGACATGATAGCACGAGATATTGACAAGCGTTGCCCAGCTATAAAGTATGCTTCAGCGGATGCATAGCGTAGTTTATTTGTGAAATCCTAAGCAACCTTTCACAAGAGTACAGCGGGTGGAAAAAGTCATAGCCCACCCCAAGCCCGCCACATACATATAGTAAGTCAAAACGATTTGCAAGCCCGATGACCCAGTGTTTCGACCTACCCAGTTGCATCCAGCAACACTAACGATACAATGCACACATGAGGCGAAAGGTACTCATGTTGTCATCCATATAAGCAAACCAGGATCCCGAGAAACCAAGAAACGGATATGATATCGTGCAATGTCTGAGGGCATTCATCACGTTTTGCCAGGCGTTGGAAGTTCACAATCTGGTGATCCAATACAAAAACCAAGATAAACTCAGATTGGACCGAGCGGCGATTTGTCAAAATCCAGTCTTTAATAGCCAATGGAATTCGAGCAGATTATAGTTCAAACGATTCCGCGTCGAATCGTGCGAAACCAAGAAGAAATGACAATTTTGTGAGTTGAAGCGCTGTTGTCATTTCACTTGCACATCTTTTTGACTTGGTCTTAGTATACTGACCCGCACAGGTAGCTCGGGGTTTCTCTGCGCGCTGTAGTAATAACTCGTATTAGTCTTATCTTAGACTTGTCCTTGATTTTATACATGTAGCCATTCGTAGCTTTAAATGTAATTGGTTAGGTTAACAAGTACTCTATTTCGGTTAGAAAGGTACCTGGTTTCGGTAAGTTACAAAACTTTTCTGCCGGCCAAGCACAACCTGTGAACTTTCCACTGTAGCCCAAATCAGGTTAATTCGCACCTCGGTAACTGAAGCCGGTAACTGAGGCCGGTATACGTGGTCCTTTGTCGCTGTCTGTCTTTCTATTGGTGACCCGGTAACTGAAGCTGGAAGCTGAGGCGATTTCACTTTCTGTCTAGTAGAGCTAAACATCAATCGTGTTGCGCCTGTGATGAACCGAGCATGACTTCAGCATTTCGAATTCAGCGCAGATTGGTGACGCACATCTCGACTACCTGCCCACCCGCCTGCTCTGCCTCGCGGGCTACAACGATTGCCGCAGTACCACCACCAAGGACCCCAAACTATCAAGGCCACGTGTCTTCCGGCACTATCCAGTTGACTACGACGCTAAACTAGAGTAGCTTCAGCTGACAGGTGTTGTCCCTTTAGTCGTCGTAGACTGTGAGTGCGCGCTGGTCTCGCTGATGCGTATTCCCACGGCCATACCAGTGCATCACTGTGTACTCTCTTAGTGTTGCCCTTCTTCAGCTGTACGGAGGAATCAACCACCCGTGACGGCTAGAAACGCGCAAACGTTGCTGCAAACCATTTTTCGACAGTCTTGCCTCCTTGTCTATATGTGAACTTTTCCACATTTCATCTTGAGAGATAAGTCCACTGTGCGGACAAGTTTTTTTCTTTACAAAAAAGTATAAATGCAGCAGCTACAAGATAGAAACGATACTCAATCTATGTAGTACATGTACATGTGCAGCCCCACACGGAACGACTGGAAAAGTCAAGGATGGCGCACGAATCCAATGGCTGGTGGTGCTGACACAATACGGCAGCCGCGCGGCCAGCGCGGCAACAACAACGCGAGCACGCAAAACCACTCAAACAGTGGAAGCGTATCAGCTATGATCGTCACGACCACTACGAATGACAAGTTTTTAAGTTGGGAGGGGTGTATGGCTCATCCACTAGAAGATATGCTACCTTAGGCATAAGTTTAGAACCCAAAAATGACAAGGCATGCGAAATCGCGGCATTACTAAGAATTTGTATAATGCGCTAGGATTCTCATAAAAGTATCGCTCACGAAGCCGCCTCGGTCGTCCACACAGACGGTTATTTGGACGCTGAGGCGGGCTCATAGCGCTTCTTATCACTTGCTAGGCAAAAGGAGCGGTGCGTACGGGCGCCTACCGCGGGCTCGTATCCTAGAGATCTAGCGATACGACCACGGAGATGCAGCAGTGCGCGTATCCGTGTGTAGGTAGCCGACTAAACCGCAACAAATTCAAAACTCTAAAGAGGCGGTGGGTAACTAAACTTCCAGCGATCGGTCGGATTCCTTTTCGATTGTCGTGATATGCCCCCAGACGTCAGCGAAGTACTCCCATGTCGCCGGTAGTCGAAGACTACCAGTCGTCAAACGAAAGCAGTCATCGCTACAGTATTATTCCTCCAAACAGAGCATTCTAATTTGTGTCAAAAACCCTGGTTGGTCCCGTAAAATTGCTACCCCAGCCTAAGCGTAGCCCAAGTTTAAAAAATAAGTTATCGACTCAACGAGAGCAGAAGACGGCTAAACGGCTGAGAAAGACGCCCTGGGCAAATGGAGCTTCTATCCGCACCATGTTGCCATCGCCTTCCACTTGTTCTTAGTGCCCGCTATAGACTGTCTTTTCAAGTTGCCCAAACAGAGTGTACTCAAAATGTTTATTACTTTTTCTCCCTTATCCAGCAACCATTTCTCTACCGCCAGTGTCTGGTCGGGGTGAACTGTGCAATTATGCAGCAAGAGTCGAGTCGGGGCGTGTCCGAATCGGACGGGGAGCAGTATTACCATGACCAGGGCCAGCAGCAGTACGCCGAGGCCGCCGTCTCCAGCCCCCCGACGCCGAGCAGCGACGAGCACCAGAGCGTGCTGGTGACCGTGGAGCCCATCGACAAGACCATCTTCTCGAACTGGAACGAGTTCCACGAGTACTTGGCCGAGTACCAGCAGCGCACGTTCCAGGTCTACTCCACGCGCACGGTGACCCCCGTGACGACGAGGAACAAGCGCATCAAGGAGCGGTACGAGGGCCACGGGAAGACCGCGCCCCCAGATGAACTGCTGCCTGAAGAGATGGGCATATACAGCAAAGGGGTGGTGTGTACCCATCATGGCCAACCCCGACCGAGAGCGGCGGGGCTGAGGACGAGAAAGCCGTCAAGGGCGATCAACTGTCCGGCACGGGTAAGCAACATAGTTGAATATTGCTATTATTCTTATGTTGCTTATTAACTTTTTTTCGTGTTGTTGGTGTGTAGATGACTTTACTGCTGAGGAAGGACCACGCCACGGGGCAGTACTTCGTGTATGTGACGTCCCACATCGCGCAACACAACCACGAGCTCTCCGGCGGACTCTATCGCAGACACCCGATGATTCGGAAGGTCGATGACCCTGATATTCTTCGGACGGTGCGCGCTCTCATGAAGGCCAACGTGCAGCCGAGGAAGATCCTCGAGTACGTGCGTGAACACACAGACAAGGAGGTCGTGATGCGGGACGTCCACAACTTGCTCGCATCACTCCGAAAGAAACCTTCAGCTGCACCTGCGCCTCCAGCTCGGACGACCAGCACTTCAGTTGCTCCCAGTTCTCCTGCTCCTGCTCCTGCTCCTGCTGCACCATCAACTGCTGGAGTGCTTGAGCAACCATCTCAATCCGCGGGAGGTGGTGCTACACCTCCTGCTGTAGCTGCCAGCACCCCTCAACCTCCTCGAGTTGCTGTTGCACCTCCTCGTGCCCCGCAACCAAGCGTTGCTGTGTCGGCTGACCGACCTCTATCCTTCGTGATAAGGAACGCGGGTCAAGCTCGACCGCAACATCAAGCTCAACCGCAGCCTTCACCCCCAGCTAGGAGGGAGCAACCGTCGCAGTATGGCAAGTTTCTGGCGGCCTTCAACGTCGGCAAGGACATTGCAGAGCTCATGGCCGAGATGGACGACGATCTGTTCGCTCACTGCTACGCCGAGCTCCGCATGTTCCTGCGAATTATCGAGAGCGGAAGAATCCCCGTTGTTACGACCCGAGAAGCCATGGAACACGCGCAGACCAACTCAGCGAGTGTCCCCAGCAGACCAATGCCCCAGCAGCAGGCGTTCCGAATTGCTTTTGCTCCGCCTTCAGGTGGTCCAGCTACTGCTGGGAACGGGTCAACAACCAACAGTTCGGCTCCTGCTGCTCGACCGTTTTCCTCCGGCTAGACAAAAACTAGCTATCAGTGCAAGTTTTCATTAACCGGTACTAATGTATGCTTCAGCTTTCCAATGCCCTGTAGGTCTGCCGTCTAGTTGACGTACCAGAGATCTCCGACGCTAAACCCATCGGGCAGACTCTCGATCGCCAGCCCCAGCTCCTTGGAGAACGTCGCGGGTCGGTCTTGGTTCTTGTTCACCGCCGCGTAGTACGCCGCGAAGGCGTCCATGGAGCTCGAGTAGTCTTCCTCGATCTCGACGTCGTCCATCTTGCGCGGCTGCTTGAGCTGCTCCAGCGGCGCCGGCTTCTCCTCGATCTCGAACTCGACGCCGTAGATGGGGTTGGTGGAGAAGACGCTGTGCAGACTCTGCATCTCCTTGAAGAGTTCGTGGAGTCGCTCCTCCGGGTCCACGCGGAAGCCCAAAATGTAGCCACCACTGGCCGCGGACGTCTCGATCACCAGCGCCGGCCCGAACTTGGAGCCGCGGATGCGAGCCGAGTTGATCTGCATGTACGGGATGCTGACGTTGAAGTTCTCGGCCAGGTTGGCGTGCCACACGATGCGCACGTTGGTCACGAAGAAGGTGCCGAGGTTGCCCTGGTCCGAGGACAAGTTCCAGACGCCGTTGAGTCGCGTGTAGACTTGCTCGTGGGGCAGCAGCGTGAGCTCCTTCTCCTTGATGATGGCGCCTCGGAGCTTGAGCTCCCGGTAGAGCTTGGTGGTCTCATAGGAGCGGAACACGGCCTGGATGGTGGTGAAGAGCCTCGGACTGGCCTTGACGAGACTCGTGAAGATGAACTCGAACCGACTGTTGGCGTACTTGGTCATGACGTACAGCGCCTGCGTGCTGCCGCGCAGCTTGGACGTGGCCGTGCGGATCTTGAGGCTCTGGATGCAGCTGTAGCCGATGCTCAAGTTGGTGCGGATGGACTTGTGCGAGGCCCAGAGCAGCCGCAGGTTGGTGATCTCGAGCGACCCACGGTCTCCGTTGTTGCCCTTGGTGTCCTCGACCGAGTTGATGGAGTCCACCAACGTCTCGCCCTTGCGGAGCTGCATGGCCGCCGCCGAGATGTCGAAGCGGATCTCGCGGTCCTGCCAAGTCACGGCCTCGGGCGCGGCGCGGATCTCCGTCGCCATGGCTACTGCTGGTCTAGAGAGGATCTACCTAGGATAGCCGATTGAATCGATCTTAAACGGACGCGTCCGCTCAAGCTCAAACGCACTACGACAAAGCCAAACAAATGAATCTCACTTTTACCTCTTACTCGAGTCGCGTAGGCGCGGGTGGCGGCTGCTATCGCTTTGTTTCATGGGTCCGGTCTTCCTCCCTTCGCCTCTAAATGCTACAAGCAGTGACCCTCCCTAACTTACGCCAGCGAGCGCTCCATTGTCTGCTGCAGCAGCGCGCTGAAGGCCTTCTGCTCCAGCTTGAGACACACCTTTGTGGTGCCCGAGTTGTCGAATGTGAGCTCGAACAGCGCCACGACGTTGGTCATGGTCTTGACAGAGAAGTACGCGATCTCCTTGCCGTCGATCGGCCGCTTGGCCACGTAGAAGACGTTGTGGCGGCCCAGCTGCTCGGACACGGCGTCGACTCCGTGCGCGCCCGTGGCCAGCGCGAAGTAGTGCTCGTTGGCCTCGGGGATGCCCTGCCACATGCTGATAAACTCGGTCGACGCCATGCTGCCGGCCTCCGTGAAGATCGCCGACAGGTCCAGCTCTGACTGGAAGTAGACGACGTCGCCGCTCGAGTTGTTCTTGATAGCCACCTGCAGATTGAGGTTCGGCGCCACGGCGGCGTTGACGAACTGCGGACTGACGCCCATAGGCACAACCTGGTTCACAGTTTGGCCCGGCACCAGCGGCTGCGGGAACGTCACTGTTGCCTGTATGGGCACCACGCCGAATGTGGACTTGTTGAACTGGATGCTCACGCCCGCGATCGGCGCAGGAGACTGGTTCTCGAAGTCCACGTCCAGCACGAAGTTGCCACCGCGCCGTGTGAAGGCGCCCGTCATCTGCAGGCCCTTGCCTTGCTGCGCACTCATCAGCAGCTTCTTCTGTACAGCGGGAGCCACACCGCCAACGGTAACCGGAGCAGGCGGGGCGGCCGGGCCACCGAAAATGTCAACAAGACTAGCGCTAGCGCTTGCCGGTGCCGCAGCGGGAGCAGGAGCAGTCGGGGCGGGGCCGCCCAGGGAAAGATCGCCCATGTCCAGCAGGTCCACTGGTCCACTGCTGGAGCCTTCCTCGGGCTGGTCGGAAGAGCCTTCGTCCTCGTCCTCGTTGCTGTGGTCGTCGTCCTGGCGGTGCTCGCGCAGCTCCGAGACCGTCGTGCGCACCACGAACGCACTGGGTAGCTTGTGGTAGACGCTGGCGAGCGTCGAGATCTTGCCGATCAGGTCGTCCAGAACCGAAGGCTCAAGCGCGAACGTGTCGTCGCTGATCACAGGCTTCTCGGCGAGCACGACGGCGTGGGCGGCTTCCGGGTTGGCCGAAAGCAGACGCCAGTAGACGTAGCCGCGGTCGCGCAGGTCCGGGTTGTCCGACTCCTCCGTAGCCTTGTGCAGCACCTTCTGGACCATGTCCTGCGTCTCGTTGGGGCGCTTGAGGAAGAGCTTCACAGTGGCAGTCAGCAACTGCAGCTGCACCTGCGCGGTCTCGTCATCGAACGAGTCCATGAACGACTCCAGCAGCTCGTCAGCGTTGTCGATACGCTCGGCGTACTCGCCGATGATCCAGATCATGGACGCCTTGGCCTCGGGCTCATCCAGCGTGTCCAGATTCTCGCAGAGCGTGGCGATGATGCTCTCGTACTGGTTCGGGTACTTGCGGAAGATATCCTTGATCACGATGATCGCCTCCTGCACGATGTAGTTCACCTTGGTCTGAATGAGCTCGAGCAGCACGTTGATGCACTTCTCCGCGGCGCGCTCCAGCTTGACAGCGCAGCGGCCGATCGCGCGCACCGAGCGGCGCACGAACTCCACGTCCACCTCGGTCGCGTACTCCTTGAACTCCAGCAGCACCTGCTCAATGTTCCTCTCCGAGACCAGGCGGATGATAATCTCGAGCTTCTCCATCTTGACGTAGATCGGGTCGTTGTACTTGCAGAAGAAGACCTTGATCTCATTAGCCAGGATCGCGGGGCGCTTCTGCACGATCAGGTTAATGTTGCGCAGCGCCACGTACTGGATCTCGGGCTCCGCAGACAGCAGCGTGACGAGCGGCGGGGCCATCTTCCTGGACAGGCTCCTCTCCGTGTCCGCGTCCGAGACCTTCTCCAGGAACTTCATAATAACCTTCACCGCGGACAGCACCACGGCCGAGTTGGCGTGCTGCAGTCTGGGCGTGACGCGCTCAATGATGCCCTCGGCCTCCCTGGAGTCCGCGGGCGTGTAGCCTGCCAGCGCGTCGAGTACGAAGACCTGCCCCCACTCGTTGCACTCGTTGAGCGCCGCCAGCAGCTTCTGCAGCACGGACTTGGTGATCTTGAAAGCCATGGCACCGCCGCTGTTCTCCGAGATCTCACTCAAGGCCGCAATGGCGTTGGCCACGACCGTTGGGTTGGAGTCCGAGATGAGGTCCTTCAGCATGTCCAGGAAGCCCTGCTCCTCCACCATGTCCGGGTTGATGTCGTAGAGCTTGGAGACGCAGATGGCCGCCGTCTTGCGCACGTACGGGTCCTCGTCCTGCAGGCAGCGGCGCAGCGGCTCGCACAGGTACTCGGTGATGCGGTCCACGCGGATGCAGCCCATGGTGCGCACGGACAGCGCGCGGATGAGCGGGTTGGGGTCGGCGGCGTCCTTGACGAACGTGTTGACGGCCAGGATGGTCAGGTCCGGGTTGCTCTTGGCGTAGTTGATGAGGTAGAGGTACACGAGCTTCTTGAGCTGCGTGTCGGCCGTCTGGATGCAGTTGACCACGTCCGTGAAGAGCATGGACACGTCCTTGCCCACCGTCATGTTGGCGATGACCTTCTTGACGGCGTCCTTCTTCTTCTCGCGGCTCGGGTTGGCCAGCTCCTGCCGCAGCTCGTGGGTCTCGCCCTTCTTGGTGGTGCTGAAGAACTTGGAGTCGTTCGCGGCGCCCGTCATGCGCTTGGCGATCGCGGCCATCGTGGGCATCGCCATGGCTGCCAGAACGTGCGGGGGGTTGCGAGCTCACAGAGGAATCGCCTTATGACGCGGCGGCTTTTTGGCTCTACGAGGCGCGATGAAGCGCCGGATATGAAACGGACGCGCGGCGCGGATTGGTGGAAAATCGGCAAGTGGTGTGGACGACGTAATGTAGCCATGTGGACCCACTTCAACAAAAAGGAAAGGAAAGGTTGCCTTTCACTTTGTGAATTGGCGGGACGGAGAGAAGCCTCGTTCTCCAGGCCCTGGAGGGCGAGGCTTCTATGACGGACCATCACTCTCTCAGGTGACGCACGCGTACTCTTAAGGAGTGCAGTTCCTCTGAAGCAGCTCCGGCAGCTCTCCGAATTGCTTCCATCCAGGTTTGTCGCTGTGGTGGATCCGCTCCTTTGAACGCAGACGCCGCATCTTAGCCCGCTTCCTTCGGTATGAAGGCATCTTCTACTATCCAACGAGCGGTGGGAAGAGTTAGCGCAGGGGATGGTTAGCTTCCCCAGACCATCGAGATACAGAAGCGGGAACGAGAATGGCCCGCGATGAAGCTCATCACGATTGTCTCGGCGTTGCGCTGCAGGAGGGTGATACGGAGGTGAGTCTTGGATATCTTGAGTCTGATCTCCACTTGGGCTGCCGTGCTCCAGCTTCAGGACGAGGTTGTCCCCCGATTCGTTTCTGAGCGCGACTTCGACGACCAGCGTTGGAGAGCAGTCCGCGGTAGCGCAGCCCGCCATCGAGCCCTACCGACCTCCTGACAGGCCGCCCGCAGTCGGGGAGAACGTCCCGTGCCTGGCGTTCGGCTGCGCCAAGCCGTCGTCACCTACGCTCCGGATCAAGACTTCAGCCTCGGCAGTGTTGGCAAGCGTTGCGGGTTACCTACTGGTGTTGAAAAAGATGTGCTGAATGGGGCGCTTAATGTATGCGGTACGCAGTGGTCAGCTATGACGTACTAATTTCGAGATGCTGACAACCTGCTGCTTTACCCCACCTCAGCAGCTTTGCTCTCATTCTCCAGTCACCTGGATTGCTCCTTCTCGAACGTTCACGAAAGCCAAGTCGTGAGTGTGAGTGTGGCAAAGTGATTCAAGTCTACACGCCGATATCGGGGGTGAGAAGTGCTATCTGCTAGCAGTACTCGCCTACGAGTTTAGTGCACTCTCGGTTCACTCTCTCCACACACACTTCGCGGTCTCACCCCACTTAGCTTTCACGAACTGCGAGTTGGTGCATGTGAATTCACTTGGTGGCAAAACGCCGTGACCTCCAGCTCCATCAGCATCGCTTCGATTCACGTAGCAACATACTTACACGTCTCCATTTTCACGGTCTTCATCACTTTTATCCTGCAATTCTAGCGCAACGACGTCCTGAAAGATACTTACTCTCTGCGCGTTCGTTCCGTATGCTGTTGCCGGTGAAAGAGGAGGCGTCCCCTTTGCGTCCAAACCGGAGCCCGACTAATCCAGCATCACCAGCTTCTTGTTAAGTTTCGGTAGCTCTCCGAATCGAGCAGTACCGTCTTCATCGATTCCGTTGGTGCCAACATTCAGTATCCGCAGCGACAATTGGAACTGGTTAAGAATCGCTGATCCTGATCGGATCTTATGCCAGCATCTCCATCCAGCGCGCAGCCAGAATCAGAGCCGCCGGGTTCAATGCTGTACGAGTCAAAATAAGGTGTATCTGCAGGTGTAGCATGTTACAATAGTAGAATGTCTAGAAGCTGAGATATGGATAAATATCGTGACGGTGCCGACACATATGATTTTATACTTAGCCATTATATGGCCGTCATGGCCCAATCAAATGTCCATGAGCGATTATTGTAGGATAAGAAAGAGGAGCGTGCGTACAGACAACGACGGATAAATACGGCAACGCAAAACCGGCACACATATGTTGTACTTTTACAATAAGTAATTCAGATAGCCAATCATCTTCGAGATTTACACTTGACATTTGTCATCCATATGGTTTTAAGTACTTTCTCTAAATTTGTGTGTACTTTATGCTCCGTTACGTGTATTTTATGCCATTGCCTTGTACAATCTCTATCGTTCCCGACAGAGAATTCTGGTACATTTACTATGGAGGATGCCATTCAGTGGTGCCGGATTTATCCGTCGTTGTCTGTAACTATACGGATTTGTGGTGCAAAATACACAACTCTGGGGAGCAACCATATTGTGGGGGATGGAATATATAACCCTGACTAGAGTATAATAACATGGTTCGAAGTATAACGGCCGGCCGGCGGATTTACCCCGGCCTCTTAGCCGGACGGCAAAATTGCGGAGCGGCTGAATTGACTCGGCTTCTTATCCGAGTGACTGGATTGCTAGGACCCCGCAGCGATCGGTTGTACATACACAGCTAACTCAAACGCTTATACTGCAAACTCACAGGCTTCTACTTTCTTCTTGTTGCGAGGATGTCTACGTGGATACAGCTCTCTCTTCTTGACAGCGCGGATGACTATGGTAGCTACCGTGATCAGCTCATGTGTTGTACCGCCGTTTTTCACACAGTGGGCTTCGATTTCTGCCGCATCTGTGGCGGAAAGCACACGATGATAGAGCGTCGACTGAAGTGCTCAAGTAAAACCTGTATAAGGTTTGGCAAGTGTGGAGTTGTGTGGAAGGTATTCCATTGCAAGGGACAAGATAAGTGGCGCGTACTTGTGAACTCGAACGGCCACGCGAGAGGAGTGCTCACGTGCAGCGAACAACACACTCCCCTCGTCACTCGCCCTATGAAAGCGTTTATCGCTACCCAAGATGAGGTTGGACTGCCACCCCGGGTTATCGAGGTCCATCTGAAGAAACAGTTCAACATTCGACCGTCGCGGGGAGGGTGGCCTACGCTTTCTCAGGTTCAGATCGCCCTAAAACGTATCCGAAAAGAACAAGGGCCCAAGAACTCTATCCAAGCAATTCACAGACTGGCCCGATCGCGCTGCTACAAACCCGAGAACCCACCAGAAACGGCATTTGTGTTTGGTGCAAAACTGGACGTCGATGGCATGACTTACGTTGGCTCGGGAGATGACGATGACCCGTTTATTGTCGGCGTGACTTCACTAGCAATACTCGACAGTTGTATTCGCTTCAGTACGGGTGATGCTCTTTCCTGTTCCATGCTGACACAACCTTTTGAGCTGAGTGATATTGGGTACCCCGTGATAACCTGCGGGTTCACCGACCAAGCCAGGAGATACCAAGTCGGAGCTTTCTTCGTGGTGAGTCGCCGCACCGAGCATGAGTAAGCTTTCCATGCATCTACAATACTGCAGCCATCGCTAAAACCATCCTTGCGTAACATGAAACCAGGCTCCCAAGTGTCTTCCCACCGATGACCATCCAGTTCGTCACACCACTTAACGCGGTATCGAAAACCTCGACCGACTGCAGTCCTGTCGATGATAGGAAAAACTTTCCATGTAGTTTTCACGCAGGCCAGGCCCTTCTGTACAGCACCACTTTTATCAGGTACATGTAATGCAGCACTTGCAGTTTCGCCAGTCGCAGGATCACTAAAAGAAGCCACCTCACATACAGCAGCCATAGTGGACGGATCGTCGCAACCGTGGACCGTGTTTCTCGCAATTGCGCTCGGCCGATTTCGTACATACGAGTAATCATACTGCTGCCGTCCACCCTCGAGTCGCGGCAGAGATAAGCTGCATCTGCCGCTCCGACGCACTTGAATTCACACGACATGCTTGTTAAGATCGCAGTAGGAGCTGGTTGCTTTCTTCGCCCAGTATACCCGCTGCCCCCCTCGTGGAAGTCCCATCGTCCTTCTGCAACACGCATCAGTCGAGCCCGGGAAACCGTAACGAGGGTAGCGAGTCATGGAGCTGGCGATACGCGTCCCTGTGTCGAAATTCAGAAGCGAAATCTACAGAGGTAGATCGAATGTCTTCCGATTGAGTGATTAAGCTAATACATCAATCAGGCTCTTCTGGAGAATCCAGGATTTCAAATTCCATCAATCGGCTTTTCGATTGACGGACTACAAATGTCAGTGTGCTGCGTATACAAACTTTGTGAGCAAGCATTGATCCTTGTTACACTGCCTTAATCACCGCCGTTAAATTTTCAGTGCATAGTTTGACACGGACTTTGCGTTGCCATGCAGTACAAGCGTGAAAAAGTAATTCTTCCCCACGGCGGAGTTACGCGAATTCTGCTGCTTGGCAAGATTGCGAATGCGGCTGCTTGGCAAGATCGACGCCGTGTGCTAATCCAAACATGTGGCGTTTGTGCAGTTTTTGTATGTATGCTTTGGATGCGCACCTCTGTATGTTTTGCCCGAATTTCTGTATGGCGGGGACCTTGTGTCGATAAGAAAGTGTTTTCCCAACATGGATGTAGTTGCCCTAACCCTATCTTGTGAGAGCTGCTCGTAGGCTATGAGCAGCTATGAGTCATAGCCCAATCGATTTGTCTCATCATAGAAATTTAGCCAATAGCATTTGTCGCAGAGCTATTCCCAAACTTTTCCCAATTATGTTGGTACGAGCTCACAATTACAGGATAATGTCCTATACCAACTTCAAATGTAAATGTTAACTTATCCCTAATATCGCGATATTTCCCAATCACATTGTTCGAGTAACGGCTGGCGGAGAAGCCATCTACGCTGGAAAGGCTCCGACTCCAGAGTACTCTACAAGATGCAGCGAGCAGCAAGGGGGCTTGACGTCCCACAGGGGACAGCGGGCCAGGAGTCGGCAGCCTTAAAGTGCTTCGCTGACTTCTTGGCTCTGGGTAACATGAGCGAGAGCTCTTTAGAGTGCATTGCAAAGTCGCTAGCGGAGCCTGGAGCTCTACCTAGTCAGAACTTTTACTCCCTACTAACCGCCTTCGCTATATACCTGCAAACTAGAAAGAGTGCGCGTGGCGGTCTCTTGGCCAAAGCTACTGCGGTGGGGTATATGTCGCAGGTTGTTAACCTATTGCGAGAGGGTTACCCGAACTACAAGGCTGACAGCAAGCGAATCGCCAAGATTCGCGAGAAGATGGCAGCGGCCATCGACGAGCGAAATCTGCTTGCCGGTGTGCAGACCGGGGAGGCTCCTGGCTGTACGCTGAGCGATCTGCGCACTCTAGTCCAGGAAACTGCGGTTGCGGGGGTTGGATCTGGGTTTAAAAGTTTGCATGACTCGACTGTTCTAACACTAATGTGGCACACGTTTGGCCGTGCAATAGATACTTGCTTTGCGAGAAAGTCCCAACTCTCCATCGCCTCGTCGGGCAAGCTGTTCCTACATGTGGCGCGCATCAAGACATCGGTCGTCCAGGGGATCTCTATCTACAAGTCAGCAGTTCACTGGAGCAGTGCATGTTTCATGCACTGGGCATGAGGTTCGTGGGGGCGTCAGAACCGTCAAGCTACATCTTTCCCCTGGCGCCCCACGTTGCATCGTCTGAGCTACCAGGGGAGAAAACCTACAGTCAAGACGAGGCGATCATGTACTGGAACAATTTAGAAGACAAGCCCAGCTCCAAAGAAGAACCAACTGCAAAGAGAGTGCGCGGTCGCCCAAATGTATCCAAATACATTAACGACGTCATTACGGAGGTGACTGAGCGCGTTTCAAAGGCTAGCGCACCGCTGCCGCCGGCCATGACTGCTGGGCTATCAAGCCATTCTCTGCGACGCGGCTCAGCTGCATACGCCAACGCATCGCCTAAGCTAGCCATCCAGTGGATATCGACGCGCGGGGCCTGACTGCGGGACTCGCTGACGAAGGCTTTTGCCTACGTCGGCACTACGACCCGCGAAGACCAGAGCGTTGGGAAAGTGCTGGCTGGCTACAACGACCCTCATCTTCCGTGCGCGACGCCGTCGATCCAGACGCTGCAAGAGGTCTTGCCTGCGCTGGAGTACGCGCAGCTGCTGTCGCTCAAGGCCCAGCTCTTCAGGACTGTGAGTGGCTTCACCGACGTGACGCTCAACGTCGACAATCTTGTGCTGGACGCTGTGATGGCTTCGCTGCTCATACATCTGGAGGAGGTATCCGCAGCGGTCGCGAAGGAGCAGGCTTCCATCGGCTACACGTCACACTATCTCTACCGTTTCCACATCGCCCTCGACACCACCAACACCGCTCTCGGCTCTGGGTTGATGCTGGCGACATGCATCGGGTGGGGACACCAGCTTCGAGCCGCCTGGGAGACGGAGAACTTTTCCCAACTTGGTGGGAGCTGTGACGGCGACACGGCTGTCCTGGCGTCGGCTGTGATCCAGATGCTGTCCTCTATTGCTGCGATGCAGCGGACCTTGGCGAAGCTGGTAGCGATGCAGGAGAAGAGGGACGTGCAAGCTGGACGGGCCCAGGCACCAAGTGAGAGCTCCACGCCGCCAACTGCCCTGGTGGCAACAAACAGCAGCAGCGTCATCGTGGAGGCGCACACGCTTGCCGGTTGCTTCTACAATTGGTATGTCCTGCAACTTTGGAACACAGCAACAAACAAAAAGCAGCGATTTGCTCGAGCAGATCTCAAGGCATGCATTATGTTAATTGCGTCAGGTGCCCACAGCTCAATACCTGCTCAGCCGCTGGACCATGATGGCGTATCGTATCGCCTCTGGAAGCAGACACTGTGAACGCTTGCCGAGGAGCTGGACAAGAAGACGAATCAAGCGCTAGGGATCCTGGACAACAAGGGTCGCTGCAAGACTGCTGGATCGCTTCTGAAACGCTGGCGCAAGCTGCGCGTGGAGAACCGTGCTGCGTTCGACGCTATCTGCTCGGCCTACATCTTGCGCAAAGGGAACGGTGGTACCGTTGATCATTGCACACCTGTGGCAAGCAAAAGACTTCAAGTAAGAGGTTAGCGGTACATAGGATAGCTCAGTTAACACCACAGTACATATCTTTCATGTAAAACTGGCAGCTGGAATTGAACCAGCATGCTCCCAGCTAATGCATGGGCGCCTTTCCAATCGGACATACCAGTACAACGTGGATACATCGCGAAAACAGCTTCAAACACACGCGCAGTGTCCACACGGATGCACTCAAAGGAGGCAGCCAGGCACCGCGGTCACACGCACCTTTAGCTCTCTAAACCGGCAGCATAACGCCCGCCCTGCCGGTAGAGAGATCCTTCGAGTGTCCATGTCCAGCAGCCAGCGTATCCGGCTCGTTCGCGGTCGTAGTTGGGGCGGCGGGGCGCGGGCGTTCTTCCTCTTTGTCGGGTGAGCTTCTGTTTGGCGGTGGCGAAGAGAGAATGCCACGCGGCGGGGCGCAAGTAAGAAAAACCTCGAGGTTTTACCCTGATTAGGATCGGATAATCTAGGCATACTCTGGTCAAGTCATTGGGAACACAGCCATGTAGTTGGCTCGATGGGTTTTGGACTGAGCTTGGGAACTCGTCGATTAATGTCGAATGAGGAGGCGGATGAATCGTATTTTATTCAATCATCAGCGCTAGGGGTAGGTTTATGGGTTGCCGACACTCCTGCCGACGTATAATGTCGGCAAGGCTGTCGAAATATGCTATCCACCTATAGTGAGGTTAAGTAATTAGGCGATTATACACATATTTTGCTTGCTGCCGACACTTCACATTGAGTTTGTATTGCGTTTGTTTGCCTGTTGGAAGCGTTTTGTATGGCGCATTTTCTTACATCACAAATTCGATCGAGTTTTCTCGGCAACGCCTTACCCGCATGCGATGACACAAAGAGGCTTCAGGTAAGGCGTTGCTCATGGGGCTGTTGTCGCTGCAGCTGAGGTGCCACCAGCGACACATGCAAGTGACTACTGAGAGAGATCAAAGCGAAACATGAACTAGCAGGTATTTAAAATCTATAACAATATATTCATTATTAAATCAATAAATGCAATGGCTACTTGTGCACTACAGCACTACGCACCGTCACGCCAGTAGAAAGCGTCGCTTCACCGCGCAGCGGTGGTGGCAGCGGCGGTGGCACCACCAGTAGAAGCGGTATGCCACGTCCCCCGCCTCCCCAACTTGACAGCAGCGAGCGTACCCCTCGCCACCCCAGGGTTCGAAAACTCGCAGCCGTTGGCGCGCAGTCGCCGCGCTGCTGGTGCTGGTGCTGGCACTGCTGCTGCTGCTGGTGCTGCTTGGCGAGGCCGGCTACTGCTGCGGGCCCCTCAGCTGGCTCTGCAGCGCCGCGTGCTGCTGTGTCTGCTGCCTGCTGCTCTGATCTTCACACCTTCTCTGTCTTGGGTACCTTCTTCTTCATCTTGTCCTTGCTTCATGCGCGTGTCGTCCAGCGAGGGCGGGTGGAAACGGCCGCCAGGCGAAGACTTTTTGTCGGCCGTCCTCCCCCTCGCTCTTGCCGTCCGCGCACTTGGTGCCTTCGCCGCCCTTCTTGCTCTTGGTCTCCCCGCCGTCCGTCGCGCCCTTGGTGTTTCTGCCGTCCTTCGTGCCCTTGATCTCCAAGCCGTGCTCCGTGCTCTTGGACAGCCCGTCGTCCTCCGCGCTCTTGGGATCACCTCCCCCGATGCCTGACGTCTTCGCCCTTCCTGTCCTGGGTGACCTGGGCTGGCTGCGAGGGCACGTGCCCTCACACTCGGCGAGGCGGTGAGCAGGTTGCGGAGGTGATGAGCCATCCTTGAGATCGCTCTCGAGCCTGTGCAAGACTGGCAAGGCACGCACTCCGGGCCTGGAGGGGAGGGGGCGTAGCGAAGGTCTCGGTGCTGCTAGGGCGTCGCTGCGCTCATGGTCGCCGCGATCATGACCACGCAAATGAAAATGGAAGAAGTGCTAAAATGTTGCCGTTTAGACCAATCGTAGAAATTCATCATTTCCACCAATGATAGATAGTGTCGGCAGGTGCAGGCCGCTGTCGGCACCGTCATGGTATGGCGTAAACGAACCGTCGACACAAGTTACCCAACTTTAACAAATTGTGTGGGCTTTTTGAGCGGGATCATAAGATAAATTGTCACAATTTCGGTTAACGCAAATTCACGCGAACGCAATGCAGGCATCGGTTTCCCTCGGAAGGCCCCAGTCTTGGGTACGCGAACACGGAATCACTGTATTGCATTTGCGATGTTTTTTGAAATATCAGTTTGAGTACTGGCAAGACTGAAAGTTTCTTGCAGCAGTTATTAAAGATGAGCCCAGAATGTTCGCGCAACCGATTGTTTTATGGTTTGGCGACCTTACACAGTAGTGGTATTTAAAATTGCCAAGTCTCGTCAGCTACGCTCCAGATAAAGATTTTTTGAGCTGCTTGGTTTGATAAGACTAACGCTGACTGGTATTTTTTTGTGATCACTGACGCTGCCGTCATGCAGGCGACTGGGCAGTCATCTGAATCAGAAGGTAAGGTTTTAAACAGGTTTTATGCAGACCTGGTCCTGTTTTGGTCCTACGGAATCTAAACGAGACCGAACAGAAATCAGTATGATTTCTCTAGCGATCCCGTTTGGATGGCGAGACCCAAATGATATCACTACGAAACAAGCCAGTTTTAGACCCCCTTCATCCTGATATAAAATGTCGTGATAGATCATAGAGGGCAGCCGCTATTGAAGTAGAGCTGGAGATTATAATACAAAACCCAAATGTCTGAATTTGCGAGCGAGTGTCTTGCTGGTGTCGATCCCTGGACCGTCGACGCTGCTCGAACTGTACGCTATTGCTAGACTTTCTTAATGAGCTTTAACTAACTGGGTTGCTCAGACGTCCTCGTGCCTGAATCTACTGCTATCTTCTTCGTCCATGTATTCTTGTATGCATGTACCGCTGATCCTTGGTACTTGGTACTTGAAGTACTTGCTTGTACTTTACCTCTGCAGGAAGCTAGATAGTGATCCAGTGATCGACATCCAGCAGGGCGCTAGCTCGCAGCTCGCCCTCCACATCCCACAGGGCTAGTGTCTCACAGTACTGCTTCGCACGAGTACTTCAAGCCTCGGCTCCTACCCAAAATGAACTTCTCGATTGTCCCTAAGACCGCAATTTAAGGAAAACTACAATTGGTCTAGCCTAAGACGCGTTCTTAAGTTCCCGGGAGCTGGGACCGGGACGAACGGGACGATACCCCTCGTCCGTCAAACTTGATAATTGTAAGCATTTTTTAAGCCCCTAACTCTCGGGAACTACCGCGAACTACAGTGAAAGAAGAACATGGTCAGATAGTCCTTTCGAAACGTAACAAAGTGGTGCACACTTGGCGCGTATTAGTGAAGAAATGAAGTAGCTAGGGCGAAAGTCCCACGTCCCGACATTTCCACTGTCGCCGCCAAGCTCAACATCCCCCCCACGTGTAGCATGTCCCGCCCCAGTAGCCCTGACCCTGACGGCCTAAAGGCGCTCGCCGAAGCGCCGTCGCTCGCTGAATGCATTGGCTACAACGACATTTGGGCTCGCCCGCTGCAGGTCCAAGGCCTCCTCCACAGCATGATGATGGCTCGCGCCGGGAGCTCCGCCACAGCTCTCCAGTACGAAGACGCTGGAAGTCAGGCAGCTGGTCTCGTTGCTACCGGTAACGTGCTGGCGAACAGCAGCTTGTCTGGCGCAGACAACATGGCTACATCTCAGCCTACCGGTGGTGCTTCTAGCACGCCGACAGTGTCCGCGGCCGGCAGCGGTGCAGACAACGCCGTCACCAGTGGAAGCAAGGCTAAACAGAAGGGCAAGCGATCGTCAAGCACAGCGAGAAAGAAACGAACGGCACTCACGGCTGACAAGAAGCCTAACGCAGTGCTCGAATGGACCAACGTGATGGTGCACGACTTGATGTCGCTGCGCTACGAAGCGCACGCCGCCCGCTTTAGCAAAGCCAAAAACAACGCAGCCTTGAAGGAAGCGTGGCTGCTGCTAGCTACTGAGCTGAGTACCAACCAAGGCATGGCCATATCGTCTGAGCAATGCAAGAACAGAGTTTTTGATCGCGCGTGTTACGACGTTGCACCTCGCCCACCTCCTCTTCAGTTTCGTCTTCGGCATTTACTAAACCTACGGAAACGGGAGTGGTGTCTTGAAAGTCGATCAGTAGATTATGTAGCACCATACATGCCACTATAATCCGCACCGACGCGCTTGGTGTGCGGTCCTCGAGTGGCTTCTTTAACATTCTGAAGCGTTCCTTCAAAAGCCCAAAGGCGCCTTCAATTGCCATTCGGGTTGAAGATAGGTAAAAGTTGAAGTTGGCTTGCAGTGCGGTGAGCTTACCACCTTCGTCATTTTCACAGTACGGTGTGATGACTGTTGGAGATACACCATAGCCGGAATCTGCTATAACGTGGTGTCCACGGGGTAGAATGCAGGCAATATTTCGGCCGAAACTTGAATGTTGAAATATCTTGGCGTCGCTCCAAGAACTCGGCCGCACATCAAATGAAATGAACCTTTTGCGGTGGTCACAAACCGCTTGTACATTGACTGAAGGGAATCCTAAAAAGCAACAACAAAGTTTAGAATGCGGTAAAATAAAAGCTTCTCGCTCAACAATACTACCTTTGCGATTGTACCAGCCTTCAAAGTCTCGGGGTCGATTGATTGCGATCAAAGTGCCGTCCATTGCTCCGCAGCAAAACGGGAATCCTCGAACTTGGCGAAAACCATTGACGATCGTATCCCATTCTTGGGGTGTTTGGGGTAGCTTGATGCATGTAGCTCGCATTTCTGCCAACTCACGAACCAACATGTTAACCTTAACAATACATCACGATTTTGACACACCAAATGCCTGAGCCGTTTCTCTAAAAACCCCACTTGAGCCTAGATGAAATAGAGTACAAGCTATCAGTATCCGCGGCGGCACTGCAGATCACAGCACATCGAAATGGCTACACTTACGTATCGAACATAGATTTCTCTATAAGAACCCTCTTATGCAAAAATCGCAATTGGAAAGCATTAGAGCACGCAATAATGGCTGCGCCCGCGACGTCCAAGCCACCGACGCACGTCGTGTTCGAGACGACCGTGGTGCGTTTCTTCGCTGTCTACTCTGCTGCATCTACTCTCTCTTCACGTGGCATGGAAAAAATCTAGAGCTAAAATGGCGTGCGATTGGCTACAATAACAGGGAGACTTCACCATGGAGCTCTACACGGAGCACGCGCCCCGGACCTGCTGGAACATTGCGGAGCTGGCGCGCCGTGGCTACTACAACAACACCATCTTCCACCGCATCATCAAGGACTTTATGATCCAAGCAGGAGACCCCACGGGCACGGGCCGCGGCGGAGAGTCCATCTACGGGTAATGTAGCCATGACGCACAGTGGAGACTGTCTTCCATTATGGCTGCGATGCGGAAGGATCACAGTATTGTGTATTGTGTATTGCAGAGCCAAGTTTGACGACGAGATCACCAAGGAGCTCAAGCACACCGGTGCCGGTGTGCTATCGATGGTAAATATTTGTTCAGACTGCTCCATGGTGGATGGATTTATGTGCTTCGAAGTAGGAGCTTGAGAAAGGCTGACCGGTATTTTGTTGTCGGTTGTTGTGGTGCTTTTGTAGGCGAATTCAGGCCCAAACACTAATGGCAGCCAGTTTTTCATCACGCTGGCACCGACGCCATGGCTGGATGGTGCGGAGGGGCTTAAATCCGTAGTGTGTGTGAAAGCGGCAATTTTTGTCGTTGACAGTCGTGTTTTTGTGTTTATGGTATGCAGGCAAGCACACGGTGTTTGGCCGTATCTCGTCTGGTATGAAGGTAATTCAGCGCATGGGCATGGTGCCGACGGGAGCGAACGACAGGTAAAGTAAAGAAGGGTGGATTTATTACGCGCGTGTTGAACTGGGTTACAGCCGAACTGACATTTTGGCACTGGTTGGCTGTAGACCGCGTGAAGAGATCCACGTCAAGCGCGCGTATCCAGTTTCTCAATGAGAAGACCGTGGTAGAGACTCAATTGTTGTTCCTTGAACAGCATCATGTAAGGACGTCATAGATTGCGCTTGCTACGATCATCCGCGAACGGATTGCTTGTCGTGTTACGTTTGATGGAGATAGTCATCTGTGGGTGGGTGGTTGTGGGGGCAGGCAGCAGCAGCTTCGGCGGCTACTATCGAGACGGCCCTATGAGGAGAAGCTGAAGAGTCACTTGGTGTCTCCAAATCTGTTTGGCGTGAAAGATGACCGACTTCTCCAGGTAGCAGAACACTCCGCCACATATGAACACGCCGGGCGGTCCCGAAGCCAGCAGCATCGACGGAGGTCTCGTAGAGCCATCAAACAATGGAGACCACGCAGTGCCGGAGGTGGCGACAGTCGAGCTGCTCCATCAAACAGAACTGGTGCGGTCTGAAGGAGGTGCTGCTGAGGACATTAACAGTGGCGATGCAAGTGGTGACAGCCACGAAAACAATGGAGAGCGTGACAATGGTGCAACTTTGCCTCGGAAAGTGGCCTGGATTCAGTCGATCGAGTCTGTGGCGGATCTCCGGTCAAGCATTTTTGAGTTCGTGCCTCCTGAGGCTACCGCGGCTTCTGCAGACAGCAGTCTTCAAGCACAGCAGCCAACTGTGGTGAGTGTCGAGCAAGTTCCAGCCACGCCAGAGTCGATACCCCGTGCGAAGAAGCGCGTGAGCTTTTCGCCAGAAATCGAAAACACTCTCGCCCACGACCACGTTTTCTTGATTGATGCATCGACGGAGCGGTCTGAGCTGCTGTCCACCATGGAGCAGTGCCGTCAGATGGAGAGAAGCTACGTCGTTCCTGACGATATCCCGTCGTTTGGGTGGTGGGACTGCTTCCAGCTCGGACTATCCCTGACGTACACGACTATTTGTCTTCGGAAAAACATCTCGGCTCGGTGTCTGGCTTTCGACGACCAGCAGAAGCAGCGGAAACGGAAGCTTTCGAGTATTTCAGCGACGCAGATCTCGGTCCTAGCACACGCCGGATTGGCCTTCAATTGCAGCACGAGGTCGTTGACAGTTCGCCAAGGCCAGCCACCTCCACAGCTAATACCTGCGCCAGCCCAACGGAAACCGAAGCGAAAGAGACGTCACAAACTCAGACGTCTCGGGTTCATCAGCATGGTCGTGAGACTTCGGCATCGGAAGCGGATGAAACCGAAATCAAGGTACAAGTGGATCGCGAAACTATCCGAACGAGTCCCCTCACGTGCAAAGGACAAGAGCAAGAAGACTATCAAGCCTAAGCCCGCGTCTAAACCTAGGCGTCCAGTTAGACTGAAGCTGAAGCTCAAGATTAATTTCAAGTTCAGAGGCAAGCCGAAGTCAAATGGGAGCGATGGATTAGAGAGCGCCAGTGTCACGAAGATCAAGAGAGTAACGAAGGGCCCGGACAAGCACAAGATCGGCTCTTATGGGGCCATTGCAGTCTTTCGAGCTCTCCGGGTAAATCGAGCGCTGTTGACCCTCTCCCTTGAGTACGTCGCGATCAACGACTCAGCCATGAGCGCTCTAGCTGCGGCTCTGCGCGTGAATACGGCGCTCACTCACTTGAGTCTCGTTGGCAATCGCATCGGTGCAGCTGGCGCTCGCGACCTTGCAGACGCCCTGGAGGACAGTCCAGACTCCATGCTGATCGACCTGAATCTCCGTGACAACCGCCTTGGAGCTCAAGGCGCTGAAGAACTTGGGCGGGCGCTACGCGAGAACGAGACGCTCACGCGCTGCGATTTCTCGTGGAACCAGATGGGCCCACACGCTGTGCTTGGGCTGCTGTCAGCGTTGAGAGACAACTTCGCTCTTCGTGAACTCTGTGTCTACGGACGCGATCTGGCTGAAGATGGTACCCATTATCTTGCGAATCTCGACTACGACTCGGCCAAGAGGATTGTTGTGGCGCTCCGCCACGTAAACGAGAGCTTTGCTGTGGCTCGGCTTACTGGCGCTCGAGCTATGCTTCCGATTGACAAGATGAAGACGTCAAGATGGATACATCTAGCGGATCGCGAACTGGTTGAGCTCGATGGACTCGTGATTGCGGGATTGATTCCTCGGAACTCCATGCTGCTGTCACTTGATCTGCACGACAACCCTGGATTGGGGAGAGCTGCGGTATTGGGGTTGCTGTCCGTCATTAGACGCTGCCCTACACTTCGAGATGTGGATTTATCCAACACGGGTCTATTCCCTGACGCCGGCGAGAGTCTTGGAGAGCTCGTGGTTCTGAACAGCACACTCGAGACCATCAAGCTGCACGAGACAGTGTTCGCTGTCCAGCAACTGCGTGGGAACCGACGAGCAGGGGAAGTCCCCGACATGATGGCGTTCACAGTTGCGTCCAAGCATTTCTTGGATTTTTGGGTTCTCGCCAAGTGTCTTGCTGTGAATCGAATCACCCAGGAGCTCAATGAACTGCGTCTGCCTGCTACGTCGAGCTCCGCCAAGGCAGCAGCGATTGTGGGCGTGACAGCAAACGAGAAAGACCATCGAGATCTGGTGACTGTCAATCTGTCTGGACGTCCGCTGGAGCTGTACGAGGCGGCGTTCCTGGGCAAGAAGATGTTGCACCACCTTCATCTCGGTCGTGTGGCTCTCAACAGCTGCATGATCGACGGTGCAGCAGCTCGAGCGTTGGCTGACGGAGTGCGTAACCACGCTACTCTACACACACTGGAGCTGGAGAACAACCCGCTGGGTCCTACCGGAGGCCAGGCACTGGCCGAGTGCTTGGCAGTGAGCAGCGCTCTCACGTATCTCAACTTGAGCTGGACACAACTGGGCGACGATGGCGTCATGGCCTTCCGAGAGGCATTGACTCGCAACAAGTCCATCGAGAGGCTCGATTTACGAGGGAACGAGCTGCGAGTGCGCGGTGTTGTGGCTATAGCGGAGGGTTTACGTCGCACCGCCACACTGCGGGAACTCCATTTGCGATGGAATACCGTGTCGCCTGCGGGGGCTGAGGCGCTGGCAGTCGCGCTTGAGGTGAACCAAAGTCTGCACTTGCTGGACATCGAGCACCACACGATGGGAGCGCGTGGTGCCGCAGCGTTTGCGTCCATGCTGGCGAGAAACAAGCATCTGGAGCACCTCAATATGTGCGGCACCGACTCAGACGACGCGCTGGATGCAGGTCCTGGCATCAGCTCCGAACAAGCTCAGCGGATCGCTGAGGCACTCGCCAACTCTAATCGGTCGCTGCGGATACTACATGTCGGCGCCAACCGAATCGACACAGACGCTGCTGCTCGATTCGGGGAGCTGCTGAAATTCAACAAGACGCTAGTGGCGTTGGACCTGTCGCGCTCCGGGCTGGACGCGAAGAAGGCGCCTCGGTTCTTCGCCTGCTTGTCGGTGAATACAACGCTGGAGCGGCTCAACCTGGCGTACAATCGCATTGGGAATGAGGGACTTGTGGCCTGCATGCGAGCTCTGGAAACCAATCGGACGTTGCGGGAGCTTAGCTTGGCGTACAACGGCATGACGGAAGAGCCCCTGGCGGTACTGGCGGCCAGGCTGCACGCGCCGAAGAGGTTAATCACGCCGACGCTGGGGTGGCTCTGTCTCACAGGCAACAACATGACGGAACGAACACGCAGGGAGTACCTGGCACTGCCGCAGAATGTCATTGCGATAGAACTGCAGGATAAAAGTGATGAAGATAGCGAAGATACAGAGGTTTAATAGAGTTTGACTTCGAGAATTCAGAGTTAGGTCGACCACAATTCACGGCTTCGTGGTATCTGAAACGCACCAATTCGTGGTTCGTGAAGGCTAACCGGGGTGAAAGAGCGAAGTGAGTGTGGAGAGAGTGAGCCGAGAGTGCAGTAAATCCCCGGGCGTGGTTGCCAGTCATGCATACTTGGTTCACTAAACGCAACGCAGCAGTCAGTCAGTCCGTCAACTTGAAAGAGCAAAGCAAAGCTAGCATCTGCTTCTCACCACTCGAACCAGCATTTGACCGCAGTTTTTATCTGCGCCAGCCGCACCCTGCGCCAGCCATCTTTGACTGCGCCGCCGCCGAAGTCATGCACCCAGAGACTCGCGACCGTCGGAAGCCTACAAAGCCGCAATCTTCTGCTTTTAATCCTACCGGGCGATCGCGTGGACTTGTGCGATGCTGTATAATACAAAAGTCAGTAACCAACGAAAAAATATACGAGAAAGAGAACAGGGACTTACTTGGCGAAGACGAATTGCGTCGCGTACATTCAACAGGACGGCTGACGAGACTGGTATTGGCCAAGATCACCAGCGTCTCCGACTCGCCTCATATACTACGTGATGTGCTGCGCCGTTGATAACAACGACGTACCGAGTGTCGAGCTCCTGCTAACTCGGTTGGAGGACGCCGCGAGGGCTGTCGATGTCTACGAGACGTTGTGCCCGTCCCACTGTTTCTCCTCGGCCGCCGCCCGCCCCTGCGTCCAAGGCTTCTCTCTCTCTCTTCCTCATCAATTCACAAAGTTAAAAGGCAACTTTTTTTTCTTTTCCAACGTTGTTGAAGTGCGTCCACATGGCTACATTTTCATCATCCCTTAGATTTTAGGAGACAAAGTCCGAGTCTTTGATGGTGACGCTGGCGAATGCGTCGTCGAGTGACGAGAGCTTGTCGATCTCGGCTGCATGGGAGGACTTGGATCCCCAGAGGTTGGGCGGGTACGCGATGTTGGTGTCCACCTCGCGCTCGATCATCACGACGTCACCGGTGATACTGATCATGTTGTACACTTGGTTGCGGTACAGCTGACTGGACTCGATGGGCACGAGGCGGAACGTGAGCATGGCGTTGCCGCCCAGTGACCGCACGTGGGCGCGCACGATAGCGATGGCTTCGCTCAGGAACAGGTGGTAGAACGCTCCCAGACCGCCGCTCTCACGCACCGTCCAGCTCTCCTTTATGAAGTGCAGCGTCACGCGGCCCAGGTAGCGCGTCACGTGAGCTCCAGGAATGTAGCCAAGAGGAGTCAACTCGATCCATTCGCGACCGTACGGAGCTGGTGCCGCCATTCCGCCGCGACCAGAGCCTGGGGTGATGTTGCGGAAGTGCGAGAAGCTTCGAATCGGGGGCGGCATCTGAATGTGGAGCTTGGACGGGCTGCCGCTCTTACCGGAGAGGGGAATGTCGTGCACCGCTGGCGAAGCTGACGAGGGTTTGGTTGGCGAGTCGGGCTCTTCCATCTCCAGCGCCATCGCAGCGTTGTTCAGCAGGTTGTCAAGCGGGTCTTCCCAGTTCTTCTCCAGGACGGCCATTCCACTCAGAACAACCTCAAGCTGCGGGTCAAACACAACAAGGATTAGCTACGGAGGATACCACGCAGAGAGAGAGAGACAATCCTTTGCATACCATAGTTTCAGAGGCCACCGCGACTCGTGTCTTCAAGCCGCAGATAGCGCAGGGGGCGTACGACCGCACCTTGAACAGCAGACTAACAATTGGAACGAATGAGCAACCGGCGAGCAACACGCAATCGCTACAAAATCAATGTACCTGGCAAAAAGCTCCTTGAATACAACCGACAGCAGCTCGTTCAGACGCGTATCACGCATACGGTCTTCGTCCCATTCTACTCGCTTCATCGAAACAATCAGATGCACATTCTCGCCAGGAGTGAAGTCTCCAGGTAATCGATCCGTGTTGCACATGTAAATGCCCTGCAGCACAAATTATTAGACGTCATACCACTGCCAGCGTGCAAGATACACAAGCTGCTAACTTACCTCCGGCAGTTCTTGCTCTAATAGCACTGACATGAGATCTTCGTCCGTCTCGTCATCGATTTCAAGCACGAATGTCTCCTTGGAGTCGCTAAAACCATCGACGAACGCTTCTTCCTCCGACTCGGAGCTTGACTCGGAAGACGAGCTGAGTGTCTTTGAGTCGTTGTCGAGAGAAGTCTGAGATCTTGGCGCGGGAGGTGTGTCTGAGCCTGCAGTGGGAGTCGTGGTGCCGCCGGCATCTGGTGTAGCTGAAGCCTCTGGTGTGGGAGTATTCTCCGCACTGCCGCTCGGCTGAGTAGCACCGCTATCGTCCGAAGAAGGTTGTGCCAACCGCTTTCGACGCGCGCGTCGTGCTGACGATCGAGATTGAGCAACCTGAAATGGACGCTTGGACCCCTTCCCGCTATCATCATCTTGATCCGAAGACAGAGAAGTACTGGGCTGCAATTGATTGCGCGCAGGTCGATTTCCGCCATAGTACTCATACTCAGGTTGGACGACGCATATCCGGTCTCGATGGAGCTGTTTGAATTTCCGACAAACCACGTAAGAATCTATATAAATGGGGTGGGTTGTGCTCTCACGAGGTATTTTACGCACCCTGTCCTTGTTGAACGTACTGAGCTCTTCAATTTGGGCTTGCAATTGGACGAGGCGTCGGTCTTCATCGTCTTTCACCTAGTCAAATGAAAATGTACGCGTCAGCCAAGATTCATCAAATGATTAAGCGATTTCAGCTTACATCTATGTTTCGCTCGATTCGGAGCGTTGGTGGGGGAGGGAGAGCGGGAAGATAGAGGCCCGTGCCAGTAATGACACCGACAATCAACGAGCCTCCGACTTGAATCTGCGAATCAAATGCGAATACGGCATTTACGCCAAGCACTCGCATCTTCACGATGAGCTGGGCAGAAGACAAGCACAAGGTGAAGATCAATAAAGCCGAATCTGCACTAGTGATCTATTTCGCTTGCGTACCTGTCGATACAGCTCGTATTCGAGGAATGGCAAAGCATCCGACACAATCGTGGCGTTAACATCACCCGTTCCTTTCCTGCGCTGACGACATACTCGCGCCTGAATGAATGTTCCTTTTCCCATCATGGCGAGGCCAGCAGGAGGCTCAATAGATGCGATCATCATCTCAGGAACCCATTTGTTTCCACATACACCGCAGCGAACCATCCGCATGCTGCAACCGCACGTTCACAATTCAGTAACAACGTTGAGCACATCCAAGCCAGAAAGTGAAAGCACCACAGGAACAGTTTTGATAACGTACTTCGAAAACGGTGCCAACGATCGAGAGTAAGGAATATGGCATAATAGACAAGGGGATTTCGACACCCGGCTCCGCCTGATCATAGCCGCACATAACGAACTCGCGTTAGTAAATGCATTCCACTTTGTAGCACAACTTAATTGCGTGGTGGCCAAACCTTGTCTTTGCTCTTGGAGGAACAGGCGGGTGCGCCATGTACGAGAACGAGGGACTGCGGCGACCAAGCGAGGCGGGAACCTCCGGTAGAGGGAGGTTCAGCATCGGCGATGACGCTGCGTGTAAATCGGGACCATCATCGTCTCCATCATAGCTGACAGCCACGTCTCGACGGGTGGGGCGCTCTTCAAGCGGATTTTTCATCACTGCCGCGGTTCCTCTGCTCATATCACAAAGCGTCAGATGTAGGTTTTGCTCGTAGAATACCCACAACATGAGCTGGTGTAGCGATAACGTACGAGGCAGATATCACACACACATCGTCATGGATCGTGCAGGACTCAGTATAGCCGATAACGAAGGGGCATTGCAGCGACTGTGCATGAGCCCGGATCTGCACAAAAACAACAAAAACAGTCGTCAAGCCCATGAACGTCGAGCAGCAGGCAACACAACACTTTGTCAACGAACCTCTTCACGCAGCTCAAGCCACCACGAATCTCTGGTCTCCTGGTCCGCCAACTTTGTCGCCAATTTGCCCAGGTACTTCACCGAGCGGGCGCTGACAATCCCACCCAGACGAATCCTCGTTGCAGGGTTAAACACCTTGAGCGTGATCAATTGCACCTCCTACAGTACAACAACCAAACCGCACCAATCAGTTCACCAACCCTCCTCACCCTCTCCGACTTTTACCCAACTCACGTCATGTGCCGAGATATTAAACGCCTCCGGAGCCTTCAACGACTTCAACACTCTCCTCGGGAAGTACCTCGGGGACACGAGCGCCTCCACACTCTCCCCCGCCGTCATGTCATCCACATCCACACTCAGCTCTCCATCGTGTCCATGCCCGTCCTCACTGTGCGTGCGGTGCTGGCCGCCTCCTTCCCCTGACATGAGCTCGTTCTTCCCCACGGGCGTAATGAAGCACGCCGTGCCGCACGCCCTCGCCACCAGCCCGCTGTCCCCCTCCACGTCGAAGAACTGCTTGTACGCCAGCACGGCGTTTCCGCCCAGCTCCAGCGCCTTCTTGCCCACGAGCGTCACCACCTGCGACGACAGCTTATACAGCAGCAGCTGCCGGTGCTCGTTGCTCCTCCGGGACGTGCGGAAGTTGTCGCTCCACGAATACTCCGGGTCGGCGTGCACCACCAGCTCCTCCACGAAGCCCAGCATGGACTCAATGCGGTAGAGACTCGGGTCCAGCGTGGACAGCCCGAAGAACTGCACGCCTGCCGAGGACTCGCGGAACGGGTTCACGTCCCCGAAGTACTGCAGGCGGATGACGAGGCTCAGCTCGCAGCGCACCCCCAAGAGCGTGTCGTACACGGGGAACCAGCCCTGGATGACGTGGCCGTCGCGCATGAGCAGGCAGTTGAGGTCCACGTAGACGATGCCTACGGTGGCGTCCGTCGTGTACACGTCGTGGTCCATGAGCTTGAACTCGATGGGCTGCGACTGCAGCACCGAGTCGTCGGCCACGTCGAAGCGGAACTCCTCGTCCCACTTGGGGTTGAGCGTCTTCTTGGAGACGGACGACTTGGCCTCGAAGCTCGCGAACGTGATGCCCACGTACGCGTCCGCCAGCTTGGCCGCGCGGTCCACCACGGGCATGTCGCGCGCCTCCACGAGCCGGATCTTGATGGTGCACGGCATGGCTGCTCCCGGTCAACTGAAGTGCAGGATAGAATGGCTACACTAGGCAGAACGGGGATTGGTGGAAATCAGCTCGTCGTAAAGGATGGGGGTTGGTGGATATGACGGTATAGTGAACCCCAGTCAGTTTTACAAGATGATGGTCTGGGTGCTGGTTGCAGTGCTGCTGCTGCTGGGGGCTGGAGCTGCTGCGGGTGTTGCTAGCCGCCGCCGGAGGTTCTCGTTGGATGGAAAGGTCGTGGTTATCACGGGCGCGGCGAGTGGAATCGGGCGTCGGCTGGCGCTGAAGGTGTTTGGGGAGGCGAAGGGCGTGACGCTGGCGCTGCTGGACGTGGACCTGGAAGCGCTGCGCAAGCTGCGGACGGAGCTGCTGCAGCTGCGGGAGAACGAGAGCAAAGTCGCGTTTGTCTACGAGTGTGACGTGTCGGACTGTAGGGCGGTGGACGAGTGCATCGCTCGGGTGGTGGCGGACGTTGCACCCAGGCACCTTGGGGTGCTGGTGAACAATGCAGGTCGGTAGAACTTTAGTGAGGGGTTATATGCGGTGTGTGCAGGTAGGAAGGAGGAGGAGGGTCCTTTGAAGGTTATATGCGGTGAGTTCGAGTGGCTGAGTGTTGTGCGGGGTTTTAGGCGTCGTGATGGGGCGGTCGCTGCAGGACTTGACGCCTGAGCAGATCCAGAAGACGTTCGCGGTGAACACGCTGGCGCACTTTTGGACGGTGAAGGCCGCCCTCCCGTCAATGAAGAAGGCCCCGGAGGCGCTGCTGGTGACGCTGTCTTCGGTCATGGGGATGACGAGCAGCGCCGGGTTGACGGACTACTGCGCCAGCAAGGCTGCCGTGAACGCCTTCCACGAAGCGTGTAAGTTTGCGTTCTACAATTTTTTTTGGCTGTTTTTGTATTAAGTTGAAGATTTGTTGTTGCTGTTGTTATGAATGAAGTGAGGTTGGAACTTTGGCGCGACAATGTCAAGACGGTTCGAACGCTGCTGGTGTGTCCCGCTGCTGTGGACACGGGCATGTTTGCTGGTGTTTTGGCTGCGGATGATTGGGCTGTGAAGCTCTCCCGCTTCTTCATTCCTATGCTGCCCGAGTCTGAGGTCGTCGACACGATCTATCGAGCAATTCTGCGCGGTGACGAGTTGCTGATTTCGTGTTTTTCGGGCTGGAGAGGAATCGCTCTGGCGTGGGCCCCTGCTCTCTCTCGGATGCTGCCGGTTCCTCTGTACGATGTGGTGGTTCGGTTGGGCGGGGGCCTGAATGGCATGGATACGTTCGTCGGCAAACAACGCACTGTTGCAAAGGAAAAGGCGACTTGAAACTACCGCACACACTATTTGCTTGATTCCGTTCTTTTGTAGAGCTCACCAGCAAGTCAAAGTCACCGCATTACAACCGGTCTCTGAAAACAAAAAAAAACTGCGTTCATTAGGCACCGCGCGATTCAAACGGAACACGAAAACCCACACCATTCCACACACACACGCTTTGAAGCCGGAAGTTGCGAGGCGAAGCTCGTGCTGAAGCCGTGAGAAGTTCTCACTGAGAGCACCGAAACCGCCGACAGCTCTTACTACACTTCAGTCGTCAAATTTTACTGCTGTTAGTTCAGCTCCCACATTTGCCGGAGACCCCATGACGATAACAGACAACTCGTCCTCAATCTCAAAGTAGCTGCTGTACGTGATTGAAGCAGTGGTGGCCTGTGTGCCGCACGGGACGGTATCCGAGGCAATCCGCTCCGCGTTCCGTTGCAGTTGCACGCAAGAAGTGGCGAGTTGGGGCGCCAAGAAAACCTTCAAGCTGATGACGTACCACCCGGCGACGAGGAAGCAGATACTGTTCTCTTCGTTCGCTAGCGTGAAGAATTCATTGTCGATGATCCACTCCAAGCTGCTGCCTTTCAGCTTGGGGACGTTTTTGGACGCAGCGCTGAGATGGATCACCTTCTTGGCCTTTTCCTCCGCAAGAGACTGCTTGGTCTGCTCGAGCTCCTCCTGGACATCGCGGAGCTTAGCTTCTAATATGCCAACGCGGTCGAGCGAGAGCGGCTCGAGGCGGAAAGCGTACTTGGCGTTCCAAGCCGAGCGAAAGACCCGGATTTTCACGGTGAGCTCCAATTGGAGAGCGTCATCCCCGAGTGGGGTCAGGCTGCGACGGATTTTGCCTGGATCCAACCCCGTGGCTTCTTGCTCCGAGTCAGCGTCCGAGTCACCGCCGTCCGAGTCGATGGACTTCTCGCTGGCGCTGTTTCCTTCGAAGTCGTCATCGACCTCTTCAGGTGATCGGTCCATCAGGTACTCCAGAGCATCCTTGAATAGCTGGCCGGCAGCACAGATATGTTTGGGTTTAAGTAGTTTGTTCTAATCTTTTGTGTTGCGGTTGTTGTAGTGAGAGTAATATCACCTTGACGTAGTCCGCCAGGGTGGCATTAGGAATACTGTTGGTTGTGGTCACGTATTCCTTCTCGTCCAGGAAGCCGGTGCTCCACTGCTTCTTGCTCTTGCGGTCCTCTAGGAGGATCTTCACCTTCTCGGCCTGGCTCGTGAGCACGAAGCGGTACGTCGGCGCTGGGCGAGGCGCAAACGCAGTCACCCCGCTCTCGATCGTCTAGGTCATAATTTCCCACTTCCACTTGTCACTTCGAAACCAGCTGGTTCCATCTTCACCTACGATTTAGCTGCTATTTCTTATCTTTTTAAGGAAATCGTACCTTGTTTTATCGCACAACTACGAACTGCTCAAGTCCGGCCTTCAGATGTCATCACTTGTTGACTTGGACTTATACTTTGCCGCCACGTAAGTATTATATAAGATGCACATCAAAACCCAGCTCAGTGCTGCGCATCGAAACTCGGGGCGGGCCCAGCGATAAGAGCTGCCAGTATGATTTTAGAAAGTGAAAGTCACTGAGAAGTGCACAAATCTCTCGTGCGAGACACAATACTACGACACTAAAAATCTTATCCGAAGCCACCCCACGATGAACTCCCGACGGGCGATATTTTAACTTTCTTCACTGCCCTGTGGGTCGAGGTCATTGCTACGAGTTGTGCTCGGTTGGGGCCGAAGGCACTTAAGTAGGCGACAACACCTTTACAAATTGTAAGCTTCACGTTATTTACGTGTACTGTAAGCTTAGGCATTGCCGAGCAAGTCCCATACATGTACACCTTGTATAGGAAGACCCCGGTGCTGCAAACGTTACTTCTCTGGATCGTGAGGTCTCGAATAAGACTTTCGCGCTAAGATCTGTTAGTGCAAGCGCGTTCCAGTTCCCTCCGCGGTACCACTGGTACTACCAGTGCCCTTGGCAAGGCTGCAAGCCCTTGCAGCGTCAACACCAGTCTTTGTCGCTTGCGTCCGTTGGAAGGTCCGACGTCTATCATGGCGTGGAGACTTAGGCGTCAACAGATCCATCCAAGCTCCCCACACTGCTTTGCCTCAACGGAATTTGACTCACTTGCCAATTTCCTTCACAAGACACAGCAATAACAGCAGAAAAATGCCGAGGGATCTGTTCGCCGAAACCCCGTACGCGGGCCTGCGCGTGTCGGAAGAGGTGAAGCACCAGCTCATCGACCTCGAGAACGAGCTCCTGGTGCAGCATTTCCAACAGTACGAGGAGTATGTCGCCGTCGACAACCGCCGGGTCGACGAGCACCGCTGGGAACATTTCAAGTCCAAGGAAGACCTGCACGTGTACGAGGACCGATTCCAGCACTCGCAGTCCTGGAATGCTGTAGTGCCAACGAAGTCGGGCATGCCCGTGATGCTGCGAGTTGGAACGGTCCCCGGTCGCCTGGACGACCTCATGTTTGGCGTCGTGAACCCGACGTTGGGTTCCATGCGCATTCAAACCTCCTACGTTCACGACGTCGACGCTGCTGCGATCTTGTGCCCGATCGACGAGCCGAGTGAAGAGGAGCCGTTCCGCTCGCTGGTCATCAAGTGGCTGCCACTGGACGCCAGTCTCATCAAGAAGGCCCGCGACTTCGTGTACATCGAGGCGACCGGCATTCTGCACTTTGGCAACGGTGACCGCGTCGGCTACCACCTGAAGCACTCGGTTGAGCTCAACCAGACCAATCCGCAGCCGAACGTCATCCGCGCAAACCTCTCGTACTGCAGCTTCTACCGACAGAGTCACACCAACGTCATCGACGTCTTCGGAACCATGGCTCTCGGGGGCAAGATTGGGCGTTATGTATCGGTCCGAGTCGCTACGGAGGCTCTACTTTCGACCTACAACCTCGTGTTCTGCGCGCAGATGAAGAAAATGTCGTGGATGCTGCAGCAGCAGCGCTCGATGGGGCTGCAGAGGGGGCGGAACAAAAGCTGCGTCATGTGCAACAAGGACACAAGCTCGGGCATCATCGGCAGAATCGGTAAGAGCACGTGCAACTTGTGCTACGGCTCCGTGTGCCACTCGTGCAGGATCAACTGGCGCATCAGCTTCATCGCCCTCGGTGGCAAGCTCGTTCAACGGAAAATCGCCTTCTGTGCGACGTGTATCAGCAAAGCGTCCGTGTGCGACCCGAAGCAAGCTGCTAGAGACCAAGCTACGGGTTACGGGGCTTACAAAAGCCTCTCAACCGCCTCCCGCTCGGACACGACGGAAGTGTCTAATTTTTCGGTCGTCTCGTACTCTGACCCAGCGGAAGTGTCGGACTACGATTATAGGACTTGTTTATAAGGCGGGGGTTGTGAGGTAGATTACTGTAGTGTTTGAGTTCTGAGAGTGTGTGTGACGGACGATGCTGAAAGGCAGAGCTGACAGAATGAAAAAAATGTGATGTTTGCATTTTTCTGGTTCGTAGGCTAGCGTTATGAGCTTTTCACAGGCAACACGTAATAAGATATTGTCACTTAACGATTTCGACTACATGTAGTTACTCGAACTACTGCTACCAGGGTTAATACATAGTGTGTGGGAGGTCAGGGTGACTTTGGGTTTATATCATTTTAGTTACTTGCGTCTAGCCGAAGCAGGAACTTTAGTTTATGGACGCCAATGAGCACCCAGGGCCGTTGCTTATATTTCAACTAGTACACTCGGCAAGCTCTTACATTTCGACCTCACAGGCTACATGCTTACATGTTAGCAAAACACATTCCTGTGTGTCTCGATTTGCTCTTTGCATTTGCAGGGGCGATAGAAACAAGGGTTGGAAGAACAAATACCAATACAATATTTTCAGCACGGAATAATGTGCGAGAGGTCGATGCCGAGGATATGTATGGTTTCACGATAGCGTTGCACGCGGGCACAGAGCCATTTGTGCGCCCACACGGCGTCAGCAGTGCTTCTGTGTTTGCGGAATCCGCTTTGATTGGGGGACAGGAATGTGTCCACCGCAGCGGATATCCGTGCGAGTACGACGAGAGATATGGCCTTGCGAATGCTGCTTAACAGCACGATGGGGCGGAGACTGGAACATACACCTCGGGGCTTGTTGGGCTTGGGCAGGCACACGAGTGTTCCTTCACCGAGTGCGAGGGGGTGCCTTGCTCGAAGCTGCAGTTGACGAGATCTGCGAAGAGAGGCGCGAGGACTGAAGCCCCGTACTTAAGAAGTTCTGCTGGGAGCTCAGCTGGCCCAGCGGCGCGTTCGTTATTGAGGCGCCGAAAGGCTGCTTCGACTTCTGTTGCTGTAACAGGACGGGTTAGAGATCGCGGTTCACGATCCGGAACAGGATGTAGCCGCCCCGGGTCATAAAACAGCGTTCGGAAGTGATCTGTGATCACCTTGTTAGTAGTTTGTTGCCGCAGGATATACTTACCTTCTTGGTCGTGGTTTAACAGCGGTTGGGTTCGATGGGGGCTAATGTCTCGAACTGCTGCATACATTCGTGCCGAGTCGCTCAGATTTTCGATGCGTGTAATCCGCTCGTCCAGTTTGCGAGATGCGATGGCTCGGCATCGCGCTCGGATTTGATGGAGGATCTTGTTGCGGGCGGCTCGGAGCTCGATCGTGTTAGCGGCGCAGTCGTTGTAGATTCGAAGCTGAAGCGCCCGCTGGGCCTCAGAGAGCAGCTGAAGTTCATCGTCGTGATGTCGTACGTGGCGGTGGTTAGGACCTGCGAATCCTATAGTCCCCTCGGCTGCTTCTCGGATTCGATCGAGCGTGTCTGTCCAGCGCTGGAGAACGGTGCTGCCTTGTGCTGTTGGCTGTGAAAGCGCTGCCTGGAGCGCGTTCGTGTAGTCGTCTCGTGCTGTGTCGTCGTAGATGAGATGATCTCGTGCTAACTTGAGTGCTGGATCTGGCTTGACCGCGCTGTAGCGGAGACGGTGAGTGGCCGCGTTCAGGATGAAGTCGGCGGTGACGAGCTTGTGGTCCGACGCCGTCAACGTTCCACCCCAGGATCGTGCGTCCATATAGAGCCGTCGGCAGTTCTGAGGGCATAGGATATAGTCGATCTGGTTGTAAATACAGTGATTCGTCTGGCGCTGAATCCATGTTGTTTTGTGGCGGGCTCGCTTTTGAAAACCTGTGTTAGTGGCAAAGAGAAGGTGAGTAGAACAGAAGTCAGCTAATGCGTGGCCGTTTCGGTTGCGTATGCCTCGTGCATGTGGTCCCATGAATGCCTCTCCGTTGATCTGTTGTCCGAGCTTGGCGTTGAAGTCGCCGGTCACGAACGCGATGTTGCGCCTTGGTAGTTGGTCAAGTGTGTCGCTGAGATCAGCGTAGAATCGATCTACTTCGGCGAGAGGCCGACCGCTGTGGGGAGCATACGCCGTGACGATGTTCACGGGGCCTGCGTGGGGGAGTAAGAGCTGAACGACGCCGATTCGATCGCAGTGTGCCCAATAGCAGTGTAAGTAGGGGCGGACGCGGGGGGAGATGGCAAAGCCGATCCCGTGGCGCTCCTGTACGGCTGGTAGTGTGAGTAGCGTGTAGTCTCCGATACGTTTCTTGTCGAGGGTGCAGATGCGTGTTTCTTGGATGCCGAGAACGTCGATGCGGTAGCGCCGGAGGTCCTGGGGGAGCGTGTCCTGCTGCTTGCGGGTCGAACCTAACGACTGGACATTAAACGAACCTATCCTAAAACGGTTAGTTTGATGCGCGCGGCGAGGAGAGCGCGATAAGAGGGTGGGAGGTGTAGTTGTCGCTAGTGCTGTCGGCTTGGGGGCGAAGGAAAGACCCGCTAGGGACGTACAGATGCCCGAGAGCACCTGCCGGAAGCGCGTAGCTAGCATCATGCTGGCCACGCGTTCCGGGGGAGGGCGTCACCCCAACCCCAACCAAAAAAATACTCCCAATACAATGTCAATTTACAAAAACTAAGCATTTAACACGTTTATAATTATTGTCAATAATTGTGAAAAAAAATTGTTCTATTGACGGATCCCGTACCAAACCCAAAATATAATAGGATACATTATTCTCCGACCTCTTGATTGAAATAGGAAGATCGCCATGCGATATGGAGGTGATTAGCCATTAGCAGTAGTAGACTATACTACTACAGTAGTAGTATATTGCTTGTTGGGGACGAAGTCCCTGTAGTGTCTCGCGACCCTAAATTGCTTGCTTGCTTGAGAATCCGTGTTTGGAGGTAAATTGAATTCTGTATTGAATGGAGCCACTGCGGCTGTCGCCGCGGTGGTTTCTGTTAGTTTCTCTTTGCTAGTATGCCTCATAAGTATGCAGTATACAAATGCTGAGAGTGCGCCACGCTCTCCTCTTTCCGTAGGTAACGCCTCTGCGAAGTGTCTGCTGGCTACAGTCCCCCTTACATTGATACACTTCACTTTTACTTAGCTCTTTCAAGGGTGCTAAAAGGAGATTGTCTTGATAAACTGTTTAGTAAATCCTGATAAATTGATTCATCCACTTATATCGGAGCGGATGTGGATAAACAAATAGTAAGTTAAACAGCAGTGCATTAACGACAACTGATACAGTGACATTTGGGTAAATGAAATCCGTGGTAGCAGGCTGTGTGGAATGCCCCGAATAGCTAGTAGGAATTATGTGTTTAATTGTCTATTACGTAAATGCGTCCCCGGGGCGGCGGTGCTAAACATCAATATTTGAGTATGTTGCATTTGGTGTGTAGACGACGGCTTGATTTTTCTGTTGTGCCTACTTCTCATTTTTGCCATACCCCTCCCTGCGCAGCCGAACGCTCCCTAGCTGCGCTATGGATACCACACAAGCACGAATACAACTGCCCAATGCCTCGGATTATGACTGTGACCACGCCGACTACCAGCAGCGGAAGAAAGCATCAGTTGTACTATTACGACGACTTTGGCTACAGAACTACGTCTACTCGTACGTCTGCAACAATTTCCCAGACCAGTACATCGCGGCGACGAGGATGATCGGGGTCCGTCAGGTTAGGACTTTAGGCCTAAGTCCTAATGAGTCAAATTAGACTCTCAAAAAGTTAAGATTAGGACTTTCGCTTGTTTGACTTGATTAAAGTATAGTTGTACCACAAATTGACGGAAAAGTGGTGCACTATGCTGAAATCAAGTTAACAGATTTTGTTCTGCTGAATGCCCTGTCCGATTGAGGTCAAGCATTCGTGCGGGGCAGCTAACACTGAATTCTCTCGAGGACGACCAAAACACGTGTTGGTAAACGAAACCATAGCCTGCTCATTGATCGATGGCAATGAACTCCCCAAAATCAGCAGTGCAAATACACTACAGCAGGGTTTACACAGTATAAATTGGGTAGACTGAGACGATGTGGAGCCAGTAAGAACCACCAGTTTCATATTTTGCTTAAGGGAAGGGGGGTTAGAAGTAATGTGGGGGCTTTTACGAAGGTCTGAGCACGAGATTATACTCAAGTAGCAGTATTTCGCCCTTGTCAACCTTCAAGTGCACATGTAGCCATGATATCCCGTTAGGACTTCTAAAAACTTTATATTATTACTTTTCCCGACTAAGTACGAAAGTACTAACCTGACGCACCCCGGGGATGATCATCACGCTTAACATAGCCTCACCATTCGGCCACGGTGGGACGACCCATACTTAACATGGGAATTAGCTAACTCAGGGGCTCTTTCTAGTGCGTTTCGTGCAGTGATCTGAAGTGCACAAAACATGCATTAACCCTTTCGCGGACAAAGGGGAAAATGCAGATATGGTCTCGCTGAGTAGGGACAGCTGGATACAACTCATGTGGCTTTAGCCAACTTATCTCAACGAAGGTTTTGGTTGGGTTGGGGTGACGTCATCCCGGTAGACGGCTCGAGCTGAGTCTCGGCGCCGCTCTGCGAGCGCTGCCTTCGGGTAGCGTCTAGTCCACTGCGGGACATGTGGGGATGTCTTCGTGGGCAATGGTGGCAAGCTGTGGCCAAGGACTCGCTGCGCAGAAGGCTTCGCTGCGCGCTATGACCGGGCTCGCCGTAGCTGGTGGGCTGTTAACGGCATGGCCCAGGAAGATGAACTGGACGCGCGACAAGACCAAGGCGTAGGGCGCGCAAGGCACAAGAACAGATACTACAGATCAAGGTGCGAGGCTACGCTGGACATGCTGAAGACCGATGAGCAGACGTGCAAGGAGCAGAACAGATACTACAGATCAAGGCACAAGAAGCGGAGTGTTACATCGACGGCAGTACCGACGGCTTCCAGACGTTGACGAAGAGACCTGTGAAGGAGAGCGACGCAGCGAGCCGCCATTTTCACCAAGGACGAGGAGGAGGGAGGGGGAGCACCGAGAGCCTCACATTTCCTTGCGGATGCGGAAAAAGGTACAAACCGGAAGTTTACCCAGTTGTGGGTACAGTAGCGGTTCTCCTCGCCTATTTTTGTACACCAACCTAGCAATATAGAGTCTGGGACGGAGTAACTAGGCTACGCGAAACACGCAACTCATTTCATTTCATCTCAACGAAGATGTACGATCCACGAGACAGCAGACCTCTAATATAATCCCATCCGTTCTTTACGGTACTCGCGCTACTGTATTCCTGAGAGAGAGCGAGGTCGCGCTACGGCATTCTTAGCCGTAACACCTATATTATACTACATGTACAATATTTCCACATGTGACCATATCGTGGTCGTTCCGACATCCCTACATTTTCTGACAGACAGGATAAAGGCCAAAGCCAGGGCAAAATCGGAAATAGTGAAAGATCGGAAATTACACAATATATACGGTAGATTAGGTCTAGGGGGCGTTTTTGGTGCTTCCAGTCAGCGTTCATGAGAGGCTCTCAGCCGCGAGGAAATGGCTTCTAGAGGCCTGTAGGCCAAGAAAAACGGTATTTTGTGTATTCATGCATTACGGCCCCGGGAGCAATGTGTGCCGGAGCAGGCAAATTCATTAATGAGGCCGGCTCCCGGACAGGGGGCCACAATTAGAAGCAGTCCGACGCCAGCTAACTCCCCATTAGCCAATCTATTAGCCAATAGGGGACATGTATTTAATGATGATCGTTGATTGGTTCTCTCTACAGCCAATAGATACTCGCCTCCTGTCCGAAATTGGTGGCTGCTAGGCATTGTACGTCACCGACACGCGGCTCAGAGCGTTCAATCTCCTTTTTATTAGAGCTACTGATCAAGTCTCCTGCACCCCTCCGCGCACACATCTACACCCAAGACAAGACAACTGGCCGGCCGCCCCCCCCCCCTCCCAATACCGTAGCTCAATGGAAGAGCGCAGGGCCTCCACCCTGAGATGCCCGTTCAATTCGGGCCGGTGTTATTGATCACGATGGGCTTTTGCGGTCGTGTCGTGCTGTGCCAAGGGTCTTGCTGCTGCGTCACAGATTGTGCGTCTGCTTCAAGTTGTTTTGCCCGCGCATTGTCGCGCTGTGGTCGTGCCAGGAGTAGCGACTTCTACGTATATATCGGTGCTGCATTTGGGTGCGCGGTGCTCTAGCTCCTGTGCTAATTTCTGTTCTCTGTAAGGTTTGGGGCACTAGCGACGTTTTGTATGTATACGTCTAATACATGTATTGAATTAACCGAGAACCGTATTCCAGTGAGCCTACGCGTGCGTTTGTGTCAGGCTCTCTATGATCTGCTTCCGCATCAGTTTTGCGTTGAAGCGCGCGGACCTTGGACTTGTGCATATCTTCTTGATATCGCTTAAGAGAAGCGTATTCCCGGTTTGAAATGCCTCGACCGTGCGCTTGATGAAGTATAGCACAAATACTCCGCAGTCATCGTGGTTTATCTGTGCCGGGCTTGTTCGGACTCCTCTCACGACGAACGCTGGTGCTGCGTTGTCAGGATATTTAGTTCGCAGCTCCGCGTCGAAATATCCACCGACAACTTTTTTAATCGCTTCGATGCTGGAGATTCCTTTCGAGTCTACATGCACAAGGTATCTCCTCAGATTCTGCGTAGTGCCTACAGGGTTTTGCACAATGGCAAACGTCCAGTGATTGCCCATGCATATAGGTAAAACCACGTGATCGTACTTCTCGTACAGAAATGTTGCGGTGATACCGCAACAGCGCTCGTGCGCAAGTCCAATTTTTTGCTCCACTTGAGCGAACTCGCTGTAGATGTGTCCAAATACGTTTGCATCCATGAAAAACGTTCGGCCGTGTTGCGGGAGGTGCACTCGGATGTAATAGGACATAATCACATCGTTCAGCCAATTTTGGTCTTTAATTGTCCGGACATCTTCCGCTGTCACCAGCAAACGCATGCTGGTTTTGCCCACAACAAAGCATGGGGTTTGTGTTTCACACACAATCTCGGACTGCGATATATCCCACACATCTCCAAAATCAAATGGGACGCTGGCCTTCTCACTGTCATCATTCAACAGTGATATGACCTCCGGCGACTTAGGTTTTTCGGCCAAAGTCGACTTGGCTGGAGGCTGGGGGGTTTCGGCCAAAGTCGACTTGGCTGGAGGCTGGGGGGTTTCGGCTAGGGTCATTCACATTTGGCGCTGCCGTGCCGGTATTCTGGAGTCGTCGTGAGATGAAAGTGCTTAGATTGTGGCGGTCTATAAACCGGGTAGTCCACGAACTCTGAGCCGCGGGTTTGCACTCCGCAAAGCCAGGTATTGTCGACGCAGCATCCGCGACAACATCATCCCTGCACACCACCTGGCCGTTTGCCACTTTTGCCTTGATCCGTTCAACAATACCAGCCTCGTATTGAAGCGTCGGAGGGGCCATGCCTGGTGGCGCTGCCCGCTTTGCGGATGGATCGGCCTGGGACGAGAATAACTTGTGCTTGTTAGTCATCCAACCCAGCAAGGTTGTCCGAGCCACACCATGACGACGACCCCCCTCGGTAGCGTCCCATCCATTTCGCTCGCATGCGAGCAGGATCTCGATCTTCTCCGCATTCGTCCGCTGATCTGAGCTCGACATCTTGGCAAGAATCGAAGTGTCGCGTTTCGGACAAACTCGACATGTACCTTACATTTCATTGGATGAAATTTCTTAAATCCTATTGGTCAGAATGCGTACTATACTAATTACGACCCATAAATGATTGGTTGAGAAGCATGCTATTTAGTCATTCTACTTTCTGACAGCTGCCGCTCATCGGTGGCTCGCGAGTGTCGCTTACTCTCATTAACAGCAGTTTCGGGCTTCCTCGACTGTGGGCGATTTCGGGTTTACTCGAGTGTGGGCAATTTTGGGTATTCTCGATGGTACATGATTTCGGGTTTACTCGACTGTGTACGCTCGGCGGTTTGCGACTTCGGGAATTCTCGATACTATGCCGGTCAGGCTTGACGAGCCAAAGCTAATATGTCCTGTGTGTCTGCAGGAGCAGGGTCTTGAATTCGGCCTGTAGCGAGGAGACGCTTGTGGGCTGCGATGCGTTTGTCCAAGACGCCGCACTTGTGCAGGGGACGCAGCGCGCGCAAAACACTGCCAGCGCCCTTCGCGTTGATGTTCCGCGACTTTAGGAAGTCCAACACGGCATCTTCAGCACGGCGGTCGGCGTCCAAGACCTGATCCTTGTAGTCTGCAACCGTGGGGTCAAGCGTAAAGCCGTCTTCGAGGAACAGCTTCATGAAGGCGACGACGTGGCGTGATTCGGGCTTCTTTTGGCGGTCAGAGCAGTCCCAGACGCGAGGGACACGGGTGTACCACTCGTACCATGCAGCCGACAGGTGCGTAACTTGCTTCTTCCTCCGTTTTGGCTTGGGCTCTTGGTCTAACGATTCCTTTGCTTGGTCTTCTTCAGCGGGTCTACGCGGCTCCTTGGTTTTCATCTGAGCCGCCTCGACAATCGTCAACCGTGCAGCTAGGGCCTTGTTTGAGGCGATAAGCTCATGAATGACAGCTAGAAGGTGATCGATGCTTGGACAGTGATGTTGGCTTGCATCTTGTGTTTGGGTTTGTTCTTGTGCAGGCGGAGCGGCTTCGCTGTCCAGCGCGACTGACCACCCAAGCATGTCGCCAATCGGGATGTCTGCAGCACGCAAGCTCTCTTCCACGCGCGTGACAATGGTGGCCGCGGGTGAGAGCTCCTTGAGCTGCGGGTAGTAACGGACCAGGTACGCAGTGAGGACACTGAGGACCTTGGCGCTTACATTTAGACGTTGTTGCTTGAGACCTGTACAGGAATTGAACAGGAAGCCCTGCAATCGGCCGAGGCGTTCTTGACTGGTGTGATCAAGCGTCGCGATGTCGATGACCGCTGGAACGTCGTCTGCCGCCCACCCACTTAAGACCCGGGCCACCTTCCAGTCCTCGCGTGCCATGTTAGTGATGTAGGCGAAGGCCTTGTTCGTCTTGGTCATATCCCAAGCACCGGGATCGAAGATCCACTGGGCGGCGAGGCGGTCATCTCCGTTCGCATGCTGGGCCCCGCCACGCCGGAAGGAGTGCGAGGTCAGGTCAGGGGTGGCTCCTGCCGGCTCGGCGACGCGCTTGAGCATCCTGTTCACGTACGCCTGCACGCTGTCTTCGCCGCGCTTGACCTCACCGGTGCGTGCCTCGGTTGGGGCTGGTGTTGATGTTTCTTGTGTGTCCGGGCAGGTTTGCGGCGGTGGAACAGAGGATACGTTGCCGGCCGCGAGCATTGAAGGCAGGGACGACTCCGTCGGGACCACAGCGACGTCGAGCGAAGCGGGCTCGGCTTCCAGCAGCTCCAGCAGCGGCACACCTTCGCCAAGTGGCACGGCGACCTCCGCTACGAGATCGGGCAACTGGGACAGGAGTGCCGCGCATGGCGCGTCCTGCGTCGCTAGCGCTACGGCCAGAGCGTGCAAGGGACACGTCAAGAAGTCGCTCTTGTCCGGGATCAAGGTAAGACCCTATTCTTCTGATGTGTTGACACGTAGCAGCCGCGGGTAGAAGGTGCCGTCTGCCGATACAGACACGTGCTGTTTTTGGATGTAGCCTAGGTCCGACGACCGGCCAAAGCAGTGCCACATCAAGCACGCTATTGCTGCGTCTTGGTAGTCGGCGTGCACGCGTGCTGTGTTGTACACGTAACGGACTAAAGACTGTAAATCCTCCTTAGTACAAGGTGGAGCCTTATTAATCAAGCCACCTTTTTCGCGTTTCATGCAATGTTTATCTAAAGTCTTCCCTTGCTTTAGCAATATCAACTCAGTTGGTACTCTCAAGTGTGGATACTTGTCAAATAGCCACAACTTGACATTTCTATGATACGCTGTTGCCGTGTTGCGGGCTAACTTACCTTTCTTACCTTCGTTGGTTGCGAGGTAGAAGCCAAAGCGGTCCATCGTCGCCGCTAAACGTTTGCCGGAGGCATCCAAGAGAATGCTAGCCTCGACAAACTCAAGGCTAACCTTCTCCTCCTCCAACATCCGCTTGAATGCGGCGACGGCAGTATTCCGCGCCTTCTGCGTGTTCGTAGGAACGAAGGCAGCTAAGCTCATGCTGCTTCGTCTGCTACTGCTTGGTTCTTTTAATTGTGTGGTCAAACGCAAAGCCTACGTACTGGTTATCCTATCCACCGACCGGTTTCCTACCATACCATGACGGTGCCGACAGCGGCCTACACCTGCCGACACAATCTATCATTAGTTGAAAGCCTGAATTTCATTGATTGGTCTAAAACGGCTATTTTGAACCCTTCTCGCATTTTCATTTCGTGGTGGAGGTCATAATGGCGGCGCTCCTGAGCGCAATAGCGGCGCCGTGACCTGCGCTACGCCCTCCCCTCCAGGCTTCGCGTGCATGTCATGCGGGCGTGCACAGGCGTGAGCAGGCCCCCCAAGATGGCTCGTGGCAAGCCCGGCATGTCGCGTGCTCAGTCTGTGCCCTCGGAGCCAGTCGAGAGCGAGGAGGACCAGGGCACCCAGGACGCAAGGGCGAGGGGCAGCAGGCACCGCGGGGACACCAAGTGCGCGGGGGAAGGCGAGGAGCTCAAGAGTACGAAGCACAGCAGAGGCTCCAAGGGCACGACGGACGGACGGGCGTCGTCGTCGGCGGCGGTGGCGGTGGTGGTGGTGGTGGCCGAGGAGGGGGGGGAGTAGTAGTAGGAGGAGGAGGAGGAGGAGGAGATGAAGGAGGTGGAGAGAGTGAGGCAGGCCGCGATGACGCTGCAGGAAGGAGGGAGGTCGAGCAGGAGTCGAAGAGGGGAGGCAGAGCGCACGGCAGTGGAGGAGGAGGTCGTGCAATGCGTCAAGGAGCGTGGCGGTCACCGCTGAGGCAGCCGTGGAGGAGAGGGGACAAGACGGAGCGGCTGCCGCGTATGGTAAGGAGAAGGGGTGCGGCGAAGCTGAAGGAAGGAGAGGGCACGGCTGAGGCGAGCGCGTGGCGTACTCGAGTCGTCGAGCCTGCTGGCGTCCGTGGACAAGGGAGAGTGGCTGTGGTAGAGGGCGAGTGTGGCGGGGACGAAGGCGCAGTTTGCGGGGATGAAGAGCGGGTGGCCTGCGGCGAGGACACAAGAAAGCGTGCGAGGAGCTGGTGCGTCTCGTGGCGCCGCAGCTGGTCATGCAGAGCTGCCACTGCGTGCGGGTGCATTGTGTACGGTTGGCTGGGTGGCATGTTGCTGGGACCTGCCCCGATGCCCTCCTAGCTGGAGTTAAACCGTTAATACTAATTAAGTATCTATTTATTCAAGTGTTCCATTGCGTCACCTCCTCCTACATGTACATCTCCACGATAAGAAACTTGCAAATACTACTTATCGCATACCTTGTCGTTCTGCTAACATGTAGTACTAGTACTTTGTAGTGGTAAGTTCATGAAAGGGAATCGCCACGGAAACTCGGTTGAGTTTGAGAAGCTAGCGAAAGCGCCACTACAAACCGCGTAAAGCAGTTAAATTCAAGCTATACAAACTTTACGTAATGTGTCGGCAGCGTGCAAAATGTGTATAATATTATGTTACTTAGCCTCACTATACACGGATAACATATATCTCGACAGCCCTGCCTACATTATACGTCGGCAGGAGTGTCGGCGGCTCATACACCTACCCCTAGCGTTGATGATTGGATAAAATACCATCTATCGCCCTTCTCATTCGATAATAATCGATCATCGACATTTGATTGGATCATGACAGCTGTAACGGGGTTACACGCACAAGTGACTTTAGCCACTTGTGACTCTAACAGACACGACGTCTGTTAGAGGTTCGAAAGACTTTCTCGACCTTGGTTGGGGGCGAAGTCCCCTTACATTGAGTTGATCTCTCAGGGGTAGGGGAGACATCTGTACTGGAGACTCGCTTTAAAACGAACTCAAATTTTACTTGGGTTTAAGATACATTTGTCCCTCTATACCTAGGGGTTCAATTTATACAATCCTAGGTTGTCCTACTGTATCAGTAAAGTGGAGGTACAAAATTCGACATCAGTACTGGCTAAATACTGATCACCTTGAGATTACCGGTATGTCCAAATCAAGGTGCGGAGCTGCGAGCGCTCATTCAGCAAGATGTGGGGCAACGCAATGCAATGATTTACGTGTTCGCGTAGCCAAATTACACCTGCGCTAGTCTCAGTTTAAAGATGTGGGGTATGAACAGTTATTAATAAGTATAGTAGAGAATAACCAAGGAGCGACTGGTGTGCCGCATGTGCGGCGCGCCCAAGTCGCTTCCGGAAACAGTCTTCTACTACACTTGGATTCAGATCGACTCCGGGTCGTGGGGACGTCGTACCGTAGTGGTTGATCTAACCACTGTGGCGCGTCGCTCCTATTAGCAGCTATACAGATGCTCAGCTAATGTAAGGTACACTAATGGCTACATACATTTGGGACCACCACGAGTCGTCGTGGTCCACGACGGGTGGTTCATTTACATTTAGGATTCCTATTGGCTGAAAGTAGCATCTTTTAGCCAATGAACGACTTGCCTATTTGCAGGACTTGAGCAAGGTTGCATTAGGTGACCTACCTGTGATGCATGGTACCTGATCTTCTTGCCGCAGGAATTCATAAAAATCGGGAAAACGGGAGCGGGTTCTGAAAACCGTGGAGATGGTCCCAGATAGCAGCACGGCCCCTGGGACTAGCTGCGCCCACCGCAGTTTGCTGCACAGCGCTCGATTCTTCAACGCGTGTTCAACTTTTCATTGTCCGTTTTGGAAAGATCCAACGATAGTCTGCTACTTGGCCACAACCCGCTCGACCTTTGGGTAGCCCGTGTCACCGTTGGCACGGCATCCAACACGCTCCCTGTCAGCTTCAGCTCGTACGGGATGTCCATGTTGGCATAACCTCCACTAAATATACGCATCATGTCAACACGTCAGATCAAATAACAACAAGTAGCATCCAAATGCAATTGCATACCTTCGGGTGTGTGTGTGGTGGCGGGTTGTGTGGGGGGACAAGACGAGAAGGTTCCAGCACCAGTTGGGCATGGAGCAATTCAGTCTTTCTGCGCAAACTAATCAACGCTAAATGTTAGCAATAGTCCAGCACCTCATGATCCCTAGAAACCGCGCCGGAGTTAGACATTATGTTGATTAATTACCTTGCAGCCTTCATCAATGTCTCGGTCACTCGGGCGACCGTGTTTTAGGCCAGCGGTGAGCTTCATGCTGGGGGCTTCGGAACTCGGTAGCCTATACAGCAAGAAACCAGTTCACCACCCGTTACCACAGTATAATTAGGAGACGCAAACAGTATCGCGGGGTGCATGTAAGCTTACGCAGAATTCAAACCTGGCTGCTTCTCGGCTTACGTGTGTAGACATCATCCAGGACTCGTTTCACTTCTGCCTCTGTTGAGTAGTTGCACGCTAATAAGATGCATAATAGATCATGGTAAGCACGACAGGTAAAAACAGACAGACACGAGAATTGTATACCGGTCCCTGTCTTTCTCGTCCTCGCTTTGGGGATGCTTGCGATTGAAGAATGCCTGGCATTGGAAGCAGCTCATCGGCGGTATTTATCCTATCTGTTTTTCTAGTTAATAGGAATACTTATATGGTTATACGTGGACCAATCAAATGTGTTTGATATGTGGGAAGAAGGGACGACGATCCACTTTTGCGGATTTCGGGCTATAGTGAACTCAAGTTGTTGTTATGCTGTTCTGGATAGCATAAGACATTTTTGAACCCATCCGCGTTCAAGGGGTTAAGTAGGCGGCAATTGTGGTACTGTAGAGTACTCTGCATGCCCTTTTATTATCAAACCCTGTCCAGACCTTGGATGTAAGCAAAGCCCATGCTACGGCATGTGTCGGGCTTCTTCAGGTATTACTGCGTACCTACGTAGTACAAAATGTGACTAACTTGGTTACGTTTTTGTATACTTTGTTGGGGACGAAGTCCCCCCTTACATTGATGCACTCACTTTTACTTAGCTTTTATTTACTTACCTGATATCAGTTTAGATGGAACGGGTTAGGGCTGACATTCTGATTGAGCCGCCCAGGGCCATTTTTGACCAAAACATCCTGTGTTTACTGACATTTGCAGAATTCTAACGTGGATAGGATTTGAGATTTCTCTGCATAAAGATGCGGATTTTAGTGACCGTATGTCATTAAATCGGAGGTACACGAATCAGAGGGCATTTTCCAAACAGAGAATGGCTAATCTGGCTCAGCAAAGGGACGACAGGTGCAACTTTAGCTAAAATATTACATTTTATTGGCTCTGATGATGTGACTGGACGCCTCGTTGCATACGTTCATACCCTGATTTAGAGTGGAGGGAACACGGTCAGCAAGCTTATATACGGGAGCGTCAGACTCAGTCTCCTACAGTTTATTTAAGAAAATAAGATTGGACAGCTTCAAGGGATATTTATCAAAACCCCAAACAAACACGTGAGCATTTATCAAAACCCCACACAATAAGGATAAGGTGCATTCATTGGCTAAAACACTTCATTCAGGTTGTGCTGAGGCAGGCATCCTGTGTGTGACAGAGTGCCACGTCCTGCGGGTGCTTCGCCCTGTGAGTGCTGACGAAAACAAGCCAAACAGCAACAGTTAAGTCATTGTGCATAGCGAACCATCGTTACCTCTCTGCCTTCACCACCACGCGGTGCTTCTGTAGGACGCTGCCGTTCAGCTCTTGTATGACGCTGCACTCCACCACTCACGGGATGCAGCCGTCCAGCTCTCCAGCACTCGATGGACGCAGCGCTCGCAACACACAGGGCGCTACACTTCAGCACTCACAGGGCGAAGCACCCGCAGGACGTGGCACTCTGTCACACACAGGATGCCTGCCTCAGCACAACCTGAATGAAGTGTTTTAGCCAATGAATGCACCTTATCCTTATTGTAGTGATGGAAGCGCAGAAAAAAGTGAGCGGATCAGTAGCGCTCACTCGGAGCACATTCCCGCGCACTCGGAGCTTGCTCCCATCCAACACTACCTTATTGTGTGGGGTTTTGATAAATGCTGACCTGTTTGTTTGGGGTTTTGATAAATATCCCGCTTCAAGCTCGTGCCCACCAACCAGAGCATCATTGACTGCAGTACTAGAAGCGGTAGTGAGCGGTTGCGAGGAGCGTAGCCGCAGCAAACCCGCGCGGGGTGCCCACGAAGCAGGGCCGCGCGGTATTTGCGTTGGCGGGCCCAGCGACGAACGGACCCGTTGCCCCAACTCGGAGTTACTTTTCTATTGCGGGGGTCTGGGGGTGCAACCCCCAGCATGTAAAGCTCGCAATGTACTTCTTACATGCAATGACGAGTTCTTCATGCAGTTCTATGATAATAGTGTTCCTAATCGAACATGTGATGTCGGATCGGAAGCTGCACCGATCTGCACGTGATGGCTTAGACCCAATTAATCAATAGCTTCATTAGATCGATTGGGAGGGCGGGGACGTCGGCCTGCAGTTGAGATTCCACTGCAGGGTGTCGGCCCCTCCCTAAGCAACTCAACGGAGCAACGCGACTGAGATGCTCCACTACTAGTATATTTACAGTTCCATTGAATGAGGCGGCTCTGTGATCCTTACTAAGGTAACCTTTAGTACTGAAGATACCTTATAGACCACGCACTTTACCTTGTTTATGTGGCATTTTGCGTGGTGCGTCTGCTTTCACAGCACGAATTGTGCTGTTCGTGAATCGCGTTTCCCAAGCCAGGTGGGCATCGCGTCACCAGCCACCGTACTTCTTACAGTGTACCTCATTTCGCAATTCGCCGTCCAGCCCACAAGCGCTTCCTTTCGCGGTGCCAGGAATCGACCATGCGTCTGTCAACTATCCTCTCAGTAGTGTCGGTGCTCACGCTTCTCGCAAGCAGCTGCGCTCTCTCTGCGGTCGTGGATGCTAACGTTGGCGTCTCCGGACGTCGACGTGCTGGATGTGAGCCGTAACACGAGGCCCAGAAGAGATTCCAACGACAAGAGGCTTAACGCTAACTACCTCAGATACGCTGCTTGGCTCGATAAGCACTTCTCACGTATAGATGACGTAGTGGAAACAACCTGTCGTCTTCACGAAAGATCTGGCGAACAAGGAGTCGATGCTTTTTCACAGCGAGACAGCGAAACGACTCTGTTCAGGGCGTGGTGCACAAGAGGATTCCAGCCCAAGGAGATCTCCGCGAGGCTCCACAACACGCTTGGTGGTCGCGACGGCACGCTCTTCAAGAAGTACGAGGCTTGGCTCAAAACGCACTTTTCGGCCAAGGCGTGAACTACTCGTTCGTGAAGTACACGCACATGCGAGCACTACAGGCTAGTTTAGTTGTTACTGTACTTACTGCGAAACTGCATCCCCGTGCTGAAAAAAAATGCAATACCTTGTACTACGTGCATCCTACCGGTCGAGTTCGAGAGTGTGTAACTTAGAGCGTACAGAAATGTTATGAGCCCAGCACATTGTTTTTTGTGTGAGATTCTCACGAAAAAGAATATCACACACGTATACTTGTACGCGCTTTTGCTTACATAATTGCTACGGAGTTTTATCTCTGTTGTTCTGTGTGGATGTATCAACCGCGTATTGCGGCTGATTCCGCTACTCCATTCCTCCAGCTAGAAACTGCTGCAACTTGATGCGCCGCTCCTCCAAACTGTCCGTGCCGTCGATCCCGAAATCTTCGTTCAACAGAATGCTGAGCTCACTGATCCTGCGGTGACTCCACCGTCTCAACGACGTGTAGTTCGCGGGAAAGTATCGATGGGGGACAACTTCACCCACGGGTAGTCGGGGGATATCGGAGTGCGGAGCTGGTGCGCCAGGGAGCAACCCTCCGCGGCCTGACTTGGTCTTGACGAATCGGCGAATGCTGCGCGCCCCGCCGTGAACTGCAGCGTCGCGAAAGACTCGGGCGTTATACGCTGCGGCCCGAGTGTTGTGAAGAATGGCGTCGGTCTTTTGCTGCTGCTCTTGGAGGCGAGCAAACTGCCGACGGAGTTGTGCTGACTGCTCCACCACTTGCTCAAGCTGCTCTTGCTGCTGCTGGATCAGGTGCTCCGCGTGCTGAAGCCGCTGGAGCATTCGGAGCTCCGATTGCAGGACGTAGTCGTGGAAGTCCTGCTGGATCCAGTGGTCACGTTGCTGGATCTGCAGCCACAGGTCAATGGCCCACTGTGGAGGGGGATCGAGACTCGGGTTCATGAGTGCTGTTTTACTCCTAATAAGCTTGTGGCCTTTGGCTCCTTTTGATGAATGAACCATCAAGGGTACTTAAGTATGTAAAGCTGTTACCTATATCTGAGGTCATGTTGCGTCGATGTCAACCGTTGCCACCGCGAGAGACTTACAGGTCCATCGTCCGATATCCAGGCTAAGTACGATCATTTTCCTTATTCCAAGATGTCGCTGACTGCCAACAGGATGTCATTGAGCGCCAAGGAAGAGGTGCTGTGTGGGCCTACCTAGCCAAGGGGTCTTGAACTCTCAGTGGCAGCTCGCCACTAACAAGTTTGCGCAACTTATGACCCCCCCTCTAGGTCTGTATCGTGGACGAGGAGAACAATGTGATTGGCAAGGCCGATCGCGCGGTCATGGTAAGTTGGCAGAAAAGTAAAAATATTTTTATTCTAGTGCTTATTATCGGTACTTGCTGAAACCCGTCAATTATGTGTGTTTGCCCCCACACAGCGGGCGTTCAATCTGCCACACCGCGCGTCCTACATCGTCATCAAGAACTCAAGGTCCGGAATGATCCTTTCAATTTTGGAGCACCCTGAAGCTGACAATTTATTGCTGTTGTATGTTTTTAGTGGCAAATTCTACGTGCAGCGTCGCACGATGATCAAGGACTACTGCCCGGGGATGCTGGACCCGATGACGGGCGGAGTGGTGCAGTTCGGCGAGCCTATGGACGTGAACGCCGAGCGCGAAGCCGAGGAGGAGATGGGAGTCAAGAACACCCCTCTGCGCTACCTGACCACGTTTTACTACGGAGACGACCGCAGTCGCGTGTGGGGCGGACTCTTTGACTGCACCTTTGACGGCCCGCTGGTGCTGCAGGAAGAAGAGGTGGACGAAGTGCTCACAATGACAGCGGACGAAATTCTTGCGCGCCGCAAAGAGTTCACCCCCGACGGCATCTTCGCGTTCGAAAAGTACCTCAAGTTCATCGAAGCTGAAGGCAAGTAAGGTAAAAGAAAAGGAAATGCAACCGAGGACCAGCAGCTTTATCGAGACCGACAAACCCCTTGGAAAAAAATACCTGTAGGAAGTTCGTTGGGTATCAAAGGCAACAGCTTCAGATGGGCACCAGGAAGACAAAAACCTGACTCCCGGGTAGTTTCTTGACCTCGGCTCAATTTGCCACATTTTGTAAGGCTTGCCAATGCAGCTGCGCCGCCCGGAGCGCGCGGGCGTGACGGCGTCGCTCTCGGGCCCCAGGGCTCCGTTATGGACGCAACTTGATGCATCTGCTCCGCAGGACGCGCGCGCAGAACCACACAACGCGGCGTTCTCTCCGGCGGCGCGCTCGGGCCACGCCATGACGCTTCTGCCGCCCACCGGTAGCGTGCTGCTCTTCGGTGGCGCCGACGGCCAGATCTTCTTCGAGGACGTGTTTCTACTGGAGCCGGCGGGCTACGCGGGCTCAAGTTCTACCAGATCCACGCGCGCGGCGAGGCGCGGCAGCGTGCGGGGAGAGGACGCGCCAGGACAAGCAGTCGACGTGCAGTGGAAGCGGCTTGTGGTGTCGCGCGGGACGTCGTTCAACGGCCAGTCGCCGCGCTCGCCCATGTTCTCCAGTGCCGGGGCCATTGGCTCGGGCGTGGAGCGGCGCGCCCCCTCCTTCTTGCACGCCGGGGGAGGGCGGGACTATCACTCGATGCACTACGTCCAGACCTCGGCGGCGGAGGAGCGGGCCAAGGGCGTGCGGGTGCTGGTGATCGGCAACGTGGTGGTGGCCAGTGACGAAGTTGCAGCTCAAGGTGGCGCAGACACACAGGCGGAGGGGGGAGCTGGGGCCTTTGACGCGCCGACCTTGAGGGTGGAGGAGCTGAGAGTGAGGCAGCCGCTGCTGGAGGCCCAGTGGGAAGTTCGGCGCGTGGACGACTCGAGCATGTGGAAGCCCAGAGCCAGACACGCTCATAGCAGCGTCGTGGTGGGAGGAGAGCAGGTTTTCGTGTTTGGAGGGAAGGACGCCTCGAGCTCGACGTTTTTCAACGATATCTTCTACTACGACGCGCCCTTGAACCAGTGGGTGAAGCCGACGGTGAACCCGACGGGGCAGCTGCCGCAACCACGCGCGTTCGCCGGCTTGACGGCGAGTGATGATGGCAACACGCTGTTTCTCTTTGGCGGCACGGACGGGAAGCAAGAGTTCGGGTCGCTGTTTCTCTACGATGTGGCCAACTCGCGCTGGGACTCGCTTGCGGGCGCGACGCTAGGAGACCGACCGTCGTGCCGGATCAACCACTCGCTCACGTTTGCGGCTCCAAATCACCTGGTGCTCTTTGGTGGGAGACGGCGAGCTCTGCGTCAGAATGAACTCTACATTTACAATGTGAACACGCGCGCTTGGCGACTTGTTCAAGGCGGACCAGCTGAAGGACAGAGAAGCAGTCGCCGCAGAAGTAGCCAAACGGCTCTTGATGATAACCCCCCCACTGTCCGAACAGCACATGCTACGGTAATGTTTCGCCCCGAACCTGCGGGACCTGAAGCTGTGCAGAAGTTACTTGTCTTCGGCGGCTACGCTGGCTCGCATCAGTGGCTGGACGATCTGCACTTACTTTCCTTACCCCAAGCTGTGTTGATGCAGCCGCCGCCTCCAAGCAGAAACTCCTCTCGATCTATTGCAGCCACTCGTACGTTGATTTTTATCTCCTGGACGCTCATTTATGGTATCTAACGGCGGTATCGTTGTTTCATGCAGAACGTACCCGACCGGCACGATCCTCTTTCAACAAAAGCAGCGCGGCGGCTCGACTGGCTCTCTCAGCTCCTCAGCAACCCGTTCAAATGAGTCAGTCTTCGCAGTCGGCTCGCCTGCCGCCAGAGGCTACCCAGTCAGAGGGCCAACTCGAACGGCCTGCCCCACCCGTCCAGGAACCCCCACCAGTCTCTCAAACAACGCAACCCCTGCAGGAGCCACCTCCAGAGACTGTTGAATCAGACAATCGGCCTGACACAGCAAATGCAGAGCAGTCTTCGTCGTTACCGCCGCAGAACTCTCTGACATCGATAACGCCTGCCAGCTCTCCTCCTCGACAGCCACCACGGGAAATCTCTCGATCGGATACACTGCAACGACCAACCACGACTTTCACCGGCAGTGGCGTCCTGACAGACATCACCAACCAATCCAGCTCCAACACACAGAAACAACAGCAACAGCCAGCACTACCACGCTCCTCAGGCACCGCCACTACGGGAGGGGATGCGGCCTCCCCTGGTGCGGTAAAAAAACACAAACGCCGTCGACTTGTAGAGGATAGCCAAGACAGCAGCAATAGCAATAGCGTGGGCAGCAGCGGGAGTGGGGAGCTGACTACAGCGCAGGTGGGGATCCAGACCACGCTACTGCAGCTGCTGCAACACCAACCTCGAGTGGAAGACACTCTTGCGCGTATACTGTCGATGCTCACCAGGGAGCAAACTGCACGGCAGCAGCAGAACATGAGTCAGGAGACGTTGATGCGGATTCACAGCGAGGAGCAGAGTAAGCGTCTCGAAGCTGCGAACCGGAGAAATGAAGCATTGGAAGGACGTCTCGCTCGCTGCGAAGCCGAACGGGTTTCGCTGCAGGAGAAACTGATGGCACGCGAGACTGAGCTGTACATGCACAAGCGCAGCCTCGAAGCATCAATTCCACCTCTGAACGAACGTATCCAAGCCATCGAAGCTTCCCACATGCAGCAGCTGAACGTGTCGCGGGTCATTGAATCCAAGATATCGGCCGTCCACGACTTCATGGATGAACTGCGCAATGCTGGCGTGGAAGGCACAGAACGCGACGACTCTCCTTTGCGACGTCAAGGGTACGTTGCGTTTGCGCTCTGTATATTGCATGTCCCCAGGGGGTCTGCTCGATGCGGCGCGGCATGAATTGGAGTATTTTTCACGCCGCACCTAGAGCTCAGCTTGATGACCCCCTCACATCGAGCTTGGAGCCTCGCGGGCTACCATCATGATCTCCTGATGACTTTGGAGGGCTAGAATTCCCTTCAAGGACAGATACGGATCGTACATTTTGACTGATGATTGTGAAGAACGCTCTAATAACAAATGTGTGCTTGATGCCGTTAGCCGTCTTGACGACAGTGTGGCAACTCAGCCAACGCCATCCCCACCGAAGCCGCTACTATACCCGCAGCGTGTGGTCCTGGCACTGGAAGAGAAGATTCGAGTGATCCAGTCCGAGAAGGAGGCGCTCGAGAGCCAGGTAATGTGAAGGTTGCTTGTTCATTCTTCTGCTTTAGTCGCTCATAATACGTGGTGTCTTCATAGGTCAAGGAGATGACGGAGAAGTTGAAGCGTGTAGAAGGGAGAGAGGCACAGGCGCGGCAGTTCCTTTTCTCGTGGTGCCAGGGCGGCAACCCACCGATGCCAGCTTGCAAGCAAGGTCAGTTGAGTCCGAGGCTATGAACACTAGCACGGATAACTTGACCAACAGTGTAGACAGCTAAGAAGGTGTTTGTGTCCTAACCTAACCTATTGATAATAATCGAAAACTTCACACGAGACAGGATACACAAGATCTATTACGGAGCGGTCTTGGGGAAGTTCATCTCGTTCAGGATGTTGCTCGCAGGTCCAGCGTGGCCCTCTTGAGATGCAAACGATTCCAGCAAGTTTGACAGCAGATTGTAGTCCAGGTCCAGCGGTTTAGAGGACGAGAAGGACGCGGAGCCGACATCTGCGGGCTCATCTTCTTGAGCTGGAGGCGAAGCTTCCTTCTCGTCGTCCTCCATTTCCTCGAAGCGCGAAAAGCTTTTCGCGACCTTGGTGCATGCCAACTCAGCTTCCATTTCGGCCATGGCCTCGTCCAGAGTAAGGTTTTCATCATCATCATCTCCCTCCTCTTCCGACTCATCATCGCTGTCAGGTTCATCCTCATCCATGAAGTGTCCACCCCATGGAGCGTCCAAACCTGCAGCACTCTTACCGCCAGCCTCGTGACCATTCAATATGTCCATGAAGGAGCTCATGTCGAACTGGATAGGCTGTGCTCCTTCCACACCCTCCACACCCGAGACTCCTTCCACGAACTTGCCAAACATTGCAGCCATGTTCTGCAGCTCGTCGGCACCACCAGGACCCGAAGCAGCTCCAGCCATGGCCGCACGCTGTAGCTGACTTTCCAGCGTGTCCGGGTGCATGTACAACCACGAATCGTCATCGTCCGGCTGAATTGGCAGCGCTGACAGCTTGACGCCATGCTGCTGAAGAGCCTCGTCAATAATATGCCTCCACGACCGTCCTAACTGATCTTCACCGTCGCCTGCATACAGCATCTCAAGACCGCACGCCAGCTTAACGCCAATATCCGCTGCCTGCGCGTCCGGGTGCGTGTTCTCTTCACTCATCGACTTCTCCAGAACCCGATAGCGAGCATCTCGACGCAGAAATGCGTTGGGCGGGAAGAACTCCTGCTGCTTGAGCTCAGCAAACATAGCTCTCGAAAACGTGACCATGTGCTCCACAACATTCTCACCTTCGGGCAAAAACGTAGCCATCTTGCCGCACACCAGGCCGGCCCGCTTCGGTTCACGGTAGTAGAAAGCCTCTACCGCCGGCCCCACCAGCTCCCCATTCGCTGCGAAAACTCTCGCCGCTCTCTCAGGCAGCAAACACCTTACTCGGTGGCGGTTTTCACGCAGATACGTTGGTACCTCCTTCAACTTGTGCTGAATCAGCCGCTGCACGGCCGCGCTGGCCTCCGTCTCGACACCTGAATCCAGCACCTGTTGCAGCGCGTCTTCATCGTATAAATCCCCCTCTTTACCCCTGAATCGGGCATTGTTGGCAGGCGGTGCAATGTGCAGCTTCCCATCCACCACAAACACTCGGCGATCACTGTCCTCGGGCGTGACCCAATCGGGCAGCGCTTCGGCGCTCTCAATGAGCAGAAACTCTCCGTCCGAGTCGGCGATGCGGCCCACGACACCTGGGAACTGCTTTGTGATGTCGAACACGAGCTTGGCCACGACCCACTCGTCCTGAATGGCATCGCCGACACTGGTGCGTCCGGACAGAACATAACGCCCACTTTTGTCGCTGGTCGCTTGGAGGTGGAAGCGGTGCTTGTGCCACAGGAAGCCTCGCGTCTGCTGCGCTGCGAACGCCAGGAACGCGCTGCACTGCTGCTCGGCAGCTTGACGAAGGTCTTCATTGGTCTGCTCAGCGGTAGATGCGGGCAGGAAGAAGCAGTAACGCGCCTCGTTCTCGTCGACGGTTGGCGGCGGGAAGAGTTCCATGGCGAGTCGATTGATTGACTAATGACTGGTTTTTGTGTCAGTGGCGTTATGTTGTGTCATAACTTCAACCTTGCTGGAATCGTGCAACGCATAAGCTGATTCTGCTGTACCTGGGACGGCAACGCACTACCCAAAGAGAGAATTGAGTCATGGATTGAGCAACCACGAGTCTGATAACTGCAAATTGCGCGTGGTGATTTTCTGTCCGTCGTAGAGTTGGTGGTTGCTAGCGCTGCTGACTGGTTTGGGGTCTCCGTCGTGAAGCGAGTCTTGTACTGCTCATTCTCCATTCTGCTCCATCCCCTCCCCACAAGAGCAATGAACCTCGCTGGACTCGTGCGCCTGACTGCCATCGCGGCCACCTTCGCGGCCAACGTCGATGGGCAGACCACGTTCGACGGCGACAACCTCCCCTCCAGACTCAACTACCAGGACTACGTCTCGCAGTTCCTGACCCGCAACGACTCGACGGCTGCCGTCGATATCGAGCCGCTGATCCTCGGTGGAGGCATCGTACCCCCCGGGACCAAGACGTACACTACCGGTATCCGGCCGTCGGCCAATGGGACGGACTTCTGCGGCGGCGCCCTCATCACGCCGACGCACGTGCTCACCGCCGCGCACTGCATGGCTGGCGACATCCAGTACGTCTCTGTGGGCACGCACTTCTTGAGCGGGACCGAGGATGGAGAGCAGATCAAGGTCGTCAACAAGACCCGCCACCCCAAGTACGCGACCGAGACCAACTCGTACGACTTCCTGGTGCTCGAGCTGGAGAAGGCGAGCTCCTTCCCTCCCGTCGCGCTCGCCAAAGCCGACGGCTCGGACGTCGCCAGTGGCGGCAACGCGACAGTCATGGGCTGGGGCGCCGTCGCGCAAGGCGGCGTCCAGTCCAACGAGTTGCTGCGCGTCGACGTGCCCATCGTCAACAATACCGCCTGCGCCAAGGTGCTCGACGTGGACGACACGATGCTGTGCGCCGGCGGAAAGCTCGACATGGACTCGTGCCAGGGCGACTCGGGCGGCCCGCTCATCCTGGAACAGGCAGCCGAAGACGTGCTCATCGGCGTCGTGAGCTGGGGCAACGGATGTGGACGTGCCGGTTACCCCGGCGTCTACGCGCGAGTGTCCGTCGCTCGGGAGTGGCTTGACACGATCGCCCCTGGCGCCACATTCCGCTGACTTTCCCCAGCAGAAATTCGGCTTTCATCAGCATAAAGCCCGTAAGAAGATAAACCCGCGAGCTTTAACAACAAATGAAACCAAACTCTGCATATCCAGTCAACTTGCTGACAATTTTGATTGCCATCCAGTGCTCTATAATAAATAGAGCAGGCCGATTCTCTTGAATTCGTGTGCGTCTGACCTCATTTTTGTATCAAAACTTTTGCGTTTCCTGTGCGTCTGCGCGCACACGAATTCTTTTTGCCCGCGACGACCTTTCCATACAAACTGCTGTTAAGCTGGTGGAAATGCAGAGTCGTAACGAATTCGTGTGCGTCAAACGCACAGAAAAACTACTGTGAACCTCGAAACTCAATACCACACAGGCGCATAACAACCGCAGTTTATACAGCCACAAGTTCGAGGCGACAGGCAGTAGTGCGTCGTCGCGCATTGCCTTTGTATAATGCAGCGTGAACCCGTGGCCAGGCACCCTGGCTACACCAGCGCCCATTAGGCTCCATATTACTCGTCCTCGGCAACTGCATCAACGACGTGAGGTAAGACGAGCTGAATTATCTTTTGCTTATATGCACGTGTGTTGGTGTTTCGACGCTAACCTACGCGTCTTGGCTCGATCTACTGCGATTTTCTCGAATCTCGTTCAATGCAGTAGACCATTTGAGCTGATCTTTGCGCCTTTGACGATTTTTTGGTGTTACATCGCTGATACGAAGCTTCGGAATAGCGCCTTGAAGCATTTCGCGAGCCTGCTGCACCGTTGGGGTTGATATCCAGCAGCCTCGCGGAACTTTGGCTTGTATCTCCATCATCATACACCGATAGGCTGAGAGCGTCTTCCGCTTCCCGCAAGTGGAAAGGTCCTGCCACTGCAGGAAGCGATATGGACCAATTCGCCCAGATGGGTCACCACAGCACCAGTACACCTTAACGGCATGCTGGGAATAGTAAAATCAGCAGGTGCTCGCGTCAATCTTGAGTTCGTAAGAGTCAGGTTTTGTGTAGCCATTTGGACTCCATCGTTATCATCTACATCTAGGCGGTCCTGAGAATCCTCTGTAGTGCAACCCAATGGCTGGGGTAAATGGCTTCGGACCGCTGCAACTAGCTCAGTCATTAAGCGCCCGCGATATACTGGCATTAAGCTCTGTTGACGACAAAGAAGATCGACAACGGGACATTTCTTCTCTCATCAACTGCACCACAGTGGGCGCCAGCTCACTAACCGACAATGATAGCTGCTGTAGCTGCGCCGCTTGCTGCTCCATCGATGTCATCAAATGAACGTGCGGAGGTACACCAGTAGGCCTTATTCGATCTGATGGACGTGCTGTTCGGCAAACCACTTTCTGTTGCAACTGGGAAACTAGTCTGGTATTTCCGAAAAGCGCGTTGCGATACAATGGATGCTGCTCACTCAGCGTGGTTCGTAGATATTCAGCGTGATACACTAGAGACGCCAAAAGAAAGCCGCCAGCGCGTAGTAAATGAGGTGGCAAATTGTCGAAACATAAATGAATACTATCGTGAACGAGATCATCAAAGTCGGGGGAAAATGGCGGTAATATAGCAAAACCAGTATCATCAAACGGTAAGCCAGTCACATAACGTCCAACAATGCGATCGCCAGCAGACTCGTAACGAATGTAGGTGTCCTGCACACCGGGTAGCTTCCAACCAGCTCTGATACATATAGCCGCAGCAGAGGGACCCCCATTTGAGCACGAAGAAACAAAGGTCGCTGAACCTTTTCGCGCGGAATGTGTTCCAATATCTGAAGGTACCAATCCTTCATTTTCAAGCAATACCTTCATCTCGTCTTCCTGCGTGACGCGCTTTAAAATCTTTGAGAATCGATCGTATTGGTTACCACCGGGGAATATCTTAGAATCGTCGATTCCCAGTACAGCAGCATACATCGCTAGCGTAACACTGGGCAGATTTCAGGGACAACGGGGTTCGCATACACGTGCCTTGCATCGCGAGGCCGGGAGCCGTCTTGGTCGTTTTTCATGTGCCCGAAAAGAATTGCGAGCGCGTCTCCATCCCAGCTCATATGACCGGAATGAATTGAAGCCGTGTTGCCCGCGCGACACATCAAATTCCAACTCAACAGTAGAAATGCGTGCGCAAAAAGAAATTCTTCTTCACCATGCTTGATAAACGCAGCACAGAGAGAGCGCAATAGCGAAAATGACATGGGCTCCTTCCTCTCTGTCAGCTTCACACCAGCATCGTGGTTGCGCCGCGCAACAGTGCGTTTCAGGCCTTTGAAAAATACCGTCAAATCAGCAGCAAACTCTGGTGTCATCGACCGCCCATATCCTCGATACAAATGAAACAAACTTGAACGCATCGAGTCGTAAACGGATTGACCAGGTTTATCTCCGCTACGGTTCCGAAGAGACAGCAGGAACTGCTCGAAGTCGTCAGCGCGATGCTGATCATAGTTAATAGGAGGTACCCCAGGATTCTGAGTCATGAAGTCAGCAATGCTGCTCTGTTTTAGCGACGTCATCTCCAACTCGTTAGGGTCGAAGTCGTCATCTTGCAAGGCTCCAAGAAATGCATCGCTCAGAACATTTCTTTGGTTCTTGTAAAGCCATGCTACATAACGACATATTCCACGAACGTACATCTTCACAGTCTTCTGGCCGATCACATTGTGCTTGACTGCGTGTACCTGACTGGCGAGATCCGCAGCGTCCGGGTTCGTGAGCGTGTCGGCATTCGGACCCGTGGTCAATGTGGCGTCTGGGCTCGTGGGCATGTTGGCGTCTGGATTTGTGGTTGTGATGGCGTCTGGATTGATGAGTATGTCATGACCAAGGCGGCGTTCAGATTCGGGGGCACGATGAACGTGCGCCCGCGGGCGCCTGGCGCCTAGCTCCAAAAGTCACACACCACTTCGATTAAGTACGATCTCAGGATAGTCGCACAAATTCTTGCTACATATGAGTTTTCGCAGTCACTGTTCCTGGTCCTGTTCGGGATAAATGTGTATAGAAAGTACATTCGGACCTGCTCCTGACAGTCCGGGGAATACTGGATGACTCATCCATCAACAAACTAGGATATTGTGCCTAATGCCCATTTGGACTTGAAATCGGCACTTTGGAAATCTTCAATTAGGCACCATACAAAGATCTATATATCAGTATGGTAAGTGAAGCATATGATTTAGAGAATGTGTTCTACAAGTCGCTATCAACAGTGTGTTCCTGGCAAGAGATATATTCATGGGACCGAGTGTTAATCGTTGTCACACCGGGACTAATTCACGGGTAGTCCCGACACTGCGTCGATCAAGAATTTCAGTCTGTGTGGTGGTGATGCCAGGTCCACCAAGCTACAGAGCTGTTGTTACCCATAATATCTGATAAATTGCATGATGCGCAACAGAGCGCAGGTACAGTGTAGCTGTTCCTTGGTCGTTCGGTGGTATCCATAAGCCAATGTAAGGCTACGAAGATTTGATAATAAGTCGACTGCCAGATTACATGTAGTTAATTTACTATTTAAAATACTTCCTACGGTATATTGGTCTGTTACGATTGCCTGGTCGATAGTGTAGGGCGTTTAGCTGTTAATGAAAGTTACTAGACACTACCTCACTGTTAGCTGTACGTTTGCTGACTGTTAGTTGACGAGTTAATAGCAAGAGAATAATCATGATATATATTAACCTTAAGGCTGATGTCTTTCTTACCTACGGAAGAGATCTAAACACTCTGCGCCCTTGAGACCCGTCTTCTAGCGAAATATATTCGGGCCAGGCCGAATTCAGCTCTGCGTCTTCAAACTCGTCGATCATCTCGATCGGAGTGTGACGGGCCAGGTTCCAGGTCGGTCTTTCCCACCCTACCCATTTTATCAAGTACAGTCGCTGCATATCAACAGTCTTACGTGCGTAGATGTTTTCAACAACAAATACAGCACCGCCATCGCTGCTAATAGAGGATCTCGCCTCACTATCAGTTCTGTCCGCACGAGTTGGTACTTAAAAACTAAAACACAATTTAACGGATGGGACTATCCGTTCTAGACTGGCACTTCAAGTAACTGCGGCTCTGGCGCTGCACTGGCATCTAGAGTAGACTTGGCAGCATCTAATGCGACAGTACCGTTGAGTTGGGACAATGTGGGCCACAATATCGAATTAAAAGCGTCTCATTTCTTAAAATGTAGAAAACCAGAAGGATCGGAGCGCGTAGATAAAGTTATTGAAGTGTAAAAATCTTTAGTAATTTCCGTTTTTGTGGGTGCTCGTTCGGCAAATACATGTTAGCAAAATTTACTAGACACTAACTAACTGTTATTTACACGTACAGCTGACTCTACAGTTAGTGTATAGGGAGAACGCTACTGGTCGACCCAGCTCCATCTCATAATTCGGCAGTTACGGCTGCAGCGGGATGCGCTGTCATGTATGAGAGCTTCATTGGCGTGCCAAATGCACAGAGCAGAGGGAGGTCGAGCTAGCACTTGGCGCGAAGCTTGAAGGCATAGTGGCGAAAGTAACGGGGGGGAGGGTGGTGGCAGTCGACAGCGGCGACGGAATGAGTGGTTCTAGTAGTTCTAGCCCAGTCGCTACTGCGCTAGATAAGATAAAAGCACCGAGAAATACCATCAATGGACCACTATTTACTATAGATCCGAGCCTGAAGCCATTCTCTTAAACAAGGATTTTTTTAAAACTCCATTTGGATTGTTTATGTACCAAGCACCTACCGGTAGTTTGTTGATGCCTGTCTATGAGTCTGTTCTACCCTCATCTTGACTAGAGGGTTGGACTGGTAGTGCTTCCCGACGGTGATTGCACCGTTGTTTCCCCGTCAACCCCCTGGCAGCCGAATGGCAGGTAGACGTACAGGAGGTCAATTTAACCAGGGATAGCAGAGTCTTGCGAGTGCACCGCACTAGCTACACATTTCCGCTGTTGCGGCGACTTCTACACTGCAGATACCAAAAAATAGCTTGAACGGATCCACGCAGATAAGTACGAAGAAGATGGTAAATGACCAAGCTTTTCAGTTTAACTTCAAACGTTCATTCACAGAGTTACCTCACCGCAGTCTTCTCATCTACGCACAGACAACGCATCTACAGACAACGCATCAAGCGGCGAGCTTTAGCGGCACGGTGGCCCCCGCTCTCTAAGGGCACATACTCGCTGCCGTGTCGTCGGACTATAGAAGCCATAAAGAACCCCGCCCAAATCGATACCGCAAGATATCATCTTCTGCCTTCATTTGCCCCCTGTATAGTTGTATAATTTAAATACAAAGTCGTAAAACACCTGCAATACATAGAAAATCTGCGATGTCTATGCCAAAAACAAAAAATATAAGGAGGTTGTACGTGAAATTTGTATTGAATCGATACCTACCTTTTGTGTGGACACACATATTCCGGTCCGGGAATTAATCCCTGTTGGGCTGTACGTACTACTGCCGTGGCACTACCAGGATTAATTGTTATGTTGGCCTTTCAAGCCAACCTCCGCAACTCGTTGGTTGTACAAGCGAAAGGTTGAGTCAGACTGGTTACTGGCCGTGGTGGGGCTATTGGCGTCATACTGTCTGGTGACAGAGTTATTGTGTTTTTGCTGGCCCAGCACGCTGGGGCCTAGCGAGTAGCCACTCAAGTTCGAACGAAAGCTGAAGACCGACAGATTCAGTCCACACAGTCGTGGAGCTTCTTGATCCTATCCTGTACACGTTATGGCAGCCCGCCCTTAACGTTGACGCCAACCAGTTTTTCGCCGGACCCGTTGCCTCAAAGGGGTACAAGATGCGTTGATACCTGCCTCTTGCTATTTCATGCGGTTCTTGCCGCAAACATAATCAATGCTTCGGCACGGTGAGCAACACGAAGCCCATAAAGCGCAGACCCTGCTTTCAGACCGACCTTGGCTCAGGTAGCATCTTTTTAGCTGTAGATATTATCATGGGATGAACTACTTGTGATACTCCCAACAATGCGTTCATTTCGTTCGAGCTGTGGTGGGACAGAAATGAAAAATGCATTCGAGTTGGGACATGTTTAGGCAGCTCAAGCGGTTGGTTCTTCCAGATCGACGCCAGTAACTCTGCAGGTATGTAACAGCACGTTTGAAAGCTGCAATTCGCTTAGAGTCGGAGATAAATTACTCAAGTACTATCGATCTTGTTGCCTGTTGATCACGTTAGTGCTGAGGAAAGTCTGTTAGTGGAAAGTGTTTCGTGCGAGAAGTCACGCGCACGAACACACCTCCGTAAATGGTACACTGTACATACGACACCATTTCCTCAGGTAATAGTTTCTCTCTCGGCCTCGTATTCTTGATGCGTTCATTTCTGGTGGCGAACGACGCTGCGGTGCGAACGGAATAGATTTGAATTATGTGCTCTAGTGCCAAGTACTCGTTCAGCTCGTTCCAGTGGTGAATATTTTGCCCTGTGGACATCACTATACGTGTTCATCGCTGTCCGATGTCGGTACGGTTTGGCCATTGTCCGAGTTTGCTCGGAGCGCAATGATATCGTTCGCCTGTGCTTTATTACGTTATGGTTCGAACAATGGTACAGCCATGTCAGTTTAGCTGAGTTCCTTCAACTTCAAGGAAATTTTCATGACGTATTATCAGGATCGCCGATTCAGGAATTGCACGAAAGTATCTAAAGCAGTCAAAACTCACACTTGGAAGCACATTTTGAATGCTAGGAATGCCTTGTTGATGGCGCCACTCTCATCCGCCCCAAGGATCCTACATCCGTTACTCGAATTCCTCCAGGCCTCATGGGCGTTGCATTTCGATGGCGACGAGCGCTCGAGTCGAGGCGTTCGTGAATTCCAGTGACCGAGGATACGGCGCAAATATTTCGCAGCCTGTGCGCATGGGGGACGCCGACAAAGGAGAGGAGATGGAGCTGGGGAGAGTCCTTGGGCGTAGGAGCTGGCCAGACAGCGGGGTGAACCGGAGCTCCCTCCACCCACCAAGTTTGAAAAAGTCTCCGCCGCGCACGACCGATGCGCCTGTATAAGGTAATAGTGGCCGTCAATGGAGCAGTGCAGACTATCGTCGTCGGGTCGCGGCGGCGCAGTCTTGCGCAACATGACAATTGTGTCTGCACGGATGGGTGGCAGAAATGATTGTTTCCGGCACCCCGCAACGAAAGTGTTGATACAGGGGCCCCTTGTGCGCCGACACATGGAGCGCTTCGATCCTGCTTGGCATCTTGCTGCAGGTGTTGGAACCGTCTCGATGCAGGTAAGAAAATCCATTCCGCCCCTTTGAACGCCACGCCATCGAGCGCTGCTCCAGCGGAGGGGTGTACAAGTACCGCGTTGATAATACAGCTTTTCGTTGCGTGAGCAAAGGATTTCAGTGTCGGAAAGAGCTGGAGCGTCTTATTTCGGCCCTTTCGACCAGCTGGAAATCCCCTATGGTCTCGACGCGACTGCCGTATCTCGACGATCGAGGACGGCTAACTGCGTACTGAAGAAAGGGAACGTGCAGAGAAATAGGCCACGCATGTGGTGCAAGTGTCATGTGGTCCAGAGTATCCTCTCTTCCGCTGGACTCGGCGTCCAGACAGGGAGGGCAACTTCAAGTCAACATACGCGCGAGTGGAGCTTGGCAAGGCCAGTGCGAGAGGATACCGGCCGACCGAGTATTCGGTGTCGCCCCCGCGACCTTATGGAGCTCGGGCTGCGTCGTGGCAACAATGTAAAAAGCGCGCGTTGACTCGATCGCGGCCTCCTGCTGCTACTGCTGCTTATGGGCAGCGAAACTTATGGCCGCGGGTCAGCTGGGCAAGATGTTGAGATGTACGTCAGACATGGCACATAAACGTTGACGAACTTGACGGCTGGAACCCCATCGAAACGTCCGGCAACCACGAGCTCTTAACCTCTGTAGCCGAACCTCAGGCGGACAAGAAGCAGAGGCTCATTTCCCAACTTCCTCGTGCAAGCACACGTTGATCGCAGCGCTTTGACTCGTACTACTCCGCTAAACGCAAGCAAGCCCTCACCATGTCACTGGAACCCCTCCCAGTATTCGCGGCGCGCGCCACCGACGACCTAGAGCCCATGGACCCGGAGCTCCTGAGCTTGATCGCTGCCGACGACGCCGAATCCAATGTCTCGATGGACGTCAAGAGCGAGCCCATCGTCGACGACTTCACGCCGTTGAACCCGACCTCCACCCCGACGGCGGTGGACACGTTCAACCCGGGCTTCTCCAAGCTCGAGGTGGAGGACCTCATGAACCTCCTCGCACCGGAGCCCCTCCCCATTCCGAGGATGGTTCGCAGCTACTCGGAGCCCATCAAGAAGGTCACCAAGCGCACCAAGAAGTGCACCTACGCAGCTCGCAGGGTACGTTTGATCCCGCGAATCGACTTTCTCTTGCATCGAAAACCCACACACTAATCTTTATACTGTTGGCTCAACAGAGAGAGGTGGCGTTCCTCCGTCAGGAGTCGATGGTGTTGGAGCAGCGTCTAATGGACCTGCGCTGGAACCGCGCTGCGTCGACGCAAAGTCGCGTCCACGTGGCCCGTGAGAGCTTTGAGCTTGCCAAGGCTCAGCAAGAGAACAAGCGTCTTCGAGCTCTGGTCTCGAGCCAGGAGGCCAAGATCCGCCAGGCGGATGCCTACATGGTCCGCTCCAACTATAACCCGCTGCTGTCCCCGTAAGGTTGGGGATAAAGCAGAGCGAACACCACCCGAGCAAAGGTGGCGTGTATGCATCAGCGGGACGATCCGTGCTGCGTTTCGACCTATTTTGTCGCCAGGTCGTAGCCACTCACCCGAGCGAAGGTTGGGTGTCAGCATTTGGCAAGTTGATCGTACAGAAGCTGCTGTTGAATGTCATAGTCTGTCGAGTGTCGTTCCTAAATGTTTATAAGACTGCAACTATCACATCACAACATTGTTCCCATGTATCGCGATCTTGTTGCTCCGCATCCAACTTGGATAGTACACTCGATGCACTGTTTGCTGTAATTTTCACCTTCAAGAGCATCTCCACATGACGACGTACGTTGAAGATTTATTTTTCATGGCGCAGATTTAGCTGCTTGCACGGAAGCCAACTTGGTGCCGACACCGGGCCACAGGGCACACCATTGCATGCTTAGCTGTTTCAGACTGCACATCCAAAGCAGAACAAAGTTGTTATCACAGTAGCACAACCTATACATGTACATCCACGCAGCATCCCTCTATGACTCACCTCTTGGATCTCGCAAATGCGTCGATGAGAGGGTTAGCGCCGTCTTGAATGCAAGTTCTTCCCAGCAGGAACAGGTAATTAGTTCAGTTTTGCCAGGCTCGAGATAAAGCGCCATTCAGTACAGTCAACAGTTACCGATCAAGCTGCAAATGCTGAAGGCTTGTGTTCTTCTTCAGCATTTCCGCGAAAGCAAGTGCGCCTGCCGCTCTGATGGGATTTCCGCTCAAGTCAAGCTGATCGAGCACTCCATTGGTAACACTAAGCAATCACAGGGCTTCAACGAAGTCTACAGTAAGTTGGCGTGCAAATCTCACGTACCCGCGTCACCGTTTGGTTTTGCTGCAGTGCCAACGCGATAGCCTGCACGCCGTTGTTTCCGATCTCATTCTCCATCGATTCCTTGTCGCTGTAGACCGATTCTCCGTTGCTGAGATCAAGTAGCTGAAGTGTCTTGGTAAGCTGAACCGCTCGATCGATACATATAAACCTTTTAGTAAATCAGCACTCCCAAACAAAAGCAAAACCAACAAATAATAATGGCCTCACCCGTATTCCACTCGCCAGAAGGATCGCTCCAGCATCTGCGATTTGACAATTATTCAGCCGCAGCTTGACAAGGGCATCCGAACTCTGGAGCATACCCTGGATAAACACAAATGACATTATTCACAAGCCAAGAATACACATAAGCCAGAATGCACGTACAGAGATGACACCGCATCCGGCACTAGCGACGGGAAGACGGTAGCAAACCACTTGGTTTTGCACCAAAATGTCGACCTTGTCTCCTCCAATAACCGGGTCTTCATGGTTAGCTTGCTCCTCTGATATCCATCTCGGGCGACGCTTAAATAGCGGTGTTGGAGGTCGCAGCTCCATCTTCAAGGGGACTTGGAATCCCAGCGCAACTGATAGCTCCCGAAAGCGGTCGTCAAGCTGGTTCTCCCCGAGCGGTAGCAGCACCAGCCGCAGAATCCTCTTCATCGCATGGTCGACTCGCTTCGGCGTCAATAGCCCGTTGCGACTGCGCATAACGAGCCAAATGTGTGAGCCTCCACTGGATCCAAGCCCACGCCTTTTCCCTCTTTACGTACTGCCGTCGCCTGTTGCGCTCCACCTTGGCACACCAGACGTCGATGGTCTTGAGGAAGGCCTGCGCCTCGAACACGTCCAGTCTCGATAGGTCATAGGCGTAGACAAGCTGCTTCTCTGGCTCCGACAGCGCATGCACCAACGCTGGATGCAGTCGCAAGCTGCACAGTAGCAACAAGCACAGCAGACAGGTAGGTGAATGCTCTCGCAGCAGCAGCAGCAGCCAAAATACTAAATGCTAGGCCTTCTCACTTGCAAAAGTGCTTCAGCTGCCGTCCGATGGCCTTCAGGCAGAGCTGCTGCAGCGACCGGACGCGGCTCAGCGGGTCTGCAGCCATGATGCGACTGGCAAAGGTCAACTCAATACCATTGTATCTTGAAGCGCCGTGGTGAATGATATGTGGTGTTCGATCCTCTAATTACGTGTGTACCACATCAAATCCGATTGCCGGGATTTTTCGCGATAAAGAGTCAGCACTGCAGCTTCCGCCAATCAGATTATTTGCTTGTAAGTTTTAGCGAATGAGAAGCGCCGGAACAGCTCCATGTCGCACGATTCTGAGTCGCGCGCTTCTCGAGCGCATCACAAGCCAACAAGCGGCCAAGGGCTCAAGTCAAGTTGACTCGTTGTCGCATTGTCCATGCGCTGACGGACGCGGGCGCCTTCGCCCCAAGCCCAAGACGAGAAGCGCCTCTTTGTACCTGACTAAGTGACGGATCCAGGCTGCTAGCTGCTAGCAGACGCAACGCCGTCCGCCCGTCGTCCAATGGAGACTGAAAACCCCCTTGGAGAGGGGACGAGTTGCAGCTGCGGTGGCTGTCTTGTGTGTCACTCTGGGTGTGGCCTGCAGGCGACGGGGCGGCTCCGAGCTACGTGACTGCGGGACGTACAAGCTGCAAGAGACGAGAAGAGTCGCAAGATGTCGAGCGCTCGTACGGTGGGGCTGTTCTCTCTGTGTCTTGCTCTGTGCATGATGGAGTGGAGAAGGTGCCGCCTTGTGTTGTTCCGCGTGTGTTTTGGCGAGCTGCGGTGTAGTGTTGAAATAAACTGGTCAAGTTGGCAAGCGCATCTCGTTACGATCGCTACAAGAGAAACGACAAGCTACGGTGACGTTTGATTTCGGCATTTCTATCTCCTTTTTAATTTTTTCATTGGAGTTTGTGTAATGTTCCGCTGTGAATCATGGAGTGCAGATTGATACACATTGTTTGCATTGTGATGGGAAGACAATAGGCAAGTCCTCCACATGTGCATTGTCTTTCTGACGCCCTGGTGACTGGAACAAAACAAAATCGTGGGTTGCAGGTGCCGACGGATGGACATCATCATATCTCGTAGTTGAGGCAAGTTTTCTTTGCGTTTTGCTGATTTTACATGACCTTGTCTACACAACAAAATCGTGAATCGCAGGCTTCAGCCGTTCATCATTCCACACCACCTCACCCATCCCAGAACCGTCGTCTGGAACGCTCGTTGGTTGACAAATGCTCCACCATTATCATCTACTTTTTTTTATCGTAGTGCAACTGCACCATAAAAACACCAAACGCTCAGCACCTCAAGCAAGTGGCGCAACGTCAATGTGGTTATCGGGTCATTCAGCCCGCCTTCGCCAGGCAAGCGCAGCATTCATTTCCTCCTTTTTGCTTTACGTTTCGGGGAGGCTGTGGCATGCAGGCTGCTGCTGTGCGTGCGCGCGTCGTCGTAGAGGATCTTCAGTCGGCAGTGGTCGGTGGGTGCTTCAGATATGGGCAAGTGGCAAGCAGCAAGCGGGTAGTTTCGTCGTGTGTCGTGTATGCATGCATGTGTAGGCAGGCTAGAGGTACGCAGGCAGTCGAGGCGACAGAAAGCAGCGGCAAGGACGAGGTGGTGCTCGAGAGCAGGAGAAGAAGAAGAAAGAATTCAAGGCAGGCAGGTGGCCTTTGAAGCTGTATGCATGGCTGATAACGTGTCTTATTGTCGTGGGTTGGAGAGTGAGGTGTTGGTGTTTCGATCGCGCAGCGTTGGGTGCGTTTTCGATGGCGTGTTGGTGACAGCGATGGCGGCGGTGATTTGTGGAAGATTGAGATTGTGGACTGACGTACAGTACGATCGAGGAGTGGACGAAGGAATGGAGAGGCAAGTGCAGTGTTGGAGTTTGAGTGCAGCGGAGACCGCGTGCGCGGGGTTGATGGCGTCAAGTGTCGGTTTGTGTGGATGTCTGGTGACTGGTGATGGCATGGTGTATTTTGGCATTGTAGCTTTGGTTGACTGCGTGATGTGAAGCCTTTGTTTTGCAAGTGGTGTTGTACGTGATGAAGTGTTGGTGTTTGTGGTTTGTTTCTTTCATGGGTTAATGGCGTCGGCTTGTGGAGATGGAGGCGATTGCGACGAGCAGTGGAGACTGTGGCGAGCGGTGTCTGGCGATTGGTTCGCGACCTCGTGGTGTTGTCAGTGGTGTGATGTATATCTACGTCGTTTACATGTTGTGGTGTTGGAGGGCAGTGTTCAAGGCGAAAACGACGGGTGTTCCTTGCGTGCAGGTTGGCGATGTCCAAGTGCGATGTCCAAGTGCAAGTCCAAGAGCGAGTCAAGAGCGAGTCGAAGTGCGAGTACGAAGAGCGAGTCCAAATTCAGCTCAAGTCCCAGTCAAGGTACGGTTTGGTTCATTCAAGTGCTCAAGTGTTCAAGTGCCAGTCGCGGCGGAGCCCAAGCTCGAGCGGTTCGGTCAGTGCATGGTGATCTTTATCTTCGCGCGTGGTTGTGGTTATTCGTTCGGTGCATTCGTCGGCGTGTGGTGTTGTTTGGTGCTTCTGTGCGTGTGAAGGCTGCGGAGAGGTCGATCCAGACGGACCAGAACAAGAAGGCAAGCAGCAAGCAAGCAGCAAGCAAGCAGCGAGCGAGCGGATCCGGAGGTGTTGGCACATTCTTCGCCAGGCAAGCGCAGCATTCATTTCCTCCTTTTTGCTTTACGTTTCGGGGAGGCTGTGGCATGCAGGCTGCTGCTGTGCGTGCGCGCGTCGTCGTAGAGGATCTTCAGTCGGCAGTGGTCGGTGGGTGCTTCAGATATGGGCAAGTGGCAAGCAGCAAGCGGGTAGTTTCGTCGTGTGTCGTGTATGCATGCATGTGTAGGCAGGCTAGAGGTACGCAGGCAGTCGAGGCGACAGAAAGCAGCGGCAAGGACGAGGTGGTGCTCGAGAGCAGGAGAAGAAGAAGAAAGAATTCAAGGCAGGCAGGTGGCCTTTGAAGCTGTATGCATGGCTGATAATGTGTCTTATTGTCGTGGGTTGGAGAGTGAGGTGTTGGTGTTTCGATCGCGCAGCGTTGGGTGCGTTTTCGATGGCGTGTTGGTGACAGCGATGGCGGCGGTGATTTGTGGAAGATTGAGATTGTGGACTGACGTACAGTACGATCGAGGAGTGGACGAAGGAATGGAGAGGCAAGTGCAGTGTTGGAGTTTGAGTGCAGCGGAGACCGCGTGCGCGGGGTTGATGGCGTCAAGTGTCGGTTTGTGTGGATGTCTGGTGACTGGTGATGGCATGGTGTATTTTGGCATTGTAGCTTTGGTTGACTGCGTGATGTGAAGCCTTTGTTTTGCAAGTGGTGTTGTACGTGATGAAGTGTTGGTGTTTGTGGTTTGTTTCTTTCATGGGTTAATGGCGTCGGCTTGTGGAGATGGAGGCGATTGCGACGAGCAGTGGAGACTGTGGCGAGCGGTGTCTGGCGATTGGTTCGCGACCTCGTGGTGTTGTCAGTGGTGTGATGTATATCTACGTCGTTTACATGTTGTGGTGTTGGAGGGCAGTGTTCAAGGCGAAAACGACGGGTGTTCCTTGCGTGCAGGTTGGCGATGTCCAAGTGCGATGTCCAAGTGCAAGTCCAAGAGCGAGTCAAGAGCGAGTCGAAGTGCGAGTACGAAGAGCGAGTCCAAATTCAGCTCAAGTCCCAGTCAAGGTACGGTTTGGTTCATTCAAGTGCTCAAGTGTTCAAGTGCCAGTCGCGGCGGAGCCCAAGCTCGAGCGGTTCGGTCAGTGCATGGTGATCTTTATCTTCGCGCGTGGTTGTGGTTATTCGTTCGGTGCATTCGTCGGCGTGTGGTGTTGTTTGGTGCTTCTGTGCGTGTGAAGGCTGCGGAGATGTCGATCCAGACGGACCAGCACAAGATCGTAGTTGGTGAAACGCGGTTGGTGAAGGTTCGTATCCGTTGTATATTTCTTCCTAACCCGGTGTTTTTCAACACCACCCTTTTCAAAGAGCTTTCACTTCAAGTAGTATTCACATATTCTATACTTGCACTAGCCACTGCAATGAAGAGCAACTGTTCACCTCATTCTGTTTGTACGTCTAATACTTCATACTCTACGAGCCCCTTGGTAAGAAGTACGCAAGCATAGCAACACTGCAAACTATCCTTCGCATATCCCGCTGTCTGAGCCATAGCCTGCGGTAAATGCGAGCCCAACGACGGGTGGGTGACTGCGCAAAATGTGTTTGCTGATCACATTTTGAGTTTCAATTGGCCATAGAGTGCGACAGGCCCGAGGATTCAAAACTACATTGCAAACAACGTGAAGGCGTAGATCTACTAACAGGAGTTTGTTACTCCTTGCTGTGCCAGGTTAGGCGGTAGCACCGGAGCTGAGTGAACTAGACCTCACGGGTGTGGCTGACAGGTACTATACGACGTGCCGGCGGTATATGACGCCTACAACTAATATCGTGCCACAAAGAGCGGCAACCTCTTGACGCCAGACAGCAGCACTGCACCACCGGGACATCAACCGTCGCTGATCCCGAAACGCCGCGTTGACACACGCACTTCAACTGCAAGGCTCCCTATCACTCTACAACTTATCTCATTCTGTACGACCATTTTATACAGTATACTTATTATGCCGTCTCATGACCTCTCGCATACCGATACATTTTTAGGCTAGTACCATAACAGTTTTGAGCCAATACCGTCGCGAAAGTATAAACTTTCCACGCCCCAGAAAAAGCAGTTTAAAACTCCCCCCATAAAGCTCGGCCGCACGATTCCGTCGGTGCGCAGCGTCACACATATGGCTTCAATGCCAGGCGCCCACATGCTGGCGCCGGCGTCTCCGCGCTCGGACGCCGCCAGCGGCCACGACACGGACACACCGGGGACCTCGACTCGCGCCAAGCGCAAGTTCTCGCACACGACGGTGGAGCAGCGCCAGTGTCTGCTCGAGTGGCTCGAGCTGCCCGGCAACTTCGAGCTGCTCACCAAGCCCTCCGGCTCCTCCAGCTCCAATACCGGTACAACCCCCACCACCACCCACGCCATCGCCAACGCCAACCTCAACGCGCCCAAGAAGCTCAAGAAGATCGACGGCTACCGGTCGCTGGCCCAGTACATGAACCGCGTGGCACACACCCAGTGGACGGACAAGACGGCGCGCAGCCGCTTCGAGAGCCTCATCGCGGCCTTCCGCAAGGCCAAGCGCGAGGACTCGCACAAGCTGCAGTCCGTCTACCAGCGGCTCGACGCGCTCTACTGCAGCCCCGAGGGGGACGCCCCTGCCGGTGAGACGCGGTTTCGGTCTGAGAGTCTCGGCCAGAGGTCCGAGAGCAGCAGGTCCCCACACAGCGACGTGAACGTGAGCTTCAGCGAGCTCAAGACCTTCGTGAACGAGGAGCAGAGAGCCATGTCGCCCCCCAGGCGGAGAGCCAGGTACATGGACGAGAGCGTCTTCGTCACGTCCACGCCGACGTTGACTGCCGAGGTGGGCGCCGAGGAGAGCGTCACGCCCGCGCCCTTGGAGCCTCCAACCACCGCCACGACGACGACGACGTCCATGAGCTCGCAGACGTTGGAGACGGTGTCGATGAGTGCGCAGACAGCGACGTCGGTGGAGCCTTCGGCTTTGACCGCCACGTCGAGTGTGCAGCTGGACCAGGCGGCCATGCTGGAGAGCCAGCGACTCGCCGTCCGGCAACAGGAGCTCGAGCTCAAGCAGAGCGAGCTGCGGGCTCGACAGGAGGAGAACAGACACAAACTGCGCGCCGAAGTGCTGACGAGGCTGGTCGAGGCGGGCAAGTCGCCGGCCGAAGTGCGCGAGTACCTGGCCATCATGGACCCCGTGGAAACCCCAATACAGCCTCCGCCGACGCGCCGCTGAAAAATGATGGGAGAACACAACAACTAACGTAAGCCCCACACTTCGCCTTAAAAGTACTAACCGAATCAACGTGGGGGTCTTGAGTACCGAATTCGTCCGTAACGGCAATCAAAAAGGCAACTTGTCTTCAAGTTGCAGTCCAGTGTCCAGCACATAAAATAGTGTGTCTCCACAACTGTCGGGCTGAGCTCATATATCGCATCTCATTCCTTCTTGGCTACATTCCGTCCACCTCCTTCCTGCAGCATCTCCAGTCTCCGTTGACCCTCTCTCCACCCCCCCCCCCCGCCCATGGCTGTGCACGCCTTGCCGCGTGACGAGCGGCTGCAGTGCGACCGCCGCAGCGAGGCGCTTCTGGGCGAGACCCTCGCCGCCTTCGCCGGATTCGACAGCGCCCGCCTGGACCCGACCGAGTGGAAGTTCCTGGCGCGCCGCGACCAGTTCACAGTGCACCGCGCCGTGTCGTCCAAGCGCCAGGGCGTCGACAGCCACAAGCGGCGCGTCATCGCCAGCGGGTTCCTCACCGCCAGTCTGCACGACGTGTTGGGCGGTCTCTACGTCGAGGACGACCACGAGCTGCTCACCACGCAGGCGATACTCAACCCCAGCGGCAACACGGCGGTGGACGCGGCCGTGCTGATGATAGCAGAGCGGCGACAGCCTCGAGCCGCGCCGTTCCGCTTCGCGGGGGTCAAATGGTACTCTTGGAAGAGAAATACCAGTGGTGGTGGTGGAGGCAACCAGTTGACTATCGGGGAGGGCCAGGAGTGTGATTTATTGACGTACGAACGCATGGGGGACGCGTTGGCTGACGCTCGAGACGGTGACGGCAGTCAGGAGCTCGCGTACCATGTGATCCTGTCGCTGAACAAGGCCGAGTGGCCGCTGGACGTGCCTCGGGGACCTGGACTGCGACGAGCGGACATGGCCTTTTGTTTTTTATTCCGCAAAGTGTGCGAGGACCTGGTCGAGTGCTTTACGCTGCTGGACTATGACTGTCGAACGGCGGGGTCGTCGAGACGAGCGGCGGACGCGGAGATGGCGGACCGAGTGCTCATGGTCACGAGGTTGCCGGATTGTGCGCGGGCAAAGGTTCTGTCCGGGTTTGTCCACAAGGCGAAAGCAAGGCCGGTGCTGATGAGCAAGACGTGTCTGCGGTGTGGCTCGAGGAGGAAAGTGCTGGATCCGTTGAGGAATTGCTCTGTGTGCAAGAAGTCGGTGTGCCAGAAGTGTTTGCAGCTGAAGGTCATCTTCTCGATCAACTCGCGGACGCACGAGCCGGAGACGGACGCATTCTGCAACAAGTGTCTCGCTCGGATTGACATTCTGACCGCGAAGAAGAACGCGCAGCACAATACAGCGACGTCTGCGAGTGGTGATAGCTCGACTGGAGGAAGCGTGAAGGAGAAGGACAGGGAGAGTCACTCTGGGGGTTCCAGTGGAAGCAGCAGTCGAAGCGGGTTTAAGTTCTGGAAGAAGAACAAAAGAGAGCCAAGCCCGAGACCGGAGAAGGAGAGGCGCAGACACAGCCTACCAGCTCCCATGAGTGACAGGGGGCCGCATACACCGAACTATGAGGGACTGTTCAAGAACTACGACGTTTTTGGCAGGGCAAGTGATAATCCACGAAGGCGGCAGTTCCGCCTTGACGATGTGGAAGAGCAGGAGCCGGACATTGAGCAGGAGAGCGCCGATCCGCATTATGACGAGCTGTTCCAACACTACCAAATGTCTGGCAGAGCGTCCATCGGCCGACGAAGGCGCGTGTTTGACCAGGGGTTGGCGAAAGAACAGGCACCTGAAAAGAACCAAGAGAAGGATGAGCCACAACGAGAACATCGGTGGAGGCAGACAACGTTCCTGGCGAACCCTGAGGCAGCGGCAGCAGAAGCTGCTGCAGCTAATCGTCTCTCGCTACCAAGACAAACCATTGTGGTCAGAGAAAGAGAGAACACGGTTGCCGAGGTCTTCCCCGTGGCGAAGACTGTGTTGGAGACCGAGGACATGTACGCAGAGGATGGCGAGGACTCCCCCCACAGCGAGGCTGAGCGAGCTCATCTTCTGTATCTGGAACGACGACAGCGCCTGGATGAGCAGAAGGACCAGACGCAATTCTGCCGCCGTGAGTCTCTCACGACCCCTTTGGCAACCCCAGCATTGCCAAAAACGACTTCAGCGCGCGACGTCAATCGCCCAGTTGCCAGTGGCAGTGCCGACCCCATGACGACGTCAAGGCGTAGAGTTGAAGCTCCCGTCGGCACTGTCGATAAGCCTGAGGACGGAGAGAGGAAAGCTGCAGCACCAGTAAGTCGTCGCAGTGGGTCTGGCAGAGGGGGCCGGAAGGTTCGTTCACAAGACAATGAGGACACGTTTCGCATGGATCTGTACGGACGCTTTTAACCCTATCGTTACCTACCAGAAAGGTACATGATGAATCTTTTTAGGTGGGCCATAGTGAGAGCAAGACGTTCTGAAACGACGATTTTCGATTTTGGTTGTAGTTATGACCAATGATACAGCTCGAAGTTCTAGCGTAGATCATGGACTCAAATATCACGCTATTGAGTCTCTTGTGGTACTGCGTGTTTCCAACGGCGCGGCGTCGGGAGTAAGGGTACCGGCACGAGTGTGGTCATGCGGGACGTGGTGGGCGATGTCGCTGCCGGCATGGATAATTTGTAGACGAAGCAGCGCCGCTCAGTCAGCTGGCCCAACTTCATCGGTGGCCAGCGCCACTTGCAGCAGCAGCAACTCCTTCAAAATGACCACGATGGTGGGGACCGTGGCCAGGTGGTCGGTAGCAGCTTGGAGACTACAAGAAGGTGGGTGTTGGCGCGAGTGACGGGAGCACCTGGGTCATTTGTGCGTCGAACGGTTGTGGTGCCGCTGGACGTCATACTCCGAAGGTGTTCAAGGGCGACGCGAATGACGGGTGTTGCTTCGATACCTACGGATGGTAGATGCCGTGGTGTCGAGTGCAGATGCAGTGTGGATTTTACAGCGAGACCATGCAGATCTTCAGGACACAGTAGTAAACAGCCACGTTGTATGCAAAACTGTGAAGAGTTCAAATGGACCAAAGATGTTGATTTTTGTATCGCATAGGGGCTGTATGGGCTCTACTAGTCGTATTACATGTAGTGCTAGTAGTACTAAGATGTGGTCTCTTTTAGTGCGGGCCCAAGCAGTGCTTGCCAGTCTCTTTCGTTAGCACAAGCGTAAGGAAAGCCCGTGAGGCGTACCAAAAACTAAGTAGAATGACAAGTCTCGTTGAAGCAAACAGCTGCATGATATTGTTACCTTCATAATGCTCAGATCCTGACGTAATTGCTTGTGCTATCCATGGAGGTCGGTGTGACCTTGACGACTTGCAACGGCAACATCGTCGGCGACGTCGCTGGGCGGCAAAGCGACTGGAAGGGGCATCGGGTGGCGGGTCCATTTGCGTCCTTGACACGCCCGGGGCTTCGGCAGCAGGTTCGTCGATACCGAGCGTGCTCTTGCTCGTGGTTGCTGGCAACTTGGAGCCCGTGACCAGCATGACCCCGCTCGGACCATCGCAGCCTACAATCGCAGTCAGTGCTGGCGCGATGGGGTGATGACGCGAGTTCCAGTCGGCGTTGTTCCAACGTTGGTACTGCGCTCCACGATCGGAATGGTTAGCAGCGATGCTGACGGCTTAATCACAGCATAACTTGCGCGACACCGTCCCGTATCCGGAAGGCCGACGAGGCCGTCACACGACAAGCAACTCACGTGGCCATCGAGTGTGGTATCCGCTGTGGGGACGTTGGCGTGGACAAGCCGCTTGTCGCCCTTGCTGTCGTCCAGCTTCTGGCCGTCGTCGGCGACCAGCAGCATGCCGCTCACGCAGCAGTCGTCCAGCGTCCCGGTGGCGTCGGCGGCTGGCAGGGTGGCATCCTCAGAGGCGACGTGGATGGGGCTGAGTATCGTGTAGCGACTGGCAAGTTTGGCCGTAGCGCAGTGTAGGACGGAGGTGTCGGCAGCAGCTCGCAAATCGCAAAATGAAATCCAAATCCGAGAAGCTCGGAATCCGAGCTTGGCGCCGACCAATCGCATGGCGGTATAACGTTCCGCCAATCACGGATCAAATATGTAGGATCCCGCCAATCACGTGGCGCGTGCGAAAGATCCCGCCAATTACAATACGACAATGCCCCAAAAGCGAACCCGAAGGAAAATCCTTTGTCTTCGACTGACCCATCTTACTTTTGCTTCAACTTCGATTTAGTACCCCTAATAATGTCTATGGACAGTCAAAATGGAGATGGGTGCCGCGAGGCTACATGCTACCATTGTACGGGTATGCGGGTACTCAATAATAAGGAAGTTGGATTGGAAGTTCGGCCATATCTTGAGGCTCGGTTGATAAGGTATAGTTAGTAGGCAGCTGTAGCAAATTACACGCATCCAGTCGAAAGCAGCTATGGTTCGCATGGTACTAGAAGTGCAATGGCTTGTAAAGAGAGAAGGCTCTACTATGTTTCACCCGACAGTTCATAGGTATGCGTGAGTAAAAACAGGAATCAATAAATCAGCGGTAAGTCCGATTAATATACACATCGTTGAGATGTTATACGCGGCGATCATGTCATCGTAAAAGGTTTGATATCGTAAGATGTGCACATAGCATTAGTCGACAATAGAGTCTAGGCTCCAAGCGAATGCCGATTGAAGATACCAGTAAGTACGACTTGGGAATCCGAATTACGTGTCGTCGCTTGGAAGCTCCACAAGAACCGTAACCTCACCGCAGCGGTGTTCCTCAATGTAGATGTGTACTAGTGACAGTACCAGCAGTGTCGTATGCGTAGGTTGTGTCTGTTTTCGACCGCATGACGATCGAAGCTAAACTGTAAGTATGTCATGTTTACGGAGTTGACGGGCTTCTAGTGGCACCAGCCATAATACCCGAAACGTTGCGGTGCTCAACTCAGTAGCCACACTAGCCTCGATGTACTAGACTCAAGAAATATATAGATCACTAGTTTAGGAAGGTTTGGACGCAATATGTGTCCTGATTCAGCATCTACTTCGAAAGTAGGTATACGTACGAGCGTGGTAGACTTTGGCGCTCAAGGTTATATCAGCATTGCTGATGCGTTCTACAAAGCAGCTATGCCGGCCCACGACGGCTCCGATACTGTAGCGACCGGGTGATAGCAACCAGGTGCCATTAGGTGGGTGGTGTTATGGCGCGGGTGGACTTCTCTTAAAACGATGAGTAAGTCGTACAGCCGTAAGTTTTAGGTGAGCTGGAAGTAAACCATCCAGCAACGCGTCATACCATTATCCTGTGTGGGCCATCGTTGGGCGCCATCAATTGGCCGCTTTATTCAGCGTGAGTTGGTCCTTAGGGACAACCAAGCCGCCTGTGCTATAGTTGAGTTGAGTTGCCACCATGCCTACCGTGTAGGCATCCGGCCATTCCGTGGTCGATATGGGGTTGGGGCCCTATCATTGCCTTCTGGACCAACGTTAGGACCAGGGGGGGGGTAGCATTTCACCGGTGGCGTTTGTCCAGAGTGGCTGGTAGTGATTGTCATAGCCCGGCAGCGTGCTACCGTGCTATTGGTCTCTCTGGGGTCGCCGTTGACGCCGCTAGCGCGCGGTCCGTACCGTTGCAGGGATCTGGCTGATTAGTGGGGACCGTTAGTGTACGTTTCAAACAAAATATTGTGGTTGGGGGATCCCCGCGATGGGATAACTTGCCTCGAGCCTCAAGATATGGCCGAACTTCCAATCCAACTTCCTTATTATTGAGTACCCGCATACCCGTACAATGGTAGCATGTAGCCTCGCGGCACCCATCTCCATTTTGACTGTCCATAGACATTATTAGGGGTACTAAATCGAAGTTGAAGCAAAAGTAAGATGGGTCAGTCGAAGACAAAGGATTTTCCTTCGGGTTCGCTTTTGGGGCATTGTCGTATTGTAATTGGCGGGATCTTTCGCACGCGCCACGTGATTGGCGGGATCCTACATATTTGATCCGTGATTGGCGGAACGTTATACCGCCATGCGATTGGTCGGCGCCAAGCTCGGATTCCGAGCTTCTCGGATTTGGATTTCATTTTGCGATTTGCGAGCTGCTGCCGACACCTCCGTCCTACACTGCGCTACGGCCAAACTTGCCAGTCGCTACACGATACTCAGCCCCATCCACGTCGCCTCTGAGGATGCCACCCTGCCAGCCGCCGACGCCACCGGGACGCTGGACGACTGCTGCGTGAGCGGCATGCTGCTGGTCGCCGACGACGGCCAGAAGCTGGACGACAGCAAGGGCGACAAGCGGCTTGTCCACGCCAACGTCCCCACAGCGGATACCACACTCGATGGCCACGTGAGTTGCTTGTCGTGTGACGGCCTCGTCGGCCTTCCGGATACGGGACGGTGTCGCGCAAGTTATGCTGTGATTAAGCCGTCAGCATCGCTGCTAACCATTCCGATCGTGGAGCGCAGTACCAACGTTGGAACAACGCCGACTGGAACTCGCGTCATCACCCCATCGCGCCAGCACTGACTGCGATTGTAGGCTGCGATGGTCCGAGCGGGGTCATGCTGGTCACGGGCTCCAAGTTGCCAGCAACCACGAGCAAGAGCACGCTCGGTATCGACGAACCTGCTGCCGAAGCCCCGGGCGTGTCAAGGACGCAAATGGACCCGCCACCCGATGCCCCTTCCAGTCGCTTTGCCGCCCAGCGACGTCGCCGACGATGTTGCCGTTGCAAGTCGTCAAGGTCACACCGACCTCCATGGATAGCACAAGCAATTACGTCAGGATCTGAGCATTATGAAGGTAACAATATCATGCAGCTGTTTGCTTCAACGAGACTTGTCATTCTACTTAGTTTTTGGTACGCCTCACGGGCTTTCCTTACGCTTGTGCTAACGAAAGAGATTGGCAAGCACTGCTTGGGCCCGCACTAAAAGAGACCACATCTTAGTACTACTAGCACTACATGGTAGAGCCCATACAGCCCTATGCGATACAAAAACCAACATCGTTGGTCCCTTTGAATTCTGCATAACTGTTGATAATGTTTGAGGGTCCATCAAGCCCAAAACAAAAGCATATAGGGAGCCATAACTTCGGAGGTGAGGCTGGCAAGTACCAACCCGTTGTGTGCGTTGCGCACATCTAGTAGTATCGATTACAACTTGGCAGGGCCGTTGAGGGGAGAAACTTTGTAGCTGCGAAAGCTATTGGTACGGAATGCCACACTCTTTACGCCACGAGCTCCGCCACGGCTCATTTGCAATCATCTTCATCTATTTGGCATGGCCACCAGCAGCTGTCATGCATTTAACTGATGCTGTGGTGATTGGTCTGGCCATGACATCTCCAGCTTTGGAGCACGGACTGGCGTCGAGGTTTAGTTGGTGTTTTAGTTGGCGCAGCGATAGCGCAGCGCGCTCCGAACAAGTGCTTGCGGCTCAAGCACTGTGCGGATGAGGGCTGCTTCTGACCGAACTCGGCGCTGCGCTGACGCCGCAGTGAGGGCCTGGCCTTCTCACGGGAATGTTGGCGCGAGGCAATGAGGTGTGTGTGTGCCACATCGTGCGACGCTGTGATCCACACGGTACTGCTCCTATCGAGACTTTTCGAGAGGCTGCTCTCGCGGTACTACCCATACTGGTATTTTTGTGAATCATCAGCGAATCATAGCGAAGCAGTAAAATGATACCTCATGTATCTTTTGATCGAAGGGTCGCCTAAAACCTCTCATCACCTATATTTTTGCTCGAAAACCTAATACAGCAAAATGATACATAATGTATCTTTTTACTGCATTTGACTTGAAGTTTGTATGGTGTCCCTTCAAACAGAAATGTATGGCGTTAACGATAGGGTTAACGATATGAACCAAACAATACCAGTACCAATTTAACTCAAAGTGAGTCATAGTCCTCGTTCGAAAGTTACTTCGACGAATACGCTCGTTGTGGCGGCGGTAGTTGGGCGAACTCACGAACGTACTCGAGTTGTGTGGCGGGGTCGAGAACGTTGTACATTTCAGCCTCGCCGACGTTGCGAGTCAGGTGCTTGGCGAGCCGCAGCCGCATCGCCGGCTGCGGTAGCTCATTAGCGTAATGTTGCAGGAAGTGCACGATCGCTGTTTGACTAGCGGTAAGCTTCGACGACGAGCCAGGCTGAGCCTCCCCGAGAACATCCCCAAGGCTGGATGAGGACGGCGCCGTAACACCCGCCGCGCTGTAGTCGTCATCCCCACGTTTTCTCTTTGAAGTCGCTCGTCCCTGGTCGATAGTGGGGGTGGGGGTTTCCGTCTCGAACATCACCGACGTATCATCTTCATCTAGGTCGTTCACCCTTGACTCGCCCATGGTATTGGCATCTGTGTTCCTGTTCTCGTCGGTCTCTCCTTCCGAAGCCGTCGACGACGCCACCGTCTGCTCTTCCACGACTTGAGGAGGATTCGCTCCAGTCCTTGAAGACGAGCCCCTAGTAGTCACAACAGTCGAAGCTCTTTGAGCGTCACTGCTGTCTCCACTGAGCACGAGCTTCTCCGGGTGGGCCTTCTTGAGGTGACGCAGGGCGGCGCTCGTGGTGCCTCCTCTGAACGAGAAGATGACGTCGCAGTACCTGCAGATGCGACGCTCGTAGGATTTCCCGAGCTTGTCCTGCAGATTTCGGTGCGGCTTGGTGTGTAGATAAGCCAAGCTCTTCTTGCCGCCTCGGTCTTCGGCCCCACTGGGACCAGGTCTCGCGCTGCCCGAGGACGGCATGGACGTCGAGGAGCCATTGCTCGAGTACTCAGACGTGTTGCTAGCGACGACGACCGAGTCGACGAGCTGCCGGAGATTGCCGGCGCTCGCGGAGGAAGGCAGCTTGCGCATGAGCCGCGTCGAGTCGAGCCAGCTCGATTTCTCTCGGCTCGTTCAAAGACGAATGGACGAGCCGATGACTTGATTTTGTATGACTATACAAAAATTAGATTAGGAATTTTATGTGGTATACGTAAAGAAGTTGAAGTTACGGACATGTATTGTGCTTTGCAGCTATTTTGCCGACCATTTTAGACGCTAAATATGGCAAAGCCTGCTCCTAAATATGTGTGAAAAATGATACACGACCTGCTAAAATTATGCATAAATCCACCTCATATATATATCGACTTGGGAGGGCCTGTCAACAGCCATGCATTGGCCCAGTACACCACCGTCCATGATCCCCAGCATATCCACCCTCTTATGCATAATTGCCGTGCGTGTAGGTGCTTGTGGATAAAAACCGACAGAATTGCAGCTGCACAGCCACAATTACACTTTCAAAAGTGCAATTGTGGCGCTTTTAGCGTAATTCTAGGCCTCCACCCATTTATGCACCTCGATTTACCGTAAATATAGCAGGTGGTTGCTATAAATACAGCAAATCTCGCCTCATATTGCCAAAATCATTGCAAAGCACAATAAATCTGGCAGGATTACAGGTAAATCTGGCTAGGATATCCTGAACCAAGCCGACGAACTGAATATCTGCATCCATGTAGCTGACGCCTGCACCTACAGTATATGCCGACCAAAAGCAACATTGCAAATCGGCTTCTGCCCCCTACTGTATAATACTCCTTCGAATTACTATGATAATCACATGGATCGTAATCTCGGATTGAATTATAGACCCAAGCGAGTTCTGTTGGTACAGTATCCGTCTTGGTGATCGGAAACCAGGATCCCCAGCAACGATCTGTTATTATAGATAATGGAGGCGACTATTATTCGTGAGCCGTTCATTTCTGGCGAGAGCTCCACGCCTCAACATTTTACTCACTTCGTTTTTCACTCTCCAACGCTCAAGCCAGTCCCTTCCAAGCCAAGCATACGTCTATTGTGGCTTCTTGGCGCTACCGTGTGTCTCCTCGCCAGTACCGATGCTGTTGCTGCCGTCACTGGCGCCGGAGACAACTTCCACGCGGTCCAGAATGGCGACGATGGGAGACGCTTCTTGAGAGCCAACCCGGACAACAACTTGGATGGCATCGAAGTCGCCGAGAAGAGAAGACTTGAGGCGGCTTCGGTCTTTGATAAGTTTGCCGACAATAATTACGAGGGGGATACTCAAGCAGGAAAAAAAAGGTGGAGCGGACAAACTGAAGGCATTTGACCAATCGAAAATGTGGAAGGCTGAGCTGCTGAAAAAGCTTGTCGGTCAAACTCAATAAACCACGGGGCAGAATAAACTCACCAGAAGCACGCAAACTGAAAAGTCCAAACCGTACCTTGCGAGTGGAAACATTGGGCTAGTCTGGCTAAACTTTGAGAAGGTAGATCAAGTAAACAAAAAATACATGACAACCTTGATTTTGACTTTCGAATATTTATGTATGGTCTTTGCCACCAACGTATATATTCAGTACGAAACTACTTCCGTGCTGAAGCCACTCATGATCGGTTTTACACGACGCAGTTCAGGATATGAAAGCTAAATAAATGTGTATATTACAGATAATTATTGTAACTCTTAAGTTGTTTCTTGTCGGGTCCAGCACCAGCACCCCGTACGAAAGCACTGGAAGAGAATCAGGGCTCGGAAAAAACAATTATGATAACAACATAATTATTTTGACGGAATAACGGATTATTGGGATTCCCAGCTTTCCGTAAGATATGATACTGTACCAATAATAAGTAGATTGTGTTTTTACCAGATTTCTGTGCGATGTTGGGTAAAATGGCTTATGGTTGTTTTATGTTCAAAAGTGAAACAATTATACACAATAATAATTGTAATTATTATTACGGGGATGCCAAGTCACGGAATATTTTTTCTAAGATTCCCCGCGTTTATAAATTATTTATTATTTTCCGAGCCCTGGGAAGAGTAACGCAGTGAAATAGCACTGAACTCCTTCTCCAAAATCCAAATGGTATGTGAAAGTCAATGATAAGCCTCTACGCTACGAGTGTACTTCGAAGTCAGCGGTCCACTGCCTTCACATGACGAAACTTACCCAGGGATCTGTAAACGGTAACGACACATTATTGCGTCGCCGTGTAGTGAGTGGTACAAGTATAGTACTCGCTGCACCGATGACGCATTAAAAGGGACGATAGACGCTTTTGACACATTTAGGCCCGACAAGAACCATTTTTCTTCTTTCTTCACATGCAGACCAGCTTCCGATGCGACGCGAAGACAAGGATAGATCTGTGAACAAAGCACCCTTACTGTCACTTCACCTGGGAACCGGCTTCACTCCAATTTGTATACGTGACGTCCTACGCCACGAAGTGACAGAACATCGGTATTTACTTGGCAGTACGAGGAAGAAATGAATCGAAGTACCGGTAGGACGCGCATAACTAAAGAAAAGTACGGTGAATTCCATTTTGCCATGGCGGGTGCAATTACATAGTCGTAACAACCAAACTAGACTGTCAATGTATTCACTGTCATCAGCCTTTGCGTACACGTCACGAACGCGTGGGCTTGACCGGGAAATGATTGTTGATCCAGACCGTGTATTGCTTCAGGAGCTTCCCATCGTTATTGGCAAGCGTCTTCGCCAGCTTCTGCTTGACCTCGCTGAGAGTGAATCCTCTCGTTTTCCATGCCCTGAACAGTCTCTCAGCTAATTCGACATCACCCCTCGCCTGCAAGAGCATCGTGTCCTCAAACAACAGCTTCGCTTTCGCCAGATCTTTTGCCTTTTGGTCCGGGTAGTGGATGTTGAGCCAAGACGCGTAGTTCTTGAATAGCTTGTCGCCGTCGCCGTCGCCCTTTCGGAGGCCCAGCACCTTCAGCTTCTTGAGTATATCAGTCGATTCGTGATCGTGGGTCTTCCACTCCCTGAACAACGTCTTCGCGTAGTTGCTGTCTCCCAACGCGTTTTGGATCTTCGCCTTGTTGAACAGGTCGTAGGCTTTAGGCCGACGCGGGAAAAGTGTTTGTCGAGCCAAGCAGCATAATTGCGGTAGACAGTATTGAGCCTCGGGTCCTTGCTCAACTTGGAAGCCTCCAGTGATAATTTTGTGTCTTCAATGTCGAATCCGTGGCGCTTCCACCTCATCATCAGAGTCTCCGCGTACTTGGAGTCGTTCATCGCTTTCTCAAGCTTGGCGGCGCTGAACAATTTAGCACCGGCCCACCTCTCTTCGTCGTCTTCGTCCACGCGTTCGATGTCGTGCAGCGATCTCTTGGCGCTGTGGCTCACAGCTAGCACGTCGAGGTCCGGAAACGCCATTGTGGAGACCTTCGTGCCCTCGCTGGCACCCGCGACCGCAGCGAGAGCGCTGTCGCTGGCAAGAAGTGCGAGCGCAGACGCTGCCAGGAGGATGGAGGGCAGACGCATGGTTGATTCGATTCCTGGCACCGTGGAGAGAAAGCACATGTGGGCTGGAGGGCGAATAACGGAATGGCGATAGAAGTGAGAGGGTGGTTGACGAGATCGATGCCTGGGAAACGCGATTCACGAACAGCACACAAACGCGCTTTGAAAGCAGCAGATTTGGTTGTATTCGTTTTCGAGCGTATCGTCCCGGACGAAGACGGAAGTCGGACAGGCGCATGCAGTGATTCCTAGAAAAGTATGGATAGGGACGGGGGGCCAATCAGATAAATAAATTATGGCGTATATTCGATAAAACGCAGAAATACATAATGGCATATTCGTCATTACCAGCATACATTATGCATAAGTGAAATAAAACGTCTGATTGGTCAAAAATACACAAACTGATTGGCTACACAATTATTCTGCCAACGGCCTGACCTCAATTATGGTATGGTGATTCCAAGAAACCAAAATACATTATTATGGGGGGAATTATGGCAATTATTGAAATCACCATATATTATTAGGAATCACTGCTACAGTTTTCCTTCACAAATTTTAGTAGGATGAATATGTGGCATACCGGTAATCACACAGCTCGGTTGGTTGGCTGGCGAGCTTGCATTGGGAAGGCAAGAACGGTAGCCATCATTGTTGGGATATCGCAGCGAATTGCTTTTGGTACCGACACAATAATAAATATTTATTTTATAACATGGCAAACGGAGAACTTCGGGCAGCTGGGTGAACACAGCAATGGAAACACCACCATACTTGCCGCAGCCGTCACCCAGATGCTATCGTCCATCGCAGCAATGCAGCGCACACTTCAGAAGCTCGTCGCGGTCCACGAGAGCAAGTCCACCAGCGCTGACGGTCCTGCTCCATGTCGCTGTGCTGGCCAGGCCCCGCAGGCGAGCACTGACACCGTCGTTGAAGCGCACTCTCTTGCTGGCTAATTCTACAACTGGTACACACTGGAGCTGTGGTACACGGCAACCCAAAAGAAACAACAGTTTGTTCGCGCTTGTAACAGGGTTACACGCACAAGTGGCTACAGTCACTTGTTACTCTAACAGATGCGATGTCTGTTAGAGGTTTGAACACTTCCTCGACCTTGGTGTAAGGTACACCAATGGCTACATACATTTACGACCACCACGACGGATGGTCCATACACATTTAGGATTCCTATTGGCTGAAAGCAGCATCTTTTAGCCAATGAGTGACATGCATAGCACTGGAAATCTGCCAACCAGCCGTTGGCAGAATCCTAGTTTAGAATATTACATTTAGAGGAAGTCAGAAACATAAAACAAAAATAGCAGTTCTCATCTTTTACCAAAACACGCTACTTGGAGTCTTTATCTTGTTTAAAGTACACTCGTGGATCTCGAGTATACTTAACTGAAGTAAAAGAAACCTACGCTTCCTCATACACGTGCGCATATGTGTAAGCCGTAGTAGTGAGCCAAGGTAGGCCCACTACAGCGCTGATCTCAAGGCAGGCGTCAACATCATGATCATAGCAGGTAGACGTACCAACGGCGCCACTGGACCGGGACGGCGTCGCGTTTCGGCTGTGGAAGTAGCGTGTCTGGACGCTAGCGGAAGACTTGGACAAGAAGGTCAACGCTGCGCTTGGGAGTATCGACGGTAAAGGCCGATCCGAAACCGCGGGGTCGCTACGGAAGCGCTGGAGAAAGCTGCGCGTTGACCACCGCTCTGCGTACGACGCGCTCTGCTCAGCATTTATCACCCGCAAAGCGAACGGTGGCATCGTCGACCGCTGCACTCCAGCTAGTCACCAATGGAAGCAAAAAGACTTGGAGTCGTAGGATCACGCAGCTTGTATTAACGCTTAATACATTCCTATTCATACAACGAATTCAAGGCGCAAATGCACCCGTCATCGCCATCCCACAACTTAAACACAGCGCATGGAATTCCGTCAGTCCCGATACAAAGTCATACACAATAGAAAAACGCTCACATACCGTCAGCGAGCGCGCACGACATCGTGCTTGGCCGACAGCTACCAAAACTGGCAGCATAACGCCCGCCCTGCCGGGTTTTGTAGCTGCTTTCGCCGGGTCCTTCCGTGGGGCGCGTGGGGCGCGCCTGGGGGCACTCGGGTCTGGGGTGGCCGGCGGGGGCGGCGTGCGGCGCGCTCGGAGCGCGCTGTTGTGTTGGAGATGCGGGGCGGAAAGTGCGAAGGCGGAGAAGGCTGCGCAGCCGGCCAAAATAAAACCTTAAGGTTTTTTCTTGGCTTTGGAGCCGATAAACAAGTCCATACTTTGTTGAAGTCATTTGGAATCTCACTTTTTATTGGCTCTCCTCATTGGGAGCGGCGTTTGGGACCTGGTCATGTAACACAGATGTATTCGCTGTAGTGTTGTTTATTACCAAGTTAATAACTCCTAATAACTGGTATTAGGATTTTTAGATATCTAATACCGATTGGTAATACCATTATGTAAAGATTGTGTACGGTAAACTGCCTTTTTGTGTGCAATCTAAAACCCCGCTCAGAGTGCGCTTTTCCTTAATGCTAACACTTGATGCTTGTTCCCACCTAGTCTTCCAACCACTAGGAAGGTATGATGGGCCCGTAGGTGCTAGCCTCATCCCGTCCTTGTTTTTAGCTTAAATATTCCTGACACACCAACTTTACACAAAAGGTAATACCGTTAATAGGAAGTTATTAGGAAGGTAATAACGATAATTGGTATTAACTCGGTGATGATTTTACCCAACTCTAATTCGCTGTACGGTAGAGACGTACGTGTACACTGCAATCTCTGGGATAGTCCCGTGATATGAAACTACCGGGTAATCTGGTGATGCATTATGCGTTGATTCTGTTTGGGATTAGACCCACCGATCTTCGAGTATATGTTATACTGTGTAATGGCGAATTATCGAGATATTGCCAGATCTCTGAAGAGGAATATTATACATCCAAGCTAGTGCCCGCCTGCAGCGGACGAAAGCCGTTATCAGCGCTACAGAAATAATTGCAGCTTCTACACTTTAGGAATGGTATTGAAGCGAACCTCGACAGATCACCTACCAAAAGCGTTTTTTTTAGCTGCGTACTGTAATAGTGCACTTGGTACCTTTCATGCTTTTTTTGCGAATTATACATGTATGGTACTCACTGGCCGGACTCGCATGAGCGGGGGCCCACCATAAAGTATCAACAGCGTGCTGGAAATTTGAAAGGAAATTTTGACTGGACATTCACTCAAAACTCGGATATACGCTAAAGTTCTTCAGCGTAGCAACCAAAACCTATAGTCGGACTGCTCGCAGCCGTCGGAATTGTTTAGCCTGCAGAGCTGCCTGCACCGACAGATCGGAGACGCCAGACTCGATACTTCCTGGCAGGCTGGTTACACGGGAAAGCGGCGCCAGCGAAGAGCAGCCGATCTGTAGCGAAGTGTTACCAGCGCTTCCCGTAACTTCACTGCTGATAGCTGCACCAGGGTACGCAGTCGCCATGATTCCGCAAAAGTCACGCAAGTAGGAGAAGCGGCCTTGGAGACAGCCCCACGCGTCTCGGAAGGAGCTTCTATCACCGCACGACTCCAACGCAAGCTTCAGAGACGGCTCACGGAAGTAGGCACCGCAGAGATCCTGGAAATCCTGCTCGATCCAATCGATTTTTTGCCTCGACCAGCCTGCAAGAAGAAGTCGCTGGATCTGCGGCTGGACAATTGACGTGAACTGGCGCCCACGCATCTTCACCAGCTCATGCGGCAGCACAGCAGAAAGTTCCGATAGCCTCGGATCAACTGCGTCAACGTCGATGGTAATTGATGTGAGGCCCGATACGAGATTCACAACACTCGTAGCAATTTCACTCACGGTGGAGTGAACCGCTGACTGGTTGGTAACGTCTCCGTTTTCAGGTATCTGTAGAGCCTCGGCGATATACGTCCCCAAGTCTTCCAGCGCAGCGAAAACTTTCTCGCTGGTTACCGAATACTTCCCATCCTTGGAGATCGCCAAGTTACTGCTATTCACCCGAGTAGCCGCATCGTCGACAGCGGAATCGTCAACTGCAAGAGGATCCGAGATACTGAACCACTGCACCAAGAACGCTCGCAGCTTTATCACAGCATCGCGAGGGTGTGACGTCCCCGTAGTCAATCCCGAGATCTCCTCAAGAATCGGTATCGACTCCTGTCCGATTCGAGCTGCCAATGTGACGCGAATCCACCACGAACCGGGAGGTGCGCAGGCGGACTGTTCTCGCTCCAGATACTCGCGGATGCTCACTCCATGACGTCGAAACCACATCGCAACGTTCGCGACTGACCTCCACCGGTTATCTCCAATACTGGGAGCGCTGGTTTCCATCGTAGCGAGCAGCACACGCTGTCGACCAACGTACGCGAGGAGGGCCGTCAGCGTCGAGTAAGGCTCGCCGCCTCCTAGAATTTTGCTGAAGAACCTCTGCACCAGTGAGTCCAGCCGACGCGCGGCGCAGCATACGCGCAAGAAACCAGCTTTGGCAACACTCTCAAAGCGAGTAGCCACCGCATTCCGAAGCGAAAGTCGCGGGTCCTCGGGTCCTTCCGCCGTGATACCGTCGCTATCCGAGATCACCGCGATCATCATATCCTGCCATCGCGGGGTAATTGCGTTCAAGGCAGTCTCTGCGATCTCAAAGACGCCAGTATTCCCCGAGGGGTCTGACGCCCGCCGTTTGTTCAAGGGAATCGACAGTAAGTGGAAGCTCGTCACCTCTCCATCCACAAACACGCGGAGCTGCACGTGCAGACAGTACTCGACTTGCGCCTCGAAGAAGGAGGCTGGGGCGATGGGCGCCACCTTGAGGCCGATGGAATAACCTCCAGCGCTTTTTGCAATCTCACTGATCCGCTGGAAGTTGATGGCGCATAAATATCTTGCGAACTTGCCCACATCGATCGCTGGGACCTGCACCCCGTCGAAGAATGGTCCAATTGCAGCCGGTTGAGTGCTGGCGTACAGCATCCTGGCCGAGTTGGACAGCGATCCGCTGGTGGACAAGTAGTCCACGAACTGCTGGAACTGGGTCGGGTCCTGGAGGACCACTCGAAACCTGGCCGCTGTAGTGTCCACCGCTAAGCCGCCTGTCCTCAACTCACTGGCGTTCACCAGGTCCTCAAAGTCCGCCATGGCCGTCATCTGGTACGTCTGTCCTTCCGGGGCAGGTCTCGCTGCGTAAGGTAGCAGTACTCCAATGGCCACCGAGACAATGTCCCTGTCCACCAAGAAGTGCACGGGCTGCACAGTTGGACCCATCGCCGCTGTCCTCATGGCGGGAGTTGGACCCTTCGGAAGTACTGTAACTGGTCTCGAAGAAGTTGAAGTGGGAGTGGAAGTAGTTGAAATAGAAACGGTTGTGGACGCAGGTACCGCCGTCCGCTGCGTCTTCCGAGGTCTCGCAGCGTCTTGATTGGTCTCCACATTGAGGTCCATCGTGGCCCCCGCTGCAATAAAATAGGCCCGCTTGCTGTCGTCGCTGGACAGCGCGCAGTACTCGCCCCAGTGCGTCGGGTGCTGCCCCACCAGGTGGATCTGGATCGAGTCCTTGCGGAACGGGGGCTTGAATGTAGCCACCTTGTCCGTGGGGCGGCGCTGGGCTCCCGCCTTCGTCTCTCGTCCGAAGAGCTCGCAGAACAGACAGCTGGCGGTCAGCACCTCCTTCGTCTCGGGGTCGCGCTCCTTCACGCGCAGCCCCAGCTCCACGGCGTACCGAGCCTTGAACGGCGCCGTCCGCTTCACCATGGCTACAGCGCCTTCACCTGCCTCGAAAAATGGCGCCGTTGTCGTTGTGTTGGGTACACCAAATATGATGTACGCCACATTGAGTTTAGCCATTTGGACGCTGGATGGAGCAAATGGCTGCGCCGACGACGGCGTCGGAGCTGCTGGACGTGGAGGAGGTGAACCACTCGACGTTGGCTGCGTACGCCCAGCAGCTGCAGAGCTGCCTGCAATGGGACCCTCTACACGGCGTGGAAGGCGAGGAGAAGCTGCTGTTCGTCGAGGCGTTGACCGAGATTGCAGCCATGCCGCTGGACAGTATCAGCATGGAGATCAGGCGGCTCCTGGTGGTCTCCAAAGCGGAACTCAAAGACCAAGAGGAGGCTCAAGATACTCAGGGAGTTGATGCAACACAGGACCACGTGCAGTCAGAGCAGCAGTTGCACTTGCGCAACTTAATTTCCGCCCTGAGCGCTCGAGACGTGCAGCTCAAGTGCAAGGCGGCGAACGCAGTGGGGTCCCTGTGCATCTCGAGGGTGGCAGGTCAGCAGCTGCTGGATCTGTATGGGGACCAGGTTCTGAAGAATGTAGCCAAGATGGCCACGTGCAAGAACCAGTGGGCGCAGGGCGACGCGTTCTTCGTGTTGGGCTGGATGGTAGTCATCGCTGATGAAGAGACGCTGGGGGCCATTGCCAAGCTGCTACCAACAGTGATCAAGTGTCTGCATCGCAACGTGAATCTACCGCTGGAATTGAGGAACGAAGCTGAAGGGGAGAACGAGAGGAGAGATGCTGCTGCGAGACGGTCGAGGGAGGCGTTGGCGTCGTCTGAGCAGGCCTCGAACTTCAGAGTCTACGCGTTGGTTCTGCTCTTAAACTTCAGTCAGCGGTATGTGGACGTGTTCGAAGATCTACTGGAGAAGGTGCTGCCGATGCTGAGAGACCTGGTAGTCAAGCTGCTTGAACCAACGCCCCGTCCAACTGCTGGGGATGACGATGAGTCCACCACCACTACGACGTCGACAACAGTCTTTGACGCCTCCGAGTACGCTGAGATTCTGCGGTTGGCAATTACGCTGCTGAGTGTGCTGGTCGACCAGATTGAGACTGCCGCCTCTCAACTTTTAGAGCTCAAGATGCTGCCTTCGCTGCTGAAACTCAAGCGAGTTCTCGAAACCCCCGAAGTCACAGAACTCGTCGGCGAAGCTGGCATCCTGGACATCACAGAAAGACTTGAAGCAGCCATTGAAACTCTCGTCAACTGCAGATAGATTCAAATAAACCCAGCCTATAAAAATAAATAAGTAATTTTAGCTACACTTCTTCAGAAGACACGATCTTCTCCACTATAGTGCATTTGGGCCAAATTAGCCAAATGATTTGGTTAATACATGTACATGTAATCGTACCTAGTAGAGACTAAACAAAACAAACGCGGGAACAGCGCGACACCCCAGCGCCATCATGTCGGAGCAAGTGTCGGCGGATGCCTTGGATTCCATGGTCGTGACGACCGCAGACTTCAATGAGGACAAGTACCGACTGCTGCAACTGAATCCGGAGATCGAGCAGGCCATCACCAGCGGCAGCAAGTGCGTGCTTCGCCTCAAAAACCCTTATTGAAAAATGGATACATCGTCTATTAATAATAAAACGCGTCTATTCATGCCTGCAGAGTCTTTATCGTTGGCGCACCGGACGCCCGAGCAGTGCTGTGCACCCAAGACAAGTCGTACTACATCAAGAAGGAGGACACGTCCAACCTGAGGCTATTAACGACTCACACGGACTGGAGCGGGCCGGAGCAGACCACGGGCAAGCGCACGATCGAAGTGTCAGGAGCTGCTCGCTTCCACTACCTGGTAGGTCATGGCTACGAAAATGTAGCCAAATAGGTGTATGATACTGAAGCTATCTGTTGCTGTAGCTGGAGCATAAGGCCCCCGATGCCACGCAGTTGCGTGCGTTGCTGCTGGAAGCTCCGTACGAGAAGCCCCAGCGTGCTGCCGAGACCCAAGCCAAACGCGCTAAGCTGCACAAGTTGTACTCGACCAGTGACCTGGTGGCTGCGCTGCAAGTGAGTGAGCACGAGGTGCTGGAGATGCTGAAGGAGGTGCACGCGTTTGAGGAGGCGGGGAGCTGGAGGCTGCTGGGACCGAAGTACCAGTCGCAGGTGTTCACGGACATGCTGGATGCCATCGTCCAGCACGACTGGAAGGTGTTGTCGGAGCCTGGAGTGCCTGTGAAGAAGTTCCTGGCGGAGCTGGACGAGCCGCTCGTGGCAGTTCGACAGTGCTGCAAGCTGTACGGCTCGCTAGCGGAAGTTAACGGCGAGGACCACTGCACGCTGGACCCTGTCAAGGTGGCTACATTCCGAGCGAAGTCTTTATTCGACGAGCAGGCAGCAGAGGCGCAGTTCCAAGCGCAGCAGCAGCATGTGGCGCTGAATCCCGCCGACGCCGGTTGGGAACTGGACAACTTCATGGACAAGTGGAAGGTCCGGGTGCCTGACAGCGTGACCGTGAGCTTGGACATGCTCAGCGGCCTGGTGCTTGTCAAGCCGCAGGCGGCAGGCAAGCCTACGCGGGTCGTGTACTTCCCTGAAGAAGAACTCTCGCCCGAGCCCAAGAAGCGATTCGAGCAGCTTTTCAAGATGCAGGAGAAGTGGACCATCAAGCAGCTCGAGCCCTACATCAAGTGCGTGCTGTGTCGTGCCATGGCTGCGAATATTCTACTCATTTGCTAATGCTCAATGGTGTATTGTGCTCCAGGTCGTTAGTTACGCCCAGCACGACCCAAGCTTCGCTGCTGCTCAAGCACACGCGCTCGTCGCGACAAGGCAACTCGACCGAGAAGCTCTACAGTCGAAGATAATTTGCTAATGGGTGCCTCTAACGCAGGCAATAAAGGGCACTACAACTGGCTGATGATGGTGTTTTGGTACAGTATGTTAATCCCTTAGTGCTGGAGAGCAGCAACGAGCACGTAGGCGCTAGCTGCTCTCCGAGACACACCAAAGGGTTGAGCTTTCACTTTGGGCTCGTGCATGAAGGACGTTGCGACAAGATGGCAGCGAGCTGCCAGTCACCGACCCAAACCGAGGCAGAGCCGATTCATAAACTGCGGAATATTAATACATGTACAACCAAAAGCAGGTTTTTCGTAGACAGCAAAAAGGCAACTGAGGAGCTCCCGTAGCCACAGGTTTCGACGAGACATTGATGTTACACGAAGGTTACCTCAATAGACTGTAGCCATATATGGACTCGAATGTTACGCGAAGCGCCCCCATCTTTAGCTTGAAGTGGGCGAAACCCCGTCGACTGCTGTAGACGACCAGGAGGCAGTCGTCCTCATCCTTGTTGCGCTCTAGCTTAACACATCCAAACACGATGGACAGTGACAGCTCTCTGTGCTGGGAGAATATCCCGTTCAGCAGCCTGACCGTATGCGAGACCATCGGCGGGGGTGGAGTCGCGCTGGTGCACCGTGGAATCTACCGGAAGCAGTCGGTCGCATTGAAAACTCTGGTGCATGCTCCAGCTAATGTGTGTTCGGTTGCATCATGATCCCTGGCACTAATCGTTATTGTTTCACTCGTGACAACATTGTGGCTACACAGTTTGACCCTCGCGTGGATGAGGCGCTCAAACAGGAATTCATGGACGAGCTGCTTGTCATGAGGTCTGCCCTGCTTGTACAACGCATTATTGTTTCTTCTCTAATGGCATTTTAATTGCATTTGCAGCATACTGAGGCACCCCAACGTGGTCACTTTGATCGGAGCGTGCTTGGAGCCTCCGAATCTGTGTATGGTCATGGAGCTCTGCGACTACTCCCTGCACCACTTACTGCACGGGACGAACACTTACTTGAGCCCGCAGCAGTTGACGCGAATCGCGGTAAGCTTGATTTCAAATCGGCTGCACACGACTTCCTCGATGACGGAATATGTACGCACAGGGAGATGTTGCAAACGGGATGCGCTTCCTTCACTCCCGGAAGCCAGCAGTGATTCACCGGTGCGTTAATTCTGCAGTGATTCCTGCTGAACTGGCACTGATCCACGCGGCTTATTTGTATATTCATGGCTTCTGAATGCAGCGACCTGAAGAGTGCCAACGTGCTGCTTGACGCGAAAGGCGTCGCGAAGCTCTGCGATTTTGGTCTCGTCCGGTACGCCGAAGAGCTCAATTAATTAGTGTGATGGGGAACAATCTAACTTGACTACATACTACCGTGCGTAGCACCAAGTTTACAACGGCAGGGACTCCCAGTTACATGCCACCGGAGCTGCTCAGCGGCCAGCCGTTCTCCAAATCCGTGGACGTCTTTATGTTTGGCATTCTCCTCTGGGAGGTAGGCACTGCAGTTCCAAAGTCCGTGTTGATTATTTTGCCAAATGCTGAGTTGTGATGGTGTAGATTTTCAGCCGAGACATTCCATTTCGAGGATATGATGTCTCGGACATCAAGTGGCGGGTTCTAGGAGGCGAGCGGTTCCGTGTTCCCACTGTCGATTGCCCACGCGAGTGCCAGGTCAGATCGTTATTTTTTTGCATTTTTCAAGTATCACCCTCTTCCTAATACAATGACTGTGCTTGCATTCTGTCAGGAATTAATGAAACAATGCTGGGACGGCGAACCGAGTTCTCGCCCGACGTTCGAGGAAGTGTGCGAAACCTTACAGAGCGTCACTTTTGCCAGGTCGTTTGAGGCCTCTCAGAACGTCTTCGAAGGCGACGCGCTCGATTGTTTGCTCAACGGGAAGTAGCTGCATCGAAACCTAATTCGCTACTTCGTCACTATCCTAAGTAATGCACTGGCTTGCTTCAGTTAAGCCGTGTCCTTGACCCACTGGTCCAGCCCCAGGTCGTTCCAGCGATCCACCTTCTCGTCGGCAGCCCACATCGGCGGCTCACCTGCATCCGAAATGAAATTAGTAAACAAATATTATCCTAAAACGCCGCACCAATCCACCTACCCGTGGGGCTTTCGCTGCCATTTGGATCGACATCTAGCGCCGGCGGAACCTCAATCTCTGCAGCAACAACAGTACAGCAGCTCAGCGTGGACTCCCGATCTTGAAGATGTCAATTCAGACACTCTTACCGTCGTCCGACAGCGTGTCCCTGATCCACGCGTCGTCCACGATGTCCAGGTAGTGCTTGCGCGGGAACAAACTCGGCAGCTTGCTGTCCTGCTCAGGCCAACATTCCACTCTAAAACTTAGCAACTAGCGTCTACAATCCACGACCTTCCTACAGTTGTGGCGCACCATCTTCTCCTCAAGAGCAGCTATGTTATATAGCACACTATCGAATTCCTTATTTTGGGCAAAATCAACTGAGTGATCTTCACTCACGAAGGTCTCAGAACCCAAAATAAAGGTCAAGCGGCAGTTGAGTGCACCATTTCCAGTTCGATGGCGTCCCGAGCAGGTCAACAGCAGCGCAAACCTCGTCGAGGGGGCAAAACCCGCCCTTCGGGGCGCAGAGATGACCCTCCCGAAGTCCGTTTGTCCAAGACATTAGCCTACGCTCTGCGTCACGGGGCGGAAGAGTTGCAACTCGACATGAGACCGTCTGGGTTCGTTCCGCTGGCTCAACTGCTGGCCCTGCCGCTGTTCCAGTCCTTCAGTGAGCAGCAGGTGGACGACGTGGTGCGCACCAACGCCAAGAAGAGGTTCTCCATCACGACGGACGCGACCGGAGCCGTCAAGTTCATCCGAGCCAATCAGGGCCACACGTTGCAGTTGGTTCAGGACGAGGAGCTCCTGACCCCGTTGGAAGCCCCCGACGCCATCGACAAGTGCGTGCACGGCACGTACCTCAAGTTCTGGGAGAGCATTTGGAGCTCGGGGCTGTCCAAGATGCAGCGGAACCACATCCACTTCGCCGAGCGGGAAGTCATGGACGACGAGGTGGTGAGCGGCATGCGCTCCAACTGCGACTTGCTGCTGTACGTCGACTTCCCCATGGCGGTGAAGGACGGCATCAAGTTCTACAAGTCCAGCAACAACGTGGTGCTGAGTCCCGGCGTGGGGGACACCGGGGTTATCGACCGCAAATACTTTTTGCGAGCTGTTAAGAGAGATGGAACGGTGGTTTACGAGCGAGAGCAGTGAACGCAGTAACTTCAATTTTCTTTAATTCGTTTTCCGTGCACACTAATGCACCACGCTGTGGGTTATTAAATCTCCACTTCTTCTTCTTCCTCCTCTTCCTCTTCGTCGAACTCCTTGATGTGCAGCAGTACAGCTCGCTTGATGGCCTCCGATTCAGCTTGGGTAAATTCGTCCTCCTCCAGTTCAGCGGACGGGAGGAACTGCGCCTCCTCGCTCTCGCTGTTACTCGGGTCTCCTTGGAAGTGGCCGGCAGTCTCGATCGCTAGGTCCTCGTCGCTAAGATTGTTGCAGAACGGGTTGATGTTCTCTTGGAACAGCGAAGTCGGGTCTTGTCGGTTGGTGTCCTGCAGCCGCTGGAACCCGCGACGACGCGAAGGCATGCGGTTGTTAATGGCCATCCCGAGCGCCACGAGCGCCAAGCCTCCAGGAAGGGAGAACCACCAGTTGGAGACCTCCTTAGGGCGATGCTTCGCAGGGTCGCTGTCTTTGGTGTCGTCCACTTGGGCTGCCGCTCCTGCGAAGTTCGCATTGGCGATGGCCGTCACCTGTTCGTACGCAGCCTCGTCGGGTGTGTGGTCTGTCTGGTCCTGAAGCAGCACTGAGATGTCGTTGCCATTGGCTTTCGGCAGCACGTGGGCGTTGGTATTGCCTTGGCCTCCTGGGTTCAACTTCATCGAAGTACCGAGACCGACACACGTCGCAGCGTCCACGCAGAGGTAGCACCCGGCTTGCAGCGCGAAGAGCGCGTTGCCGCTGCCGCACATGACGTAGCTCAGCGAGTCCGGCTCGACTTGAGGCAAGATGACGCCGCATGAAATGCCAAGCGGCTCGCCGTCATCGCAGAGCGTGTTCCGGTCGCCCAAGGCTGGCGACGCTGACAGCAGCACGAGCAATAACGCGAAGTTTCGGGCAAGCATGGGGTCTTCTTGCCTATTTGACACGCAAAAGCCGAAGTGACACACACGATCGGCCAAAGATCGCGATGATCTTGAAGGGACGCAACGGAGACCGTCGCATTCCATGAACGAGCGGTCGACGTTGATTCATTCTGTTCCCTAGCAGCGACCCTCAAGCTCAAGCGCAGTTAGCATGGTAAGACAGGCAGGAATCTCTGAGAGGAATTGTGCTGGGCTTTGGCTAGACTAAATGGCGATGTCTTCGTGCTCATGATGGTGACTGCTTCATTTCGGTGCAAGTAGTCGGCAACTCTTTCGGAGGAGCACGAGCGCGAGCTCAGGAAGATCTTCGACGACTACGACAAGGTTCATAGCGGTGCGTCGAGAGTGCGTTGTGCGCAGCTAATGTCAGGGTGTTGCTGTTCTTTGTTATACCCGGTCGGATGTTAGGGCGGGTCTGGAGACATCGACATCGATGAAGTAAGTGCTCAATGAATGACCAGGTGCCTCTTCACCCGACTTTCGGGACGAGTTAATTTATCGCGTTGGGATCGCAGCTCCGGGACATTGCAGAGGATCTCGGTGAGCCGCTCTCGGAGATCGAGCTGCAGTATCTGGCCAAGGAATTGGACACGGACGAGAGGTACGAAGCTGACGTCGCAGTCGATGGGTTTCCTGCCCGAGGTTCAGATCAGAAGAATCAACCTCATCGCATGCCGTGCGCTTCTTTCGCAGTGGTTCCATCAGCTGGACGGAGTTTATCGCGTGGTGGAAGCTACCGTTCTAGCTAGAGCAGGAAGAAGAGCGGAACAGCATCTCCTTGGCGTTGAATGACGCTGAGTCCACTATTTTTGAGGCCCAACGCTCCTTTCGAGCTTGCGATGGTGCTTGCCTTCCATGCATGCATGTAGCCCCAATCAATACAACAAGTCCAGATGGGCCCAGGTTGTTGAAAGACATTCCTGTCAACCATTGCACTGGTCCTGCTTGAAGTTGGTTTCGCGACTATAAATTTGGTCAGGGTTCTTCGTTTCAAAACCAACACCCAGCCCACGCGACGCGGCCAAGCACGTCTTTGCTGGGTTCATGCAGCTATCTTCACCGCCAGACTCGCCTTGAAGTATCGCATGCTGCGCTGGTGAACATGCCAGCAGACCAAGAGCACTAAAATTGGCCTTGACCTTCGTGACTATCGCAGTGAAACCTCGCCTAGCTGCTCGTTGAAGCCCTGCTTCGTCCCACGCGCCCAGCAAGTTGAGTCGGGTGATCCGGCAAAGCAAGGTTCACCTTGTTCCCCGCATGCGGTAGCTGCTCCTAGGTTAGCTCGGCGTTCAATTTCCAGTTCCCGAGTCTAGGTCAGCCGTTTATTCCTCCCCACTTCCGTGCATTCCACTTTCGTTTGGCATTTCAAGCATCAGCAGACAGAAACAAATGGGCAGAGATGAACGCAGCGCGCCGGTGATGACCGAGAACGGCTTCACCATCAACGGGTGCAGCTTCAACGTAGACCCCAAGTACCAGCCCATCGACGCGATCGGACAGGGCTCGTATGGTGTGGTGTGCTCTGTTCGCAACACCGAGACCGATGAAAAGCTGGCTATCAAGAAGATCACGCCCATGGCTGGAGATGAATGGGACGCCACGCACACACTCCGCGAGATTCGTCTTATGCGCTGTCTTGGAGCCCACGAAAACGTGAGTCGTTTTCAGCTTGCTTGTCGGTTGACTGAGCGAACCCCCTAATATTTTGCTGTTCACCACAGATCATTTCGCTGAAGGACTTGAGCATGTGCAAGGAGAAGGACGAGCTCTACATGATGATGGAGCTAGCCGACACCGACCTGCACCGCCTTATTCAAAGCTCTTGTCCATTGACCGAGGGACACATCCGCGTCATCATGTACCAGGTACTATCAGGAGTCAAGGCGATGCACGACAATGGCGTACTGCACCGTGACTTGAAACCTGGAAATCTCCTTCTCAACAAAGACTGCGAACTCAAGATCACCGACTTTGGTCTCGCCCGGATGATGCCTAAGAAGGCCCAGCTAGGACTCGAACAAGCTGCCAACGAAGCACCGTCCATGATGACCGAATACGTCGTCACCCGCTGGTACCGACCGCCTGAGCTCATGTTGGCGCCCAACGGTAGCTACGACGGCGCCGTGGACATGTGGTCTGTGGGTTGCATCCTTGGCGAGCTGGTCTCCCGAAAGCCGCTGTTCCCAGGCACAGACTTCATGGATCAGCTCACGCGCGTCTTCCAGGTTCTGCCGGTTCCTGAGCCTGAAGACCGCGGCTACGTCATCGAGAAGGACGCACTTAAATTCCTGTCGTCACTCCCAGCTCCAGTCCCTGGTGCTCTGGAAACCAAGCTCGGTAACACTGCTGGGCCGCAAACACTGGACTTGTTGCGGAAGCTGCTCTGCTTTAATCCGAAGGAACGCATTTCAGCGGACGATGCCCTGGCACACCCATTTTTTGAGGGCGTTCAGGACGAGTGGGGCGAGATCACGCCGCTCCTGTTGCCGCATTCACTCGAGTTTGCATTCGAAGCGCAGTCCCTCCCGCTCGCCACTCTACGGCAGTATATCTGTGAAGAGGTGCTTGCATTCGCCACCAAGACAACTAAGCGTCAGCCGGAACCCCACGACAAGGAGCCTCAAGCCGGCAAGGCGGAGAAAGCTGCGGCCTCGAAAGCGTCCAAAACATCGAATACAGGAAACAACGATACCCCCGCGGTACTCGAGAACGACTGCCCTGCTGGCTCAGGCTTCACTCTGAAGGGATGCAACTTCAACGTCCCTGCGAAGTACAAGCCACTGCAAGTCCTTGGTGAAGGATCATACGGCATCGTGTGTGCCGCAACAGATACCGACACCAAGAAAAATGTCGCCATCAAGAAGATAACACCCATGGCTGGTGACGAATGGGACGCCAAGCACACGCTGCGTGAAATTCGGCTAATGAGGTACTTCGGCAAGCACCCCAACATTGCGTCGTTGCAGAACCTGAGCACTTGCATCGAGAAGGATGAGCTGTACTTGATGATGGATCTCGTGGACACAGATCTCCACCGTCTCATCCAGAGTAAGACAAAGCTCGAGGAAGCTCACGTCGCGGCCATCATGTACCAGTTGCTTTGCGGTGCTCAGACTCTACACGAGAACGGAGTGCTGCACCGCGATCTCAAGCCTGGTAACATTCTTGTGAGCAAGAATTGCGACGTCAAAATCACCGACTTCGGTCTATCGCGTTACATTCCACACAGCGACCGCACCGGAGACTCGGTCACTTCACCATCAGCAGACCAAGATGGCCAACAATCGCGCCGTGCAGTCGACAAGACACAGGCGTTGATGACCGAATACGTCGTAACGCGCTGGTACCGCCCGCCTGAGATCATGTTGGCCCCCACAGGGACGTACAATGAGGCAGTTGACATGTGGTCCATCGGATGCATCTTTGGTGAACTGCTGAACCGGAGACCAATGTTCCCAGGTGCAGACTTCTTGGATCAGCTCTCGCGCGTCTTCAGTGTACTGCCGGTGCCGCCGCGAGACAAGCGTGGCTATGATGTCGAGGGAGATGCACTGGCGTTCCTCGAGAGTCTGCCACCTTGCTCGCCTTCGGCACTCAGCAAGTTGTTCCGTCGTGCATCACCGGAGGCAGTGAGTCTGCTTCGTCGCTTGCTGTGCGTGAATCCTGCTCGTCGCATCTCGGCGAAGCAGGCCCTGGCTCACCCTTACTTCAAGAGTATCCGTGCTCAGCTTGGTGAGCCTCCGGTCTTCCACGTAGACAAGGCCTTCGACTTCGAGTTTGACTACCAGGAGTTCCCACTGGCGCATCTGAAGACACTTATTCAAAGTGAAGTCAAGCTGCTTCAGAAGGATGGCCTTGCTTCTCCAATTGCACCACCCAAACCAGTTGCAGGTGCTGAAGCTCCACAGGAGACCGAGGACATCGATAACTCCAGCCCAGAACCAGTCAAGCCTGTGGCCAAGCAGGAAATTGCTTCAAGGGTTGGCCGCGACGAGGAGCTCCAGAACAAGTTGGCGGAGGCCCACGAAGAGGCTGCTCCGGCTCCAGCACCCGAATATGACTCAGGAATTGCTGCCACGAAGACGAAGGCGCATGCTGATCCTGAAGTCGACGAGGGCGAGCCAGCAACTTCGGACTCGGAATCGGACGGCACTAAGCAAAACAAGCAGCAGCAACAGGAGGACGACGAGGTTGAGGTGGCAACTCAAAAGAAGGAACCGGCGCCTGTCATCTCGGGCAAGCAGAACAATGACGATGATGAAAATACGCACACGAATGTCAAGACCGCAAGTCGTTCATCGCTGCCTGGGCCGCAAGCATCAGCCGTTGCGAACGCTTCATCGTCGACTGTTGCGCCACGCCGGGCATCAGCGTCTTCAACCAGAACCACTACCACGTCAAGTTCCTTGGCACGCCTTAACAGTGCTGGAACTACTGCACGCCGTAGCTCGACTGCGTCAACAGCGGTCACGAGAAACAGTACCGGGGGCATTTCGTACCGTTCGCAGCGGGACCCTCGCGACGAGGACGAAGTTTCGTCTATTGCTAGCACGAGCAGCAACAACCGCGGGCACAACAACAACAATGGGTCCGACTCGATTGAACATGGAGGCAAGTGGGGTCACCCGAGATCCAGCGTGATGGCCTCGACGGCTTCTTCGCGGCTTCACCGTTCAAGCGGTCACAGCGCTTCAACTTCGTCAATCCATGAACGCCGGAGCGGTACCGTGAAGACTGCGTCAACAGCCACAAGATCCGGAACCTCACGTGCATCCATGACCAGCAGTAACAACCAGCTCAGTTATCGTGGAGGCGAATCAATCGATCGCGAGTCCGTCAAGAGCGACGCGCTGCGTGGACCCGAGCGCGTCAGCTCTACCCTTACTGCCGCTACAGCTTCTTCGCTTCGCCGGCAGTCAAACGCTGCTGGTTCAGTGAGACCGTCTTCATCTGCTCGGAAAGATTCTTTGCCCGAGGGATGGATACGTCGAACGCACTCGAAAAGCGGGCGAGAATACTTCTACGATACGCTCAATAAAGTGGCGTCGTGGAAACTCCCGGCCAAGCACCAGCCGCTTGACAACATCTTCGCAGGCGGATCGACTTCTTCCACGTCGTCACGAGTTGCCTATGGACACCGCCAAAATGTCCAAGTTGTACCGGGTACTTCGTCGACATCTTCGTCACCATCAAGCGCACTTACGCCCGAATCTTACACAAGTCGTGGAGGCAGCGGGTCGACGTTGACAAGCCGACGGACAGCTTCTGGGTCCTCCAGCAATTTACCAAAGGAATGGGCACGCCGCACAGATCCTAAGACCGGACGCTTGTTCTACGTCAACCTCGTCACGAACCGCTCGTACGCCAAACTACCGTCCTCGGTCACGGCTGCTATGCTTAACCTTGGCCGTGATGCCGTTGCCAGCAAGCGCGCCGCCGCTGAAGCCCTCCAGCGAAAGAAGGCGACGGTACCTCACAGTCCTCAGTTTTCACAAATGTCGTGGCAACGCAAGAGGGTACCCACCACCGATGACTGAGTGAGTACGCACATGACCCGCTGATGCCGCTCTCCTCGTTAAGCTCCTGTCGGCCATGACAGCTACGACAACGCTACATCATTTTCCGTTTCACACGCGCTTAGATTTGCCTTCATTTTCACACTTCATTTGAACAGTCAATACTAGTGCCTTGAATTTGCAGCTTCTTGACCTTCACGAAGGCCCATAACGGCCACGGTACCGGCCTTTACCCACAACAGCGTATGGACACTTACTTCTTGGCAGCATCCACCTTCGCAATCGTGAGGGCAAGAATCTTTAAGGCGTCCTTCATGTCGCTCAGCTGGCAGTATTCGTTGTCACCGTGGTATACGGAGCTCTTACCAAAGCCGACAAGAGTCAGATCAAACCCACCACGTTGCATGTCGCGAACCAGAGGCAAACTATAGACAACAACGTAGTGTTGAGTCAGCGCCACCAAGCTTTCGTTGTAGACTACATGTATCAAAACCTACCTTCCGCTGATTGAGAACGGCTTTGCTTCACCAAGCACGTCGCTAATTGCCGAATAGAGAGCCCTATTTCAGAATGGTAAGTGGTCGTTAGCAAAGCAGCCGACCAAGCATAGTTACAGAAAATAATACAGATACATACTTGTAGCCAACCGAGTCGAGTGAACAGGCAATGCCTTCATAGTAGCTCTTGTCGAACACAAGTTCCAACTTGCCTTTGAGGTTTTCAGCCGGCAGCGTGTACTTGGACACCGGGCCGCGATGGCCTTCCAACGATGTGATGTTCGCGTTCAGTCCGTCCACGAAGGCTGTCATCTTCGCAATCATCTGCGTCGCATCACACGCGTTAGCAAGCCATATCGCCTCAGCTTAGCTGAATCACATAATAACAAACCTCCTTCATGTCGTAGAAGGGGGAGAGGCGAACGTCACCCGCGATCTTGGCCCATGGCGGACTGCAAAACACCACTTGCTATCAGCTATCGCATGCAGTAGCCGGAAACTCACAAAGCACACCACCTACATCTGGTTGAGTCCGTTGACAGAGGATTCGATCCGCGTCGGCTTCATCGTGGATGGGCACGAGTAGTTGTACTCCTTCTCCTTCTCGACGGGGCCGAACTCCTTGTAGAAGTACTCTTGGATCTTAGTCATGGCGTCCATGGCCAGCTCCAGTCCATTAATGCCCAAGTTCGGTAGTCCACTGTGGAACAGCTTGCCGGTCGCCTTGAGCGTCCAGGTGATAGCTCCGGCGGTACCGATGCACGGCTGACTGTCGGAGCAATCGACCCAGAACACTGGTCCGTTCTTGATGAAGTCGATCTTGCCCGACTCCATCAGCGTCTCGACGCCCACTCCTTCAATCTCGCTGTTCTCCTCTGACGCAATCAGCACGCACACCACCTGCGTCTTGGTCGGCACCTTCTGCTTCGCCAGCTCCTTGAACAGCACTGCAAAACAATAAGTAAGGAAAAAAGTCCTATCCTCTCAAACTTCTTCACTGTAGCTACCTACACGTCAGCAGCGCCACGTGACCGAGGCAGTCCGTGGTGCCGCGTCCGTAGAGCTTGTCGCCCTCGACCGTCAGAGTGAAGGGGTCTCTCTGCCAGCCCTCGGGGTTGGCCGGCACCACGTCCATGTGGGCTCCCACCAACGCGAGCGTCTTGTCCGCCGCGGCCGAGGGCGGCGCATACTTGAGAATGACGTTGCCTCGACCCGCCACGAACTCCACGCGCTCCACGCTGAGCTCGGCGCCCGTGAAGGGCTTGAGCTCCTCCAGGACAAAGTCCGAGACGAGGTTTTCCTGGGGGATTAGACCCAGTCCGGGCGCATTTTGCACTTTTTCCTAATAAATAAGGGTGGGAGTGAGACGGTGAGTTTTAGAGCGTGGTTTTGTGGGGTCTAGAGGGAGTTAAGGCGCAGGAGTTGCGCGGGGATAAGGAGAGGGAAAGGAAGCACGTACCGAGACGCTGATGAGCTTGCGCAGGAGCTCCACGTAGACGCTCTCGTCGAGCGCGAAGTCGTGCAGCGAGGCCATCTTCTTCTTCTTGGCGGGAGGATTCGAAGATGAAGTTGCGGACGAGGAGGAGTGATGGTTGGTAGCTGGTGGTGATTGGTTGAAATAGGGGCCAATGGACGAGCGGGTACACTCATCCTGTAGACGAAAGGGTCAGCTGTTGAAGTGTTGGGTCAAACAGGTCATAGACAAGGGCAACAGGTGCAAGGACTCATCGCGTTATGTAGATCCGTGCGTTTCCTAGGCGGAGGTGGCGGCCTCGACGTTGGCGACGGTGCGCGCGAGGATCTTGATGGCGTCCTTCATGTCGCTCAGCTGGCAGAACTCGTTGTCGCCATGATACACAGAGCTCTTGCCGAAGCCAGTCAGCGTCAGGTCCAGACCTGCGCGCTGCAGGTCGCGCACAAGAGGCAGACTGTTGTAGTAGACGCACACGGGTAGTGAGGTTAGTTTATCGTCGAGTTAGGGTGCGAGGTGGACGGTAGCAGCCCTTACCTGCCACTGATGGAGAAGGGCTTGGCCTCGCCCAGCACATCGGCAATGGCAGCGTGCAGCGACCTGAAGGAAAATATACGTGGTGTGAGAATTGTACTCGTTGGTGTAAGATCTCATAGCAGCACGAAACTTACTTGTAGCCGACGGATTCAAGCGAGCACGCAATGCCCTCGAAGTACTGCTCCTCAAAAGTAAGCTCCAGCTTGCCATTCCAGTTCTCGGCGGGGAGAGTATACTTAGACACAGGGCCACGCTTGCCCTCAAGCGACGTGATGTTGGCGTTGAGGTCAGCGACATACGAGTGCATCTTGGCGATCAACTAAGCACGACGTCAACGAATAAGCCTCCCGCATTGCATCTCCAAAAGTCTACAGACTAAATAATTTCGTACGTCCTTCATGTCGTAGAATGGCGACAGACGCACGTCGCCGGAGATCTTGACCCATGGCGGACTGTAGACACATTACACATACCACACAAATTCCGTCAGCATACTGAACGCCCCAACTTCGATCTAAAGCGCACGTACATCTGGTTGAGACCATTCGTGGAGGACTCAATGCGCGTCGGCTTCAAAGTCGACGGGCACGAGTAGTTGTACTCCTTCTCCTGCGGCAGCGGGCCGAAATCCTTGTAGAAACGCTCCTGAATCTTAGTGAACGCATCCATTCCCAGCTCAATGCCGTTAATGCCAAGGTTCGGCAGACCGCTGTGGAACAGCTTGCCCGTCGCCTTCAGCGTCCACGTGATCACACCGGCCGTACCAATGCACGGCTGGCTGTCCGAGCAGTCCACCCAGATGACGGGGCCGTTCGTGATGAAGTCGATCTTGCCCGACTCCATGAGCGTCTCCACGCCCACCCCAGGGATCTCCGTGTTCTCCTCCGACGCAATCAGCACGCACACGACCTTGGTCTCGAGACGGACCTTGCGCTTGGCCAGCTCCTTGAACAGCTCCGTCATCAGCGCCACGTGGCCCAGACAGTCCGTCGTGCCGCGGCCGTAGAGTTTGTCGCCCTCCACCGTCAAAGTGAAGGGGTCGCGCTGCCAGCCCTCGGGGTTGGCCGGCACCACGTCCATGTGGGAGCCCACGTACGCGACGGTCTTGTCGCTGTGGGCGAAGTCCGGGTGCTGGTACGTGATGATGACGTTGCCGCGGCCGGCCACGAACTCCACGCGCTCGATCGTCAGGCAGCCGCTGTTCTCCGCAGTGTAGGGCTGCAGCTCGGCCAGCACGATGTCGGACACGAGGTTCTCCTGCGGGACGAGCCCCAGGCTGGGGGCGTTCTGCACCTTCTCGGAGACGCCGATGAGCTTGCGCAGCAGCTCCACGTAGGAGGCCTCGTCCAGCTGGATGTCTTGCAGGGCGGACGCCATAGCTTCGTGGTGGTCCGGTCTTGTCTCTTCGGCGGTAGATGCGCGAATGACGCACGTCTAGCAATCGGTCGGATACACTGTACTTCGCGTGGTTCACATTCAAGTTCTGATTGGACGCACAAAGTGGTACAATGTACCGTGAGCGATGAAGTGGTGCACATTACGATCAAGTTGAAGTGAGAAGCATCATGTTCGATGCCGCACTCATAGTGCTTTGTGAGAAGGCTCCTGCGTTCCGTACATGACAGCAGCGACCTACAGGACCCGCAGTGACTGTCGCTGGCTGTCACCAATCTATGAGCCCCTCTTAGCACTTGGTCTTAAGTTGAATTCCACGTTCGCTTATGATCCGAAGAAAGCTTAGGGCAAGTAAGTTATCCTGGTGCAAGCTGTACAAGCTGTACATGCAACTTTTTGATTTCTCCCGACTGAGGACAGGTGTCCCCGTTGTTCTCAAAGAGAGTGTATCTGCGCAAGCGACTGCTTCCAGCCTCGTGGTGTTTGCCTTGATGTAGTCGAGATTGGACTGTATCTTGACAAATACCATGATAGCAGCATTTCAACCATATCAACAGGTAGTGGGGTATTTTATTTCGTAGACCAGCGATAAGTGCAAGCTACGTGTGAAAAGTTGCTGCGAACTCGGTTTCATACTTCTCGCTTTTATTACCAAGCTTTTGTCTCCGTAGATGCACTGCATCCCAACTTGATTGCTGTTGTCCCAATTCCAGCTTGGTGCCGCTATTACCTTCGCTGTTTCGACGTACCTGAACACTCACTCGCAAACGCTGATGGGCCCGTATCGTGATAACGTTGATAAGATACTGAGCGCTGTCAACTGAAACACTGAAACACACTGTCGAGCTAGATGGGAATGTTTCCTGTGAAGATAGGGCAAATACTATTAGATCTCCACCTGCATTAAAAAGGTGGAAAAAAGAGTAATAACTCCATTCCACTTTAGCTATCTTGAGCAAATAGTTGCTGGTACTTGCACTGCCAGTTCATAAGAATAGCCGCGTCTTCTTGAGCCGCAATTTACCATCATGGCAACATCGACGGAGGTCGTTCGACTTTCTTACTGCAACTTCGCGGTCTGGTGGGTTGTCATCCTCGCTGTCCATGTCGTCACCGGCGTCTACACTGCGCTCTACGCATACTGCTACTTCGAGCTGCAAGACACGTACGTCAACAATTATCTGGAATCGTTCCAGATTGGCATGCCACCGCAATACCATCACGTCATCGCTATAACTCACGCCACAATGGCGACACTGCACGCAATGTGTATCTCCTTGATGTTGGCCGGGTCATTTTGGCAACGCTCGCTTGCGTTCACTCCGTGGTCTTCTTGTAATGCTGAGGCCAAACGTGACAAAGTGGAGACTTCACGCACCAGTTCCGTGCTTCTTCAGAGCTTTACCAAGGTCTACACCAAGATTTCTGACCGACGTGGCATTTGTGGCGTGAACGGAGAGCATTTCCACGCTCTTCTGATCATTCGAGAAGTTGTTGAGACGGCCCTACAGACCGTGCAGGCGTACGGTATGAGCATGTTATTGCCACGAACTCTGTTGAATCGGTTCTACGTGTTCATGCTCGTGGTGAACTGCTGGTCGTCCGTGGTGGTTTACTCGCTATTTTTCCGAGCTGACGAGGCTCGCAGACGGCTCGTGTGCATCACGTTGGACTGCATCTTGGATCTAATGTCCTGCATGGGGGTGGAGCTGATTGTTTTGTTGAGTTACGCTAAAGACTACGACCTGACTTCCTTTGGCTTTGATGACTCCTTGTGGCGCAATGACGAGTGGGCCGCTCGGGCTCTTAACGAGTTTCGGATGGTCGTTGTGGTGTCGTGGTCGGATTTGGCGAGTCGAGCTTTGTTCGCGCTTGGGCTCGTGCTGACCACAACAAATGTCAAAGAATTACTTCAACGCTTACTACCGAAGCGCAATCGCATCAACGCATCGCATGGCAATGTTATACATGCACAGGGAAAATTTGGCGGTAAACCAGCGTCCTCTATTCTACCTAAACAAGCTGAAATGTCAACATCATCACGTTCGTCCAACCGAAGAGCTCTCGCTAAAACCGACAGCTATCGAGGCACGAACTTACGCACGCGTACTGGGCGAGCATTGCTGCGTACAGCTCATGTCTTGTTCGGGGTATGGGGTCTCCTACTTCTTGGGTTCCACATCCAAGCTTCTATGCAGCCAACACTGCCGCAATGTTTGATGCAAGTAAGGCCGTTGGGAGCTTCACGACCCGCTTGCTACTTGGTCGGTCTTGACTGCTATACTTTAGCGATTTCGGGCAAGGAGGAGAAACGGAAACGAAGTGGGGCGCTTTTGACAGCTCAACGGTTGTTCAGCTGCTGATCCGACATTGTCCGAGTCTCGAAATACCAGGCTCTATCAGCGAGTTCCACGGACTACATGGCATCAAAGTGTACAACTCGACAATCGTAGACTGGAGCGAATCTGCTGCTCTTTCCAACACATACCACCCAGACATAATGTCGCTGTATCTTGCGCGTGTCAACATGACTGATGGAGTGCTGCCCCTCGGATTCCAATCGACAGACTTCCCACAAAACCTGAATGACATCGAGCTCTGCGTCACCAATCTGCGCAGTCTACCCGATGATCTCGACCTCAAGTGGCATCAACACGCTCTCATACAGATTGAGTACAGTCGGTCCCTCGAGTCCTGTTAAAGCTAGAGTCCAAATACTTGGCACTGTCCGGCAACCCAATCACGGAGATTCCTCCAGAGACTTTTGAAATCCCAGGCCTGAGGACTTTGGGACTCGGCCGCTCGACATTCAAGAGCTACCGCCAAATGTGACGAACCTGTCGCCGACACTAAACTAAATCTTCCTCGACTGGACCAATATCTCATTCTTTTGGTCGTGGGCGGACGAGCTTATAACGTTAGAGACGTGGGGGATTCTTGTAGCTACGGGATCTCCATATTGCGTCGATCTACTAAAAATTCAAGATGGGACTGCAAGCGCTTTCAGTGTGGCCCCGTCCCCTGAATACGCCTCCGTCCTCATGGATCCCTCGGAGGCCAACTTGCCACCGATTATCTACACTGTCGGCTGTGTCGGCTACGATGGACCTTACTACTACATTGTCCAGGATGATGAAAGCATGGCGATTAGCACCCCTCCATTACTGGAAACCCGAGCTTACGCCACCTAAAGCTGCAGTAAATTGAGCGATACGAAAATAGAGTTTTTCGTTGCTTGGACTTGGAAAGCATCACGCGTCCAAACCCAGTCCGTCGAACGCTTGACCAGCTATATGTTGAGCCTTTTACAAGATAAACCCACGGAAGTCGTCCAGCTCTCTTACTGGGCTTTCGCGATCTGGTGGGTCATCATCCTCAGCGTTCATATCACTGCCGGTGGCTATGCTGCACTCTACGCATACTCCTACGTCAAGCTCCAGGACACCTCCCTCAACTTCTATTTCGAATCCTTCCAGATCGGCATGCCGCCGCCACACCACCGCACGATCGCTATCGTCCACGCCGTAATGGCTGCTCTGCATGCAGTGTTCGTGTTCTTGATGCTGGGCGGGTCGGTTTGGCAACGCTCATTGGCTTTCACACCTTGGTCGTCATGCAATGCGGAGGATAAACACGAAGAAACCGGGAACTCGCGTACAATTTCTGCTGTTCTTCGGAGTTTTACCAAAGTCTACACCACTGTTTCGGATCGCCATGGCATTTGCGGGGTGAACAGTGATTACTTTCACGTAGTTCTTATCGTTCGAGAAGTTATTGAGACAGCACTGCGGACATCACAAGCGTACCGCATGAGTGTGCTGCTACCAAGGACGATACTCAATCGATTCTACGTGCTCTTGTTGGTTATGAACTGCTGGTCGTCTGTCGTGGTTTACTCCACCTTCTTCAAGGGCGACGAGGCTCGTAGACGGTTTGTCTGTGTTGTCCTGGACTGCATGCTGGACCTGATGGCCTGCGTGGGCGTTGGGCTGCTGATCTTGCTGAACTACATCAAATATTATAGTCACGACATGCAGGGCTTTGATGATTCTCTTTGGCGCGATGACGAATGGGCAGCGCGTGCAATCAACGAGTTTCGGATGGTCGTCGTGACTTCGTGGTCGGATCTGGCAAGCCGAGCCATCTTTTCTTTCGGATTGATCATGACAGCGTCAAGCATCAAGACGCTCTTGCAGCGCCTCCCGCGGAATGGGAGCAGTGAAGGCAAACAATCCACAGCGCCAAATGTACACAACTTGCGAGAGGCTTTGCACAGAAAGCTCAACACCGTTGTCCCTCAGCCCCCTGCAGTATCTGTTGCATTGCCTTCTCAAGTCTCCAAAAGTAAGCTTCTGGTAAAGATCGGTCGCAGCTTTCGTGCCACAAAACTACGCACTCGCACTGGACAAACCTTACTCAATGCTGCTCATATATTGTTTGGAGCTTGGGGGATTGTCATTCTTGGATTCCACATCCATGCTTCGATCCAACCGACACTTCCGCAGTGCTTGATGCAAGTAAGGCCGTGGGGAGCTACTCGTCCATCTTGCTACCTGGTTGGGCTGGACTGTTACACCTTGGCGATTTCTGGCAAGAAGGATGAAGTCGAAGAGAAATGGAGCGAGTTTGACAGCTCCACAGTTGTTCAGCTACTGATTCGACATTGTCCGGCACTGGAAATGCCCGACTCTATCAGCAAGTTCCACGGACTCCACGGCATTAAAGCTTACAACACCACTATTCTCGACTGGGGAGAATCGGCAGCACTTACGAATGCGAATCATCCCGATCTTGTCACTCTTTATCTTGCTCGTGTCAACATGACGGACGGGGTGCTGCCGATGGGGTTTCAATCAGCTGATTTCCCACAAAATCTCAACGATATTGAGCTTTGTGTCACCAATTTGCGCAGTCTACCCGACGATCTTGACTCCAAGTGGCACCAACAAGCAGGTCTCCAATTTGAGTACAGCCAGTTAGTGGCCATTCCCGCAGTGCTATTGCGCCTTGAGCCGATGTTCTTCGCCTTGACTGGGAATCCGATTACCGATATCCCCCCAGAGGTTTTTGAGTTGCCAGGCTTGGCAACCCTCGGACTTGGTCAGATGAATCTTAAGGAGCTGCCACGTAACGTGACGAACTTGTCTCCAACACTGAGAGCGCTATTCCTCGACGGGACTAAGATTTCCTTCTTCTGGCCATGGGCTGACGAGCTCATTACGCGTGACGAGGATTGGAGTGTTTTGGTCGTTACCGACACTCCGTATTGCGCCGACCTCCAACAGATCCAAAGCGGGTCTGCAAGTACTTTCAGCGTTCCCCCGTCGCTTGAATTCGCATCCATCCTCATGGACCCGTCACAGGCGAACCAGCCACCGATCTCGGACATCGTTCGCTGTGATGGCTTCGTCGGGACATACTACTTCATCAACCTGGACGACGACAACATGGCAATCAGTCCGCCACCTCCACTACAAGTCGTACCACCCTAAAAGCACTGTTGAACAGCAGTGTAGCAGCATCTAGCCAGCTAATATCCCAGTTAATTAGCAAGATATTACTGTTTGTCAACGACTCGTCTTCATCTTGACATCCACAAAAAAAATCTTTGATGAGATGTTTAGCATCCCCCCTCGCTTTCCAGACAACTTAGACCGCCTGGGCGTAGCTGTTCATGGCGGTCGCCATCTTGATGTCCTGCAAATAACGCCAAAAACACAGCATCAACACGAAGAACACCACTACGCACAAGCCAGCAAGACCGGATCGTACGTTCTTGGAGAGGCCGCCGCAGTCGTGCGTGCTGAGCGTGACGTCCACGCGGTTGTAGACGTTGAACCACTCCGGGTGGTGGCCCATCTGCTCGGCCAGCAGCGCCGTGCGGTTCATGAAGCCCCAGGCCTCGTTGAAGTCGCGGAACTCGAAGCGGCGGCGGATGGCGTCGCGTCCAGGCACGACCTCCCAGGCGCTGGTGATCTGCTGCAGCCCCGCGGCGCGCTCGGCGTCCGTCAGCAGCGTCGGCACGGCGTGGGTGGCCAGGCCGCGCTGCAGCAGGGGCCTGGCGACGGGGGCAGAGAGCTTGCGCAGCACGTGGAGGCTCATGGAGCAGTGCAGTCTCCGTTAAACGGAGGGCTACGCAGGGATTTTTGATACTGTACTGATGCACCGGAAACAACTTTCGACCAATGAGATGGACGTTGAATTGATGCGCTAGAATCCTTGATGAGACGCCCCTGTGTCCGGTGCTTCAATGTCCGGCGGCTGGAGACCAAGGACGCTGTAAATGCTGGGCTCTGCTGTTACTCATCCCTGGCTTAATAATGAGGGCGGAGCAGTAAACAGCGAGCGAGAACGGGGTGATGAAGAAACATGCAGGGTTCGTTTAATGATTACAGAGCGACGTCGGCAACCCTCGCTCTCAGGGGTTTGCGTCTAGTTCTTGCGGCTCTTGCGCTTGAAGGCCTTGAGCTCCTTGCGGTAGGCGTCGCCGATCTGCGTCGACACCTTGCGCAGGTCCGTCAGGCCCGAGCGCAGCGCCTCGTCAGCAGGTGCGCCTGCAACAGCAGCAGCAACAAAAACAAACGACACAAACGATTGTTACTCATTGCTCGCTGTACTCCACTCCCAACGACTGGAGCTTCGTCGGTTTTACTGCATTTTTACCTTGGCGGGTCTGCAGACGGATGTGCATCTTGGGCTCCGAAGGGTGCGGGATCGTGTAGCCGCAAAAGTCGACGTCGGGGCTGCAATACCACGCAATAATCGGCCAAAACAGTCAGAGAAACTGCATAAATTGCTTGAGTCGAGCGAAATGGGCGCGTCTAGCTCGTGTCAATGCCCCATTTCGACTGCAGAGGCACGTACTTGCGCATCAGGACGTAGCGCAGCGCATTGCCGAGCGTGTGGTCCTCCTCGTGGAACACGTAGGTCTTGGAGTAGTCGCTCGTGGTCGTGAACACGTCCAGCTTCTTCGCGGTGGTGGCCATGGCTGCTGGAGTCGAGGTGGAGGTGTCTGTCTGTTGCCCTTATGACTGGCTGGGGCGCTATGATTTCAGTAAAGCGAGGTTTAAATGTCACTAAAGCGGATCTCCTTCATGTCCGTAAAACAAGGTACTAATATCACTAAAGCGGCTCAGGTTTCATAGGGTCATTCGAGAGAACACATCCAAGGCCGGGCAACCCCTCGGTCGGGTGGTGACTTCTTCAGGGCTCGGACGATGCCTGCGGGGGCGTCCGTGGATCGCCGCGGCAGCTCCGTGTCTGCGCAGGACGCCAAGCTGTCTGTGGCGACCGCTCTGATCTCGCGAGACGCTCTGGACGCCGAGATATCTGCCGAGAACCAAGACATTCTGGATGCCGAGGACTACCTCACCGGCGCCTCGCGCGGGGGCTACGCGGACAGCATCATCAGCAGCGATGCGAGCAGCGACAGCGACAGCGACGAGGACGAAGGTGGCGCGCTGGACGTGACGCAGTTCTCGGCCGCGGAGCTGCAGGAGCAGATCGGCCAGCAGTTCGTGGAGGGCATCAACCCGTACGTGGAGCAGCTGGTGGGGGACGAAGAGGACTTTTACGTGGAAGACTCGTCAGATGACGACGATGACGAGCAGCAGCAGAACGCCAAGACGACGGAGGACAAGGAGAAAGAGCTCACCGAGTGGGAGAATCCGTCCTACCTGGTGAAAGATCTGGACACGGGCGAGAGCTACCGCGTCGAGGAGATCGACCAACAGTTTACGCTCGTCACGCTGGACTCGGTGGCGGCGAAACATGAGCACAAAGAGGAGCAGACGGAGGGGGCGGAGGTGACGGCCGAGTCCACGTCGTCGTACTTGTTGTCGCTGTACACGGCGGATGAGACGGCGGATATCGAGATTGAAGACGACCTGCCGGAAGCTGAAGCGATGAACACGGCAGGATCCATGAGAGCTCGCAGCTCCAACATGTCGGCGATCTATGCGCCGAGTGATGAGTTGCCGACAGGGCCTCCGGTGAAGTGCAGTTTTCCTGGGTGTACGGAGATGCACCAGCGCGTGTCGGGATATTGTGCGGATCATGAGATGATTGCCAAGGAAGAAGAGGACTCGCGTGCTCAGGCTCTGTATCTGATTCCAAGCGGTGCTCGTGCGGAGTTTATCAAGATCGGGAGTCATGGGTTTGCGTACGATGCGTCGAACCGACTGTACACCGTGTACGCCATCGAAATGCGCTGTGTGCAGTCCGGCGCGACGTGGGTCATTTACCGTCGGTACCAGCAGTTCAAGGAGCTGAACGACCGTTTACGCCCCATGGGAGTGCGCGTTCCATTGCTGCCTCCTAAGAAGCTGCTGGGCTCGTTCGAGCCGGACTTCATTGCGAAGCGGCAGAGCGAGCTGTCAAACTGGCTCCGTTGCCTTCTGAACTACGATCGCGTGGACCAGTCGGCCAAAAATCCACACTTGGTGGAGGAGGTGCGCAAGTTTTTGACGAGCAAGGCCGACCAGCCCCCGCTTCTGCTTGACAGGTTACCATTAAAGCGCTCAAGATTTTTCGGTGCGTCGCTGGCTGATGACGTTGACGACGAAACAGGACGACTATCCTCTGGTAACCAGAGTGTTACCCTTCAGGATTTCAAGATGATTCAGGTGATCGGCCGCGGGTCGTTCGGCAAGGTCGTGCTAGTGGGACACAAAACCACCAAAAAGCTGTACGCTATGAAGATTCTGTCAAAGGAGAATATCGTCAAGCGCAAGCAAGTGGAGCACACGCGCACGGAGCGCCGCGTGCTAGGGTGCACTCGGCACCCGTTCATTGTCGGGCTTCACTACGCGTTCCAGACGGCGCAGCGGCTGTACTTTGTGCTTGACTACTGCCCCGGAGGCGAGCTGTTCTATCACTTGTCGCGCATGAAGAAGCTGCCGGAACACATGGCGTGCTTCTACGCTGCTGAGATCACGTTGGCCCTCGAGCATCTCCATGGTCTCGGTGTGGTGTACCGTGATCTCAAGCCGGAGAATATCCTGCTCACTAAGGACGGACATATCAAGTTGGCGGACTTTGGGCTCGCGAAGGAAGGGATCCGTGATGGTGTGAATGGTACGAATTCGCTGTGCGGGACCCCAGAGTATCTCCCACCCGAGATCTTGGACCGCCTCGGCCACGGAACAGCAGTGGACTGGTGGAACCTGGGCATGGTGCTGTACGAGATGCTGACGGGGCTGCCTCCATGGTACACGAACGACCGCAAGAAGCTGTTCGAGCGTCTCCGCTCGGCGAGACTGCACTTTCCGCCGTACGTTTCACGGCGGGCCGAGGCGCTCATTCGGCAGTTGTTGAATCGCAACCCGGCCGAGCGGTTGGGGTCGAAAGGCGCCCACCAACTGAAGAACCACCTCTTCTTCGAAAGCATCGACTGGGCGAAGCTGGCCAAGAAGCAGGTGACGCCACCGTTTCGACCGTGCCACTCGGCAATGAACGACGGCGAGGCGCCGCTGAATTTCGAGGCGGAGTTCACGCGCCTTCCGCTGCCAAGCGCGGAGAACGCGGTCGCAAGTCCGCACAGTGGGCGCGGATTGGGGGCGTTGGGGGTGCGGTCACGACGGGACTCGGACACGTTCAAGGACTTCACGTACGAGAGTCCCGGGTATCTCGAGTCTGTGGCGAAGAAGGAGGACGCCTGAACTGAGGCGTCGTCAGGTCAAGGTCAAGTAGCAAGTAACAACAGGAAGAAAGGAGTATATAAGAGCAGCGAAATTGAAGAAGTTGCATATTGTCGAAGCTGTAGACGAACGGAAAGACTCTCATGACGAACGAACACACGGCGAAACCCTACAACGTCGCGACGCGGTCGTGGCTCGCTCGACGGTTGACAATTGCTGATGACTCGATGGTCGACTCGACCATCGAGTCATCAGCAATTGTCATGCAGCCATGACGCGACTAACGGTCCCATCGATACATGCAGTCCACCAGAGCTAAAATCCAGGTCGGTACTCACGAGCAGACGCCCAGATACTCTCACGCCAGAACGCGAGGCCATGGTGGACAGTGTCGCGCTAGTTTGGGAGCTTGGGCCAGCGCCCTATCCGTGCACTACAGAGCGCTCTTGCCGTGCACCGGCTTTCCTGCCTAAAAAACTTTAGTCCTGGCATCGACAATGAGCTGATGCCTTCCATTGTTGCTGGCGAGCGAAGCAATGGTGCGTGCTCCTAGAAGACAAGGTGTGACTCGAGGACTCGCGAGCGAATTGAAGTGACTTTCGGTCGCTGGGTCGATTATGCCAAACTCGAGTGCTACCAGAGATCGCGTCGTGCCGCAGGTAGGACTACCCATTTTCGGAGATGCATGCGCGTTTAATTAACTTCAACGACAACGTCGTGGGGTTGCCTTGCTAATCGACGGTTATGTGCGTACAAGGCCACCGCCAGTAAATCACAAGTAACGTCGATGGAAAAGCTGAAAGACAAAACTTGCATACATTAGGTTTTCCCCACAGACACATTACGTTGTCCAGCTTGGATTTGAAGTACCTACTCCAGTGTAGTTATTAGCTTTTTAATTCTGCCATCGTTGTGTGCAGCCCCTTCATTTTGTCTATAACTAACTGCCTGAGATGGAGTTCCCCAGGCCGTTATACTGCACGCGGTCACTGGAAATTGCGGCAGACCTCCTGACCCAGAATTCTTCTGTGTAACGTTATACGTTTCTGTGAGGTCTTCATCCACAACTTACTGCTGCACGTAGTTATTACAACACCGTTATCCTAAGCTCCAAACGAGACAGGCTAAGCCACCTCATACCTCCTGCTTCGTCGGTCGCGTTGTGGATGCAACCCAGGTTGCCGGAACGGGCGATCCTTCGCGATAATATATCACGTGCGAGTTGTTTTTTTTAGGATCGAGTGCGGCATTTGGTCTTTCTGTCGATGGTTTGCATGCTGGTACTGTGAATGAGTTTGCAATTGTGCTGCAACTTACGACCGTACTAAGCCAGGCAGCGCGCTGCTCCAATCGAGGAACTTCCTGTTTTTGCTTATTATCCAATTCCTGCTCTATAAAATGGGTCTTCCCGCCGTCATCAGCCCTTTTCTCCATCTGATCACGCGTCCGGATTGGCCCGTTCAAGTGTCACATTGCCGTTTGCTCGGGCCCCAGCGTAATCGAAAGTCGGAACGTGAGCTGGAGCCGCACATACCGTACGTAACATTCCCCAAAGTGCTCGCTGAAGCTCAAGAGCGCCAGTTGGTTCGAGCCAGAGCTGTTCGGCACGGCACGGCAGGACCACGACCATGGCGGCCCATGCCCATGAGGACACGCTCACGCCGATGGAGACCATCGAGGGCTCGCCCAAGCGCGAGTGCAAGCTGCAGCCGCCCAGCCTCAAGCGCGTGGTGCTCAACCCGCGCGCGTACCTGACGCCCTTCGTGGTCTTCATAATCTTCCACCACCTGCCCATGTTCCTGGCCTACGCACTCATCGACAAGCCGCACGAGGGCTACGAGGGCTGCCACCGCCTCAAGGAGCTCTTCCGCTGGCTGCACGCGTCCTTCCTCTTCCACCTCGTGCTGGCCGCCATGATGTCCGCGGCCGTCGTCTTCACGCTCGTCACGCGCGTGTACCACGAGCGGCGGCCCGAGGGCTGGCTCATCCTCGCCATCTTCCTGGGCTACTGGGCCAACCTGGGCTGGACCATCTACGGAGAGGCCTCTTTTCGCACCGACACGAGCGTGTGCGGGGACGTCAACTGGGAGCAGGTGCAGGACCGCGCCGACTCGATCGGCTACTTCCAGCACTTCGACTTTGTCTTCACGCTCTGCATCATCGGAGCGGGGGCCTGCACTTCATATATGTGCGGCGTGCACAGTGGAGACGACGCTGGAGAGGCCGAGAAGCGCTGGCAGAAGCGCTGCATGTGCTGCTTCCACGCCTTCACTTGCCATAAGACGGTGGAGTACGAGGGAGACGACGATGTCTTCGAGACGCTTGGGCGCGTGCTGGGCAAGTTCTTCGTCGTCAGATATAAGACGAACAGATACGAAGGTCTGAGCTTCACGGATCTAAAGTTTAGCTTGGACTTGGTGTCCAAGGTCCAGAAGAAAGAGCGCGAAGAGGAGGCAGAGCGTAAGGCTGAATTGGCAGCACAGGGGATCCCGACCGTGAAGCACTTCGCCCCCGATGAGGAGGAGAAGAGGCTCAGCGACTTGGCCTTCTACTGCAGACTGGCTATTGGCATCTACGGCTGGCCGATCTACGTGTGGTACTCGCCGTGCTACTGGTTCCGCGTCTTCGGGTGCTTCAAGAAACCTCTGGGGGAACAGGTCTTCGAGCACGACAACTTCGTGCACGGCAACCGCGCCAGCTTCGTCAACTACACTGGCGTCAACGACTCGGATCTCGTGTACCTCAACTGCTACAACTTCGTCTTCCAGGCGCCGTACTGCATCGTCAAGGACAAGACGCGCAAGGAGCTCATCATCAGCGTGCGCGGCAGCATGTCCTTCTACGACTTCGTGACGGACGGCTTGGCGCAGATCGTGCGCATGGAACCCAGCGAGCTGCCGGACGACATCCCGTACTCTTTTGACACGCGGACGCACTATGGAATGCTGCGTACGGCTCGTCAGATCTTCAAGGACTTGCAGGAGGGCACTCGCAAGGCCGTCTTCTGGAACTTCGCGATGGCCAACTGCTCTGGCGAGGCTCTAATGGACGACGACTGGAAGGTTGTGGTCTGTGGCCACTCGATGGGCGCTGGCGTTGGCTGCATCCTCGCCATCTTGCTCCGCAAGGTCTTCCCCAACACGAAGGCGTTCTTGTATGCGCCGCCGCCGCTGTTTGACCCCGAGACGGCGGAATGGACCAAATCGTTTGCCACCACTGCAGTGTACGGCGATGACATCGTTCCTCGACTATCCATTGCCAACATGGCTACGCTGCGTGACGAGATGGCTGTCCACTACGATGCCGTGGCTACGGAGCCGCTGTACAAGGTGAAGTATGGCGTCCACGGCAAGTTGAAAGACCTGAAGCAAGAGCGTCAGCAGCCGGTGGCAGCCGCAGGACCTGATCCAAGCATGCGCGAAACTTTCGGCAGACTGCCGACAGTATTGGAGAACTCCAACACGGGCACGACGGTGGTGGACACGAGTTCGGGCTCCTTCGTCAACTCCAACTCGTTCGTCAACGTCAACGGCACACCGACGGACTTTGCGTCATCGGGGCTCAACGTCATTAATCGCCCCTCACGCGATCTGAGCGACGCCACGATGATCACGCTGCCCCAGGAAGACTTCACGCAAGAGGTGGACGTGCCCGGAGAGATCGTCCACATTACGACGGTCAAGATGGCGCGTCGCTGCGGCTGCACCGTGTTCTTGGGCGAGCAGAAGCTGCAGTACACGCTGCGCGACGCGAGTTACTTCCGTCGCATCTGGGTCACGCCGCGCTCGCTGCAGGACCACATGGTGCACCACTACGACCGCAAGATCCGCTACCTCGTGAGCGACTGCATGGACTTCGAAACCCCAGTAGCAGCCCACCGTACGAGCGCCAGCACCAGTACCAGACCCTTGTGGATCGATGACAGTGATGCCACCGTCGATGGCAAGGACAAGACGCCCGGCACGCCTCAGACGGACTACAAGGAGATCGCCGCCGTCGTGTAAGCTCACTCCATGCAAACTACCTCCAGGCTAAGTAGAGGAGGACTGTACAAACAAAGTAGTATTTACTGTAACGCGAATGAAGCGTATCATCACCATACATGTGCACAACCTTTCCACCTTCAATTTGAACCGATTGGAGAGACCAGCGAATCGTTTGGATGAAGTTTTGAGTTTCGAGTGTACTGTAATGCCCATTGCTAGAAGTGCGTCATTCGCGAAGAGACCAACACCACCGCGTCATGCAAGACATCCAGCTGGACGAGGCCTCCTACGTGGAGCTGCTGCGCAAGCTCATCGGCGTCTCCGAGAAGGTGCAGAACGCCCCCAGCCTGGGGCTCGTCCCGCAGGAGAACCTCGTGTCCGACATCGTGCTGGCCGAGCTGCAGCCCTACACTGCGGAGAACGGCGGCTGCCTGACGATCGAGCGCGTGGAGTTCGTGGCCGGCCGCGGCAACGTCATCATCACGTACCAGCACCCGGACTTCGCCCACAGCGACAAGACCGTCGCGTACGTGGGCTCCCACATGGACGTGGTGCCGGCCAACCCCGAGGGCTGGCAGCGCGACCCCTTCACTTTGACGGTGGAGGGCGACAAACTCTACGGCCGCGGCACGACGGACTGTCTGGGCCACGTGGCGCTGATGACGGAGCTGTTCAAGGAGCTGGCCAAGCGCAAGGTCCGTCTCGAGACCAAGGTCGTGTGCGTGCTGATTGCGTCGGAGGAGAACACGGAGATCCCTGGGGTGGGCGTGGAGACGCTCATGGAGTCGGGCAAGATCGACTTCATCAAGAACGGCCCCGTCATCTGGGTGGACTGCTCCGACAGCCAGCCGTGCATTGGCACGGCTGGTGTGATCACGTGGACGCTGAAGGCGACGGGCAAGCTGTTCCACAGCGGTCTGCCGAACCTTGGCATTAACGGCATTGAGCTGGGAATGGACGCGGTGGCCAAGCTCCAGGAGCGATTTTACGAGGACTTCGGCCCGCTGCCGCAGGAGAAGGAGTACAACTTCTTGTGTCCGTCGACGATGAAACCCATGAAGGTTGAGTCGTCTACGAACGGGCTCAATCAGATGTACGTGGCAAATGGAGGTGGGGGGTTTAATGCTAAACATGCTCTGAAAGGTGTTGGTTGCATGCAGCCCGCCGTGGGTGAAGATCACTGGTGAAGTGCGTCTGTCGCCGTTCTACGACATGAAAGACGTACGCATTATATTATGTCGTTAAATATGGATGAGCTGCAGCTAACTTGCTCGTGTCGTCGCTACTGTAGATGTTTGCCAAGCTGAACTCGTACGTTGACGACCTCAACGCCAGCATTACGTCGTTGGAAGGCAAGCGCGGACCTGTGTCGAAGTACACTCTCCCAGATGAGAATTGGAGCGGTAAACTGGAGCTCTCATTCAGGGAGCACTACCTTGAGGGCATCGCATGCTCACTTGATTCCGTCGGCTACAAGTAAGGTTGCCGGTCATGCAAGCACATGTGTGTGCTGTGTTCTCATTCGCATCCTTACGCACTGTTGCTGCAGGTCACTTTACACCGCCATTGCCGACGTACTGGGCGAGACCAAGCCGTTCTCCATAATGGGCAGGTAAGACCAGTCTACTTAAGTATCACAAAAGCTTGCATACGATACCTCTTAATCATATTTGCTGCAACAGTCTGCCGCTTGTCCGCGACCTGCAGCGCGCCGGCTTGGACCTAACACTCACCGGTTTCGGCAAGAGCTCTGTGTACCACGGCGACAACGAATACTGCCTGCTGAGCGACATGAAGGACGGCATTAGAATCCTCGCGCGGACTGTCGCCAACGTCGAGAAGTCTGCCACATCCGCTTAATCCACAATATTGGCCCGTGCTGTCCTAAGACGCTCGCGAGGAAGAACAGCAGCGGCGTCCATGGCATTTAAGCTGGTTTCGACCAAGAGGACAAACTTTCTGCTGTCTTGGGTGCCCGAATGCTGCAGTAATCCCTGATACCAGAAGTAGTGGTGTAGCTTGGCATTGTCGGCTTGCCCAACTGTCGTTGCGATTCCTTAAATGCACTAAGGCATTCGGTGAATGGCGTGGTGACGGCCAATTCCCGTGAAAATTGAGTATACCCCACGCAATATGCAGCTTTCTCTAATTCATCACCAATAATTACTACTTCAAGTTGCTCCTCGCCTACGAGTTCACCCGGAGTATTCCTGGCGGGCCAGCGCCGGTGGAGAACTGATGGCATTTTCACTGTCTTCATAGGCAAGAGGATAAAACAATCCTCCACCTGAAGGAAGCTTGGTTTTGGTGTTGCAATCAACAGTACTCGATATCTTGCCAAGGTTATCACGAGACGGGTCCATCAGCGTCTGCGAGTACTCGGGTGTTAGCGGAACAGCGAAGGCAGTAGCAGCACCAGTTTGAATTTTAGCGAGATCTTTGCAGTAAGTCGAGCCTCCAGCAATCCATGGAGCAGTCTCGGTCGTTGAACGCTCCACCAACTCGTCCGCCCATGCCCAGAAGAACGAAATATTTGTATCAAGCATAAAAACCCACGATAAGGCTGTCGATAGTTGTCACATTTTGTGGTAGCTCCTGAATCTGGGTATCACCGATGCCGAGTAGAGCCATCCCCTGCACCTCAAATATTTCTGGTGGGAGTTCCTGTATCGGGTTGCCAGTAACCGCGAAATGATATGGTTGAAGCTGTAAGAGAACGAGAGGGACCAAGGTGAGTTGGCTGTACTCCACCTGAATAATCGCGTTCATAGGCCATTTTTCATGCAAGTCTTGGGGCATTTCGCGCAGGTTCGTTACGCAAAACTCGATGTCGTATACCGTTGAAGGGAAGTCCGAAGACTGGAAACCAGTGGGCATTAATCCGTCGGTGAAGTTCACACGAACAGCATACAACGTCAATAAGCTTGGGTGGTTCGCACCAGTGATTGCCGCCGATTCACTCCAGGCTTTGATAGTCGTATTGTAAACTTTGATCCCACGAAGGTTGTGGAATTCAGTAAAACGGGCTGGAACTTCGAGTTCGGGGCAATGGCGAATATACAACTGCACAACCGTGGAGCTATCGAATTCTCGCCATTTCCCATCGATCTCTGCCATCGTACCCGATAGATGAAAAGCGTGGCAATCAAGTCCAGCTAAATAGCACGACGGACGGGAAGCCATCCACGGTTTCACTGGCATGAGGCACTGCGGTAGCGTTGGCTGGATGGACGCGTCGATGTGAAGTGCAAGGATTATAATCCCCCAAGCTCCGAACATCAAATGAACCGTACGCAGGACCAAGATTCTACGCCGGGAGCCACGATCGCGAGTAAAACTATATTGCTGAGTGAAAGACTGAGGTCCTGGTCGTGACGCAGCAAGAGCAGATGGAGTCGGAGCTATCGACTGCGCATCGAAAGTGTGCGTATTTTTCACTGCAACAGAGGTGATACCAGATCGGCTGACGCTGTTTCTCTTATGTGGGAGTCGCTGCAGTAGCTCCTTCATATTCGTCGTCGCCATGACCAGTCCGAACGAGAAGAAGGCACGACTCGCTAGATCCGACCACGAAACAACAAGAACCATCTGAAACTCGTTGGATGCTCGAGCCATCCACTCGTCATTAGAAGGTGCCACGTAGCTAGGCTCCGCCTTCGTTCTACTGAAGCTCCTGCGTAACTTAACAAGATGATAACCTCTACCCCCATGCTCGCCATGAGATCAAGGTCGCAGTCCAGCACGATGCAAACGAATCGTCTGCGAGCCTCGTCGCCCTTGCCAAACCAGGAGACAATGATGGGAGACCAGCAATTGATCACGAGTAAAATCACGTAAAACCGATTGAGTATAGTAGCTTGCTCATCCGATACGCTTGTACAGTTTGCAGGGCTGTTTCAACAATTTCACGGATGGTGTGAATCACGTGGAAGTGGTCTCCGTTTACCCCGAAACTCCATGCCGATCAGCAATGACGCCATAAACGTTGGTTATACTCTGCAAAGTAGCTGACCTCGTGCGCTCCGACTCGGATTTCGTACTCCCGATGCCGCTGTTGCAGGACGCCCAAGGTGTAAATGCCAGCGATCGATACTTAAGAGAACCGGCAACCAGGAGCAAAATACAAACTACGTGCGGTACGACCATGAAGAA